TAATATAACTAACTACTCTCTTAAGATCAGATAGATTCAATCCATATATTTTTACCCCTTTTGTCTTGACACTTTCTAATGAAAATAGTTCGGATAATATGAATCTCTTAGTCTATAAGTATTATATCACTTGCATAATACAAAGTAATGTAGTCTAATATTCCTGACTGATATAATTCTTGCTAACACATACCGCCCTAGGACCCATGTACATAACTATAATAACCTAATTTCTCGTTAGCTTCAAAGCTATCGCACTCGTTCACAGAGAATACGGTGGTTCCACTGGCAGAGAATATCATGCTATGTCAGAAGGCTTCTGTGTAAAGGCTCAATTCAATTCAGCCCAGTTGATAGTCTTTAACAGATACGTATATACAGATTATAGATACTTCAGCTATTCAAGATTATTAATAGAACATAGATCCTGGGTCATGTGACGAGGATTAGGAGGCTTGGGTCTCACAGTAATCCCATTCCAGAGCCTTACTTGATTGGTTCTATTACTTCCTGTCTAGGTAGCCAATTTAGTATTATATAACTCGTATTCTATAAACTGCCTTGACTAGGGGGCTGTATTATGTTAATTGATTTCCCTAGTAGGCGAGGGCTATGGGATATAGATTCTTACAATTGGTAGCCACTGACACAGGGCTGCCCTTGTACATAAGTAGTGGATCTAGATGTCCTAGCTGGCTATTATTCAACAATGGGCGAGAGAAGCAAACCATCATGAGAATGAATCATAGGTAAAGTAAATTATCTATGACTGAATGTATATGACAGATGCTTGATTATATTCATGCCATAATCTTTTTCATTGGACACTAGCCTCATTAAGCATCTTTAAACTAAAAGCCATCTCTTTATCGAGAGAGCCGGTCTTAAGTTTCTATGATCTAAAGTACTCATACTGATACTATATGTTTTTGTTATTGTACTCCGCCTGACGGTGGTAGTAACAACACTAGCAGTCACCTTTGACTGATATTGGCTCCTTCTCGACCAGGAAATACAGTAGATCTTTACCACATATCTGCAAAACCATTTTTATTATTCTTTTGCTTTAGCCCCTGACAAAGACACGCCGGAAGTCTCTTCCAAGTACCCACACGGCTGCATCCCCACTTGCCATGTCTCTAGTGGTTTCTACCCAACCAACCGTTCGCGCAATCGCTGGGTAAATGTTAGGCATTGCTGTTCTACTTTTAGGTGCGCTTCACCATGGTATCTCTCCTGATTTGCTGACACCACAGACTTGGTAGAATATCTGCACGCCAGCATTGTGATCGTGCCTGGGGTTTTTAAATCTAGGAGTTGATAGAACTAATAACATGGAGCTCAACCTATGCAGCCATAATATTGTGAATGCCCTTGAAACCCCTGACCGCTAAGTACCATATTATATCAACAGTCAATTGCTTCCACAAAATGCCACACAAGTATACCAGGTAATATAACAAAGCCGCCGTCCTGAACGGTAATATGTAATACCAACTGAAGCACTGCCCAAACTCCAGCTCCAAAGTTATTAGTCAATTTAATTACAGCTTACTCATCACGACGCCGCAACCTTCCTCCACCGCATATAATATGCCAAGTTTTTCCACAGCCCGTACACAAATGCCTTGAAAATTGAGACTGTAGCTTTTAACTGCCCTGGCTCCGCCATTGCCCGATCCCACTGGTCCTTAAGTGCGCGTCCGAACAGTGATGAGCCCAGCTCCTGTTCTGTAATCCGGATTGCATCCTCTCCGTTGGTAATAATATAGTATACTGGGCCAGAACTGTTGATACATATAGAGTACGGACTGTCCATCGCTTGCCAGCGAAGATGTGCTAGAAACCGTCGGATGACTGTCTTTGTGACTCGCCATCCGTGACCATATTCCAGGAGACCTATAATGCCTGCGTGGAAGGCGAGGAGTTCTTCGAATGAAACCAGCATTTGTTCGGCGGGGGTGCCGACATGGTAGACACCTGCAGATTCGAATTGGATGGCAAAGGTCTGGGTGTGGTTAGTTTATATCAATTGCACCAAGCAGATCCTGGTACTGGCCATTGCAGAGAATGGTACTTAGTACGAGCGGAAAACCTACCATAATATAGATGTAGAATATTTGGCGGGACGAAGTCACATATTCTGTATAGGTTGCTGGTTTCCAACCAAGGCATGGCTCTGGGTCTAATAGGGATGTTATAATAACATTGCACTCCTTAAACAAGGTGGATCTAATTCAGGGATACTGGATCGGATTATAGCTTGAGCTTTTCCGGGCCTTTGGATCCCGCTTGACTGATTCCCGACCGTGATCTACCTCTATTGACGGGGAGCCTAATACTACTTCGACACAGTACGAGAAAAATTGCTACCCTCATTAGTGGATCTCTATTTTCTGCCAGCCCACTGATATCACAATTTCTATATGTTTCAATTGCTGAATAATTTGATATCTTACTTTGACAGGAAGTGGTGGATAGTGCCTGTGATATATTTACCGCAAGTGGACTAACTACTAGCGATCTTTTCGCACTATACCAAAGTAGTAGCTACTAGACCCACCAAGCTGTTGGTGCCCAACCTGCAAAAACTTTGATCAGGAAAGATCGTGAGCTAAGAGTGTTAGGTAGCAACGGATGAACTTTATTTGACCATCTGAAATAATATATTACTTGATAATAACCAGAATGCTACATGCAGAGTACAGAGATAGAGGTCTAGTGCTGCACTCAAGCTGTAATATACTCTATAAAATATAAGTTACCAGAGCTAAACTGAACGAGCAGAGGTATTTTCAAGACCACTTTGAGCTTGAAGCTCTTTCTTGTTTCACCCTACCTAAGCAAACGGACCAATACTTATGATTATCGGGATATAGCAGGGGCTGGTAGCCGAAGCTTTCATGCGAGCAATTTACAGTCTCCTTACATACTCTACAGTACATGGCTTCAAATAAAGAGGACTAAACCATTGCTGCTGCCCATAAATCTTAAATAATGGACCTACAAAATGTGTATTTCAATAAGTTGCGATGCTTTCCTGACTTAACAGACTGGACTTTATATCATCTTTGAGTACTAAGTATTGAAGACCACTCTAGATTTGTCTAATAGTCACGCACTCTGGTAAGTATCCATATATATCTGCCTTATAATGGAAAGATTCAGCATCTACTAGCAATCACGCATTAGCTTACTAGATATATACCGGTGAACGCTATTTGAACTCTACAACTAGATATCTAGAAATGCGTCCATCATGTAATCCACATAAATGCAATTATCATTAGCAGAAATATGAGACCGATATTAATCTTATGTGTATAACCATTATATAAAGTAGTAGTTTTCTACTTTATCTTAGAGTCTTAATTTGTGTAGCAGCCCGTTTCTTGAAAAGGTTATATTAGCTGGTACCCGGTAGTATTATATCCTGAAACTATCTGTATCCCATCGCTGTGCCAAGAAATCCTGCCATATAAAGTGTTGAAACATTTGAGTCACCCCTGCTGCTTGGTGGCTATCGATATATCGTTTTTGGTCTACTTGGCACAAATTTGTTTTGACATAAACTTCCCGCACCCTAATTGCATCGCATATGTGATGCACTGCCCCTAGTAAGGTATAGAGGTTTTGATTAATCCTTTCCTACCTTGCACTTCGCCACCCTAGGACGAGCACCCCATAGTAAGATAAATAATATTAACGGAACAATATCATATAACCTCGAACACTGGTCGCCACCACAGTTTCTTGGAACTTTGTTCACCAAATACAGTATTAAGTATGAGTGTTTTGTCTCATAATCAGTATCTGTGCCTAGTATTGCAAACAGTGGCACCGTCTGAGTGGCTCGGGCATAATGTTCTCCGATTGCTATAGTACTATTAGCGCTAGTCGGAGTTTATAAATCCCGAGTATGTGGATGAAGTCTTGGCACAGATAGTTCCGTACTTAACTCTAGTAAATAGGACCGAGTCAATGAGAGAGAATTCATTATTAAGCCTTCCATACCTTCAAATATCTCGGGCTATAGAATTGGCTACTGAGTGCATCTCAACACGTGAAGAGTCGGGTCAAAGTAGAACATGTATCAGCTCTGGTTACAGGCTTCTCATATACCTAATACACTATGTAAAGCCATCTTGATATATACATCATACTAAGAGCAGTATGACGCAAGCCAAGCATACTATGAGAGCTAGTGTCTGCAGCATGCAACACCATGGTCAGCAGGGCAATGGTCAGACAGCTATTAGATACTAGACTGTCAGATATATTAGTATCATGTTTTCATTCCTACTCCCTGTTATATAAAAGCTGTAGCAACAACGGGCTTTCTAACTAGCCTTTATATTATCTAGCAGTCAATAACAAGCTTTTATAATCATTCTCTTCTCTTATTCCAAGCCTGTTACTGCAGAGCCAGTGACCTTTCCAGGCGACCAAGATATATACCACTCCACATTTCCATTTTCTGTTAATATGATCTACTACATTCATCTATTCGCTATTACTGCGTACCTCTTCCTCCCTGCAAGCGCCCAGGATAACAGTTCAGGCAGCCCTGCCGGCCCCATCGGTGATATAGTATGTGCGACAGCAGTACAAGAAGTGGCCAACATGCCATATCCTGGAGACTGCTCAAAATGGATCAAATGCGACACTGAGTATGCCGGCACCGCTACGGTTTATACTTGCGATGAAGGGTTATGGTTTAGCTTCGATGTCCAGACATGTGTTTGGCCGGACCAATCAGGCTGTGTAGATGGGGTGTGAACACGGTATCAAGTCTGTGAGTTTACCTCTCACTTTCCGATAGGAGAAATTCTCATCTAACAAAGGATAGGGCTGTGTTTGTTGATTTTAAATAGCATAGATGGGTATAAGGTGTTCTTCTCCTTCACTATTGTTATATGGTATTCAAGGAATTTGGTTGTTCTCCACTATTGATAGTGTGGCCCAAGCACTGTCCGCAAGCAAGGATAGCAACTCAGATGAGCATAAGTCTAATACTCAACCATGTAAGTTAGTTAAAATTCCTGTCAGTCCAGCCCCAGTCATTGACATGCCGGTGACAGTAATACTACTCACTATACTTCTTTAAAGACAACGCTCTATATTACAGTAGCCCTTAGTTGCTCGTAATATAATAAGTATATCTTCACAGCTTCCTCACATGCTAGATGATAATATTATTTTCCAGATACTGAAGTAAGTCTGCTAGATAAAATACAGTGAATAATAGTATTATTCTCCTACTCTTACTACATTGTTACTTTATTACTCTAGTCATTCTTATAATTCTTCTTATCGTATTCTCATGTTTTTGTTCATTATCTTCAATATATAATAAGGATAGACTTGATGTCTTTATTAAGAATAGACTATCCCTGTAAAATCACAGGTAGCCTGTCTACTACTGTTCTAAACTCAGTTAAAGTTCTTATATCACTTACATTTTATACATCCCACAGTGAGATTATTCTAGTTGAGATTACTCATTTACCACTTTAAGCTGCTAGCTACTTAATATAATATTGATACAAAGACTTTGATATACTCTCTGTACTTACTAGCCTCAATTTCCAAATTTGTCTCCAATATTTCTAAGAGGCATGATAAGATGTTATTATCCCTTTAATGGAACAGACGCAATTAACAGAAACAGATCCTTTGCTACTATTCGTGAAGGCTCGCAAGGGAAAGTAAAATAGGCGGACGAGTTAATTAACCCTGAGGTTTTTTAGTTTTTTATTTGTTTTTTATTAATTACCCTTCTAGAAATATAGAAAAACGACAGGGTTCTGTATAAAAATATTCAGATAGAGACATCTGTATCCCATATTAAATCTCGATTTAGACTCTACTGGAATTTCCTGGTTCCGATGTGAGTCTCTGACTGAATATTCCCAGTTCCCAGATCAACATATACACTGGAGGAATCGTTACCGCTCCTACAAATCAATTGGAATCAGCCTTGCCTGTCAACGGTATTTCATCCTTCACTTTTCAGCTTGAGTCAGTAACTTATTATGACTAAGATTTATTTCTTTCAGATCAATACAGGAGGCTTTCATAGCATGACAATTTATTGACGATCCAGGATATCATTCATCGCAAACTCTCTATGTATCCCTATATATCCAATAATACATGCGTCAAATAAATTGTTCGGGTCTAAATATATCACGATACTCGTATTGACAATGCTTTTATTTGAATTGTTATTAACCTTTTTGGACCGGGGGCTCTGGGTGGGGGAGGGCTTTTTTCGCCTATAAAGTTGTTGTATTTAAAAGTAGATGCAATCCGGCGGTTTTGCGGACGGATCTCAACGGGGGACCGAAAGCGTGGAGGGAGCCGGCAGGATAGAGGAATCTGCCGTGGAACATTTTTACTAGGTGAAATTTATATTCCTTAGCGCTTATCAGGAGGGGAAACAAATGATGTGGATTGGAACTCCGCTCGGGAGACTTGCGCCACAGTACACGTAGCTACGCCAATCACAATCATGCGCGGACGTGGATTTTCTTGGGGACCATATAGTTACGTGACATGAGGCTGGCGAAAAGTGCAAGTAAGCCCAGAAATTCTGACAGGGATTCTGTAATTCCCCCATAGTCCTTCGGTGATTTCGCTATTTCGAGACCTCAACCGGAGTGGCATGAGAACCCCGCCAGCTGTTACATTGGACTCGATGAAGATATAAAATCCTACTTTGTCTCATCGAAAGGTCATTAACAGCGCTCATTCCACACGACAAAACAAGTTACCGTCTATTTCTCTACAGAGTGATATTCGAACCGATTGACATGATGAGCAAGACCTACGAATATGTTATCTGTGGAGGTGGTACCGTGGGATGCGTTCTCGCAAGTCGCCTCTCCCAGGCGGGTCACAGCGTACTGGTCGTCGAGGCTGGTCCCGAGGACTACAACGACAAGATCATGAGTCCTGTTGCTGCTCCGCATCTCCATGGCACTGAATGGGAATACAACCTGATGACGGCTAAGCAGCCAGGACTGGGCAACCGCTCTGTTCCCAATTACGTGGGCAAATTGCTGTCGGGCTCTAGTGGCATCAACTACGGTCTGTGGACTCGAGGTCACTCAGTCGACTATGACTCCTGGGCGAAGGCAGTGGGAGACGAGCGGTGGAACTATGCGAATATGCTTAAGTTCTTCAAGATGGCGCAGACTCACCACGATCCGACCGGTAGCCCTGAAAAGTATGGGTTCAGTGGGCCGATTTCGACAACGGCCGCGGCTCGTACCTACCCGCTGCGAGAACAGATCCGCAATGCAATGTTGGCTGCGGGTCTGGAATACAATCCTGATACCAACGGCGGCAGTCCTCTTGGCTTTGGACCATTCACGGAGAACTGGAAGGATGCTCTCCGACAACCAGCCAGCAAGGCCTATGATCTTTCCAAGGCGACAGTGCTGACGAACTCCGTCATCGCACAGGTCGATGTCGACGATTCCAAAACGGCTATCGGTATCACACTGACTGATGGGACTCAATACACGGCATCGAGAGAAGTGCTCGTGACTTGCGGTGCTATCAAATCACCTCAGTTGCTGATGTTATCCGGCATTGGACCCCAACAGCATCTTGCACAACACAATATCCCCATCGTCGCAGATCTACCTGTTGGAGAAAATTACCACGATAAAATCTCGGCAACCTTCTTCTGGAAGCTACGAAACCCGGAGAAGGGGTACGCACTTGGCTCCCCACTCTTCAACAAGCCCGAGTTTCGGCACGGCAACCCTATAGAATGGGTTGCAACGGTTCCTACACCGCACGCAGAGCTCATCAAGGCCGCTCAAAAAGACAAGATCGACGCGGAAGACCCTTACCTACAAGAACCCCGCGGCAACGTGGAAGTGATGGTAGCCTACGCACCAATCGCCGGTGGTGGTTCCGAGTTCCGGGTCCCCATGGACGGAAACCACATCAGCAGCCCCGTAGTTCTCCTTCTTCCAACCAGTCGAGGTAGTGTCACGCTCGCGAGTGCTGATCCCACTGCTGATCCAGTACTGGACCCGAGATATCTCGATACTGAGACAGATCGTGCCGCGATACGCGCTGGTATGCGAGTCGCCTTGCGCGTTATGGAGACAGATTCTGCAAAGGAGGTTATCGATGGCGAGACACCGCCGCCGGGCCATGAGCCCATCACCAGTGCATCTAGTAATGCAGACCTAGACCGACGGGTGCAGATTGTGGGGAGTAGCTTTTTCCAAAATGGAGGTACGGCTGCTATGGGGACGGTGGTGGACACCCAGTGTCGAGTTAAGGGTGTTCAGAACCTTCGAGTTTGTGATGCTAGTGTGCTTCCTTTGCCACTGGCAGGTCATTACCAGGCTCCTATGTATGCTTTCGGAGAAGCCGTGGCTGATATGCTGCTTGCTCAGTAGGAGTATCTTCTGTATATCCGGATACGTCACCCTTTTTTTGAGCCAATTAATTCGGACTAGTAGCACTCCCAAACGATGTCAAGAGAGAAGTTAATCGGATCACATCAGCCAACTTCTGGGTGAAGGAGGGGCACCCTATCTACACCTTCTGATATTATCAGATTTTGCACTCTCGAGCTGTAGCCCAACTAAATGTCCGTGCATTATGTAAGGAAGGAGGTTTCTGCTCCAAATTTTCCTTGCCTTGCAGTAGCTTCCGGAAATTACGTTGTACTGGTTCTTGCAATTACTCCTGTGATATTCCCCTGCACAATCCTAGTGCGTCCTTGCAAGGGTAACCATGCTTTCCTGAGGCCCAGAAGCTCTAATAAGAGATATACGTGTATCCAGGATCATAGGTAAGATAGACTAGGAACAACCGGGATTGCGGTATAGTTCCCAGAGAACATTCCTGGAAGCGGGTAGCTCAATCCCCGAAGTACTCAAATAGATGTTCCTTAAGGAACGTTATTATTCAAAGTAGATAGGTGAGTTCATTCTGGATTAGGCTTGACTATTGTACATGTTGAAGTTAATAGCTTTGGAGTATATAGGAAGTCAATAATTCAATATGAAACGGTTTGGCGGCACCGCCGGCATTGGCCTGAAGTGCAGACATCACAGCGGCGGGTGGCCGCAGGTAGATCATTCCATGTGGCAGGTGGCATCTATGTCCTGGAGGCGATTTGGTCCAGATGCACAAGGATGGTGGCAATGCAGCGGGATTAGAGTGGGCGGCTGGCAGCAGATTCTCACTTGCCTTGACGTAATGATGTTTCTTTGTTTCTCCTCTTTCAATGTGGTTGGTGCAGGAATGTTGCTGCACATGGACACTGGTAATAATAAGCACTTTACGAGTTTCAAGCAGATCATAAACGTGCGGCAATAATTGCTACGGTGAAGCTTCGCTGGTCATGACAGCCATGGCTGTTTGTTTGTCGGGGAGAAAAAACCTTTGTTTTTTTTTTTTTTTTACATTCACATTTTTTTGTATCTAGTACTAGGAGACAAGAGATAAGCCCTCATCTACCGGTCGGAGCCTCGGATGCGGTTTAGAATTGAAATATACCGATTCGGGTAATGTATCATATGTGTTTTTTACATGTACAATACGGTTTTGTGTTATACACAGGACAACATATGTAATACCGCCCAACTAGTGCTTACTCTATCTCTCTCTTCCTCTGCGCGCTGCCCTGCTTGCAAGTTTGACCCCCGACTAGTGCTTACTCGCTCTGCCCGCTGCCATGCTGGCAGGTTTGGTCCCCAACATAAGCAGGCTGAATCTCTACGGCCCCTTCCTACCGAGGCATCGATCATACGACCTGAAAATCTTCCGGCGCACAATCCTCCCGCGTCAATGTCCCGTCAAATCTCATCCTAGATCTAACCTTAAATGATCCCAGTATGCAAGTTGGGGGCCAGGCACGCTTCTTTGAAGCGGTGTTGTATCATATTTGGGAACCGCAAGTTAGGACTTGAGGCTCAGGCCTGATCCACGAGGTACTGCCTGATTACCTAGGCTCTTTTAGCATCTGGGCTAGTCTTATATAGGTCTAGGACATTTTTAAGGGGAAGTCCGATATATGATTGGCTGTTCCCGATATAGCTCGTCCGCAAAGAGGCGGGACGGCAATACTCGATACCTAGGTAGCAGTACCGCTTCCTTGCGAGTCTGAGATGGGGATAGGGATCTAAGGAGATATTGTCCCAGAGATGGCTGTCTGGAATCACCCTGCGTCTTGTGTGTCCATACTCTTCCACATTAACTCGCTGAATCACTTCCTGGTAGTTGATCGATCTAACATCTTGTTAACCCCCTGGTATGTGTTGGGAATTGCCTCCGTTTCAGAGATAGCAACACGTAGGTTAACAAGACTGATGCTCTGATACTGGAGCCTTATCAATTATCAAGTCAATAACTGTATGCCATTGAATGCTCCTCGTGGGTATATTGAGGTGCTTGATTGTTGCTCAGGCAATCAACCTCGGATCGGGAGACAGAAAGTACATCGTTGTCTGTCCGCAGCGGAGTCTTACATCCTGTCAAATATATATTTACTACGTATAGCTAAGATTAATACTGCCATGAATGCTAGTAGTAGTATTTGCTTGTACGCTCGGTTCTTTGCAGACGGAGCTTTGGCCTAGCTGCTGGCACTACTCCTAAGTTGAACATAAAAACAATGATGTTGCCACAGCTACCTCAGAGACCGGATGGTACTTGTGCTATCTCTCAAATATCATGGTAATATTCTAGGATAGGAGAAATAGATATGACTGTTATGAATTCTCCCTTTACCTACATATTTCTTAATCATTACCTTTCACAGTCCTCTTCATCACGCTGCCCTATCTCTTCAATTGTCCTCTGGTTTAAACGCATGAGCCAAACTTGGTATCCTATACAAACAACCACCTTCCTACCTATGACCGCTGTGATGAAGTCTCTGCTACCTGTTCAAGCTCAAGTCAAATACAATCTTCCCTCTGGCGTGCCCAGTCGCCAGCCTTTCAAATGCTGACCTAAAATGTTCCAACGGCCAAACACTATCTACCCTTCCCTGACACTTTCCTAATTCAATCAACTCAGTGACCGCCCCCAGCTGATTTCCACTTGGCTCCATTACAAAGAATATATCCTTAACACCTCTTGTACTCGGATCCTTCCATGGACATGATGTTTTGGGAGGTTGGAAGATACTCACCACTGTGCCTCCGTCCTTCACAGTCCACCAAGCATCCTCGAGTGCTCGTCCTCCTACACAGTCAACAACCACATCTACCCGCCTTCCCTCCTCCTCCTCCTCCTCCTCTACCCAGGCCTTCAGATCAGTGGCTCGATAATTAACAGCCTCCTTGGCCCCCATAGATCTCACCAGGTCGACGTTGTCGGGTCCACACGTCCCGATCACCTCGACGCCCAGCACCCTCGCTGCAAGCTGCACAACCCACAGGCCCACGCCCCCAGATGCAGCCGTGACCAGAATTCTTTTGCCTTTCCAAGCCAATTTTGCTCTAGGGATATCCATAACAGCCTCGGGAGGGACTATCCCGGCGTTGATAAAGAGAATTTGCCAAGCAGTCTCGGCTGACACTGGCACCGCAGCAGCCTCAACCCAAGTCAAGCTTTCTGGCTTTCTGGCGAGCTCGTCCGTAGTAGCGATTGTATAGTCACGAGCGTTGCCAGGTCTGGCATAACTCGTACGAGCATAGATCTCGGCCCCGGGTTGAAAAGGGGAACCTGGAGGCGCGGAGACAACGGTACCGGAGACATCGGGACAGGGAATTAGAAGGCGTTTAGTGGGTGGAGGGAAGTTTCTAGGCCAGAGAAGCTCCCCGGCGCAGGGAGAGCAGGCACGAACATGAATCAGGTGCTCGCCTTTGGCTGGGTTGGAATTGACGACTACGTCGGTTTGGAGGGTTAGATCATCTGCATTGGATTCAGCGGTTGGTTGAATCAGGGCACGTGCGGTTTCAGTAGACATGATGATTTTAGGGCTGTGGTTGTGGGTTGTAAATTACGAGGTAACAGAGAGGGTAGATGCATATTCGATTCTGACACTGTGGAATGGTGACCGGAGGGATGATATTTAACCATGAAGTATGATCCTGGCCCTCGTGTTCAGAGGGGTACACTCTCAAATCCCCACAGCTCTCTGTCCAGATTGGCTGGCATAAATGGAATCTTAGATCTAGACAGGCGATTTTCTCGTATTTCAGTTCGACGATGCCCGGTAGGGTAGCATTCTGGCAATGATGACGAAATAACCTTTGATCCGGTTCCAACCAAGTTTCCGGCTACTAGAGTGCTAGTTCACCAGCAAGTCAGCCCTACTCCGCGTGTGGCAATATCCTTCACACGTGGCTCAGTCGCATGGAATTGAAGGGGGACCCATATCAGCTATTTGGGTAATGAGAATGGGACCTGGGCGAGTCTTGCAAGACTGGCTCCACATACCTTTCACTGCGCAGAGACTTCCATACCCAGTCACGTAAGAAAGACGCAAAAGATCTCCAGATCGCGATCGGTCAGCCTCTACTGTCTGCAACACTGCCTGTGTACGGCGGCTTGCTTGGATTGATTCTTTCAGCCAGCAGCTCTATCTAGTCCCAGGGTAATCCACCGACCATTTAAGAAGGAAATTTCACTTTTGCTAATCTCGCTAGATCTCAACATTGGTTGCACACTTTCCCCCGCATGGAAAGTCTGGGGTCGGGTCCGCTTTCCGTGCCTCCACATCGGAGGCGGCGCTTACGTAGCCAAGCAACTAGTCTTCTGCAAGCATAGTATGGCTGCCAGTAACACGATACTTCTAAAAGGGTTCGTCGGAAGGTTTTCATCTTCGGACAACGTGGGGAACATCGGAATGTGGGCATTCGAGATTCATGATCTTCTGGACTCCCTGGCAGCCTATGCTGATTGCTTCGAGAGTCGTGGTGATTCCTGGGCGCAAGTATCAAGCTATTTAGGTTGCATGCTGGCATAGCGGTCCTGTCGGCATTTTAGTGCAGCATTAGACGTGCCTTTTAAAGCCTCTCGTGTATCTTGCCTGGTATCTAAGAAAGTATCGTCATAGCAATAATGAGGTCTTTGTTCCTAAGTACAGTGGCAAGCTTTGTCCTCGCAGCGAGAGCTTCCCCAATGCCTGCCGCCTCGCCAATTGACCAGCGCGCTTCAGAGTCAGCAAAGCGTGACTGTTCCCGAGAGTGCATGGCAACAATCGTGGATCAAATTCTGGCTTCAATGGTTGTGCACAACCCGTACACCCTGCCGATGGCTACAGTATATCAGGCTACGGAAAACTCTCACCCCGCAGCGCTCGGGATGATGACAGCCTGGAGAACTGTCACCAAAGCAGGACCACCCAGTTTGCTCGCAATCGACACCATGCAAAGGTCGGCTTATTTTGCATTGGACGTCAGCGAAGGTAGCGACACGACGGAGTCCGTCCTCAGGGGACGAGTCAAGGTTGTTGACCAGGAGATCACCGAGCTGGAATTGTTCATCAACCGCTACCGGGGGGACCATGGCTTCTCCTTCTCAGCCGCTGAGCTTCCCAGCAATTATGAGGTCTTGATGTCACCTCCAGATAACCGGACAAAGGCGAGTCGGGCAACATTGACGGCCCTGAGTGAGGCTCTCTTTGCCACTTCGAGTAATTTGTCCGTGAGCGTCGACGCCAACTGCCAGTTTACCGAAGTGGGCTGGAAGGTCATCGATACGGGAACATACGACAATGGAACGACCACCCCGCTCAGTTGCAGCTGGCCTACGGATCATCCTACTGATGAGAAGGCGCGTGTCGGCCTAGTCATCGACGAAGAGTTGGGCTTCGTTGTGACTAGCGGCATGATCCCGGGTAAGGTCTACCCATACCAAAACGTCTCAGCCTTCATCCCGGACGCCATGACTTCCTCGCAGGAGGCTCAAGATGTGTGGTTGAACGAGGCGAAAGCACAGGGCACCAAAGGGCTTCTGGCTCCCACTGAGGGAACGGGGGAGACTCTTGAGGTGCTCCAATACTACAACGATGCGCTCCAAGCCATGCAGATTAATGTGTATATGAGCGGTCCAAATATGACATCGGCCTGGTTGTGAAGACCTGAATGGTACAAAGCAGACTTATTCGATGGAAGTGCACTGATGTCTTTGGGGGAGCTGATCTGGAGTCATACTTTACTCGTCATATATTTGTTTGCTAGCTGAACTGAGTTTTCTCTCGACGCGAGATGTGGTGTAGGGGACTTTAGGATCATTTGCTTTAGCACTCCTTCGCTTACCTCTATCTCGGTATTCAAAACGTAAACAGTCGCCGGGCAGGCGCCGGGCTCTGGATCCTTATATCAAATTGAGCACAGTGTATCAGCCTCTATCTTCCAGTCATGGTGAAAACACAATAGACGCACTTGGAACGCCTCCTAGCGCCTGATCTCGTACATTTGCCCGTTTTTACATTATCCGACCGGTGGAGGTGGTTATAGCTCTTCGGCCACACCTACATCCATTCCTGCAGGAATGCTTCCTATTCTTCAAGGACCTCTTTCACATGCTTTGGCAGATAGTAATTTCTCGCCAGTCCAGGCCAAAGAGAGCCATCTAATCTGACTAAACCGAGATTCATGGCCGGACACCCTGTGCTCTGATTCCGCAAGGTTTGACGCCAAAGGTCCACAAGGCTTTTAGCACGCAGAGCGTGGTCTTTAGTGGGCGCTTGTACAAGCAGTAGCAGTAGGAAACTGGAGACGGTTGCAAATCCGACACGGGACCCTAGCTCAGTCAGTATATCTCCAGCCGAATGTGTGACTCATCCATTGATAGAACATACATCTGTACCAGAAACTCGACAAATCACTGGTAGTCATACGCATCACCAGACGGATCACTTTCGCCGCACAGTTGTCGGCTGCTCTCAGCACTGCATTTCCCATGCCATTTTCATCGGACATGTCAATGGCCATGGACGGCTCAATCTCGTCGGCGTCAAACAACTGAGCCAGTAGATCGTTGAATTGGTTCGTGAATTCCGTTGTCTCGAAGCTCTCCTCGAGCAACGGAGGCGGAGCAGCAGAGCGAACCATTGGCCGCAGGAGAGCGCGGAATACAAAGACCTCTAGAAGGATGCAGGCGAAACGGAGGCAGTTGGACTGGCAGTATATGCTGTCCATAGTGGTAGGCAAATGATCGGGCTGACGTACCGATACTGGGGAGTGCGCGTACCACTCCTTGAGCTTCTGCAGAAGAGGACGCGCGATTTCCAGCGTTGCATGAAAATCTGGCGATAAACGCTGCGACGCCTTTAGCGTGCTATGGGGCCAGGGGTGGTCAGTATCGCGTAAATTAACATTACATTCGTAGTTGGGAGACCTACAAGAGGGAGCGTTGTAGTTCATCAGCGATGCGCGACAACTGGATGAATTGCTGGAATGGTTGAGCACTGAGAAGAATGTGAGAAGAGTGTGAGGCGGACGGGGGTTGCTGTAGGGCCAGGCGCAGACTTTCGGACATGACGAAATCATCATCGTTGAGATCTGCGGCATCCCAGTCGTCACTTCCTATATAGGATGGACGCCCGATAAGCAAGCAACGCCATTTGTCTTCGGCGTAGATGGCCCACCAGAGCCGACGGCGAATCCTCTTTTCCCATAACGGAAGTCCCATTAGCCGGCAATCCAACTGAAGCCCAAGTGACATGGCCACACCGACAAGCATGCCCACCAAGGACCAGGTAAAGGCACTATCCGCCACAGCACTTTCAGTAACGCTGACTGGTCGGTGAAGGTAGAGAATTCCTGCCTGGAGGGTCGATAGACGGGCAGTATGGATGTCCCGCAGCACAAGGTCAAGAACCATGCGCCAGACTAGATCAGTTGGGGGAGGAGCGTACGCATCAAGCAAGCAAAGGTAGTCATCAAATTTGGCGAAAGGCTGTGCTGACGCGTAGATTGCAGCCAAAAGACACAGGGACGTCTTTTGAAGGATAGTCTGATCGGGCACTGTGCCTGCCGCTGCAAGCCCAAAATGCGACCGCGAAATGATCGGCAGCGTCGGAAAAATAAACCTCATGAAGCTGGAGAGAAAACCATCTCATGTCAACTACTGAACGGATAAACCGTGGTAACAATGTCAACTTACAGCACTATCAATCTCTGGCCACATTCAGGGGGCACAAGATGATTTAATTGCTCATGTGTAGTGAGGGGTTCTGGCGGCAGCAGCTGAGCCTTGGAGGGCACATAGAGCTGATCCGATGAGACCAGAAAATGGCAGGGAATCTTCTCGTCAAACGGAACGCCCCCTGCGTTTCGGAAGTGCACTTGGTGGAAGGAGAGGAAGCCTCTGTCGTTGAACTTGCAGTGTCTGAGGAGCCACGGATCAGATTCGGCTGACGTGCCATTGACCTGGTAGGATACACCCCCCAAACCATCGAGTGTCTGGATGGTTTGATGCGTGTGTCTTTCCTTGAAGGCAGAGGGAGTGTGCGGGCGAGTACCGCCTGGATCTGCTGAGAATCGTACCGAGTCTAGCTCGAAGAAAGGAATCTCAACCGCTTGATGTGGAACTGGGGGATCTTGGTCCACCACAAGTTCCTCGGTCGGTTGCAAATCGCCGGTTGCCACCGGTCGGGTTTCTGGTGAAAGCGGCTTCGGCGGCACGGTGCCCTGACGAGAACGAGGTCGAGGGCGAGGGCGAGGGCGAGGACGAACACGAGCAAAGGAACAAGAGTGACCCGCAGCTGTACAGCGCTGACAATTGCCGTTGTGATCAGCTTCACAGCGTAGCTTTCTCCGGCGGCATTCGTCACATGGTGGATGTCGTTTTGATCTATAGGGACGAATGGTAGGAGGCGGCGTACGAGGGTGGAGATGATGGGGGGTTATTGGGTTTGGAGAATTTGACGCCATGCGACAATCAGTCGGTCGGTGATTTGCGAATTCGAGATGATGTTTCGGAGTACTAGTCAGACCAGCAACATCAATAACCGCCGCTAGAGATCACAGGATATTTAACTAATCCGCCGAAGTCAATTCGACAGCGGCCAAGAACGAGTTGGCCGAGGACTTCGCCGAATTCCTCGTCTGATTCGTTAACCGCCAAATGGCACCGCCGAATTGCTTGGCTCAAGCATCGCCGGAAGGCGCACTAACGTTACTACTAGTTAGTAAGGACTTTTGCTACGACAGCTTCACTCCCGTTTTGGCTGTTCTTTCGAATATACTGATCTGATAATTTTCAATTGACTAGGACAATAATATGTAGATTTCCGCTAGAAACCTCACAATTTCGTTGCTTCAATATCCCCCCGCCGTCGATCGGCGACAGAAAAAAGCTCAGGCGCGTCGGTCACCACATCAAGAGTCTCGCAAGAGATTCAAGTTGACCATCACCAGCGGTATCCATTTCCCCTACAACAGGATCCAAAGCATTGATCCCCTTTTGCGGATTAGCTCGTGAATAGTAATGATAAGGGATTTCGGATATGTGTGGCAGTGGGTCAGGTACCATTGTAGAACACAGGGTAGGATGGTGTGGAAGTCTCGCAACTCTCACTATATGTTGGAAGCATCGCTGTTTCATCTCTAAAGATTGGAGATGAGCAAAATGGCTTGTAATCTTGAAGACTTCGGACACTCACCTGACTGTCGCCGTGTCGGGGGATGGTGTACTCTGCCGTGCGTCTCTCTTGTTTGGTTCATCCACCTTGTCCACAGGTGGGGAACGACAACATAGTCGGGCTTTGAGGCTAATCACTTTCTGTTTCAAATCCATGGTGAGGAGCAGAAACATGAGGCATTTCCCAGCGAAATTCACAGGCAGCATAAGTGACCAGAGACACTATATATGTGCCAGGTATAAGGTCGAGGGATGAGTCTTAATACTACCTGCCTTTAGACATCAAGCACTTTGACTTTCGGCCTTGCCTGCTTGTGCAATGGTAAGACACCTCGTCGGGACAAGCCATCCGGCCCATTCATCAGCCGACAGCCATCCACTCATGCAGTGGGGATGACTACATCCGCATTTCGCCGATCTGGTTGCCTAGAAGAGCAACCTTTGGCCTCAATGTTGACTTCGCCGAGAATTTCCCTGTTAGACTGCTCCTAAATCCAACACTTTATGCCATCATTCCTCCTCACTATGGCAATGCCAAAGAAAGATACGAAAAAAAAGAAAGAAAAGAAAAGGACAAAAAAAAAAAAATAAAGGCAATGTTATTCGCTTCTATGTCTATTCTGATGCATACTGTTGGTAGACACAGACGCACCACTACCCGACGAGATATACTAGTATCTCGTTTGGTCTACTTGGTAGTCAATTTCTGTCTTACTTTTCTATAGCAGCCTTTAGAACTTGCCCATCAATTTCCAGCCCGCACCAATGCCCCTGGCAACAGCAAAGGCGACCGCGGAGGCCGCATACAACACGCCTCCGAAGACAATCAGGCCCCAATAGTCCCCCTGGTTCTGCTGCTGGATAGCACCTGCAATCGGGATGCCCGTCAATGTACCAACACTGGCTATGGTAAATGTCGTCCCGCTTCTCTTTCCCAGATCCTCCGTTCTACACACCTGCGAGATGCACACGGGGGTGAGACTGATGGCGGCACCGCTCCAAAAGCCAAACAGTACCGCATAGCAAATGACTGCAGGCATATTCGCCCCTGAAGCGAGCCATAACGCGAGTGTGAGCGCTGCACAGATGACAGATGTCACTACCATCACGTTGAATCTTCCGAGCCGATCTGCTACTAAGCCCGGTAGGAGCCGTCCTGGAACAGCACCCAAGTTGAGGAAGATACTCAGCGCGTACGCGAGAGTGTTATCCAAGCCAACGTGAATCCCGTAAGATGAAATGTAGGTGATGGGGATGAAGACGGCGAATTCCACCAGGAAGACCGCTATCGTGGTTGCGGCATATTTCTTCTCCCGCAGAGCATGGAAGTCGACCGATGCGCCAACATTCTTGTCTTTGGGAAGCCGTGTTTTCAGCGTCAAACATGAGATCAATAAAAGAACAGCACTGATGAGCGCGATAATACGAATGGCCCAGGGAAAGCCAATTCGAGGTGCTGCAAAAAGAATAATAACGGGAAAGATAACTCCTCCTAAACCCCCGGCAGTGCAGGCGATGCCGGTCGCATATCCGCGTCGCACGTCGAACCAGTGTCCAATACAAGAAATTGCTGGAATGAAGAGGGTACATGCAGATAGGCCCCCAAGAACACTAAAGGAGAGGAATATCTGGTAGAATTCTAATAGCAGTAAGTCAGCATCATCTGTACCACTGTTGTAAGGATGACATAGGCTCCCTACCTCGGCTGAAACTAAAGCCAATCAGTGCTATAACCATGCCGATCGACCCTGGGATAATAACATAATTGGGTCCATGAGTATCCAATATTGGTCCTGGGATTTCTCAGCGCGAATAGGTCTCAACATGATTGGGGGGTCACTGACCGGTTTGCGCTCCCGCGGCGTACAAGAAGAAGCTGTATGCGCCAAAGATCCAGCCAATGCTGGACTCGGAATAGTCTTGAAGCTGGTGCTTACTCGTCCATGCATGGAGAATGCCGAGGCAGTTAAGCAATCCCATGGAAGGGATCATCGCACACCATGCTCCAAGCACCACCAACCAGGCCTCGAGTCCGCCCTCGGGATATCCGTGCGGCAAATCTGAAAGTTCATCGGTCATCGGGGGGGAGGCGGACTCAGCTATCTTGGTCTCCATGACCATAAGGGGGGATACTATGATGCTTTTGCAAGCCATCATTGTCGGGGCAGACTAATGTGGCATGTACAAGGCTGAAAATATTGTCGGGGTGGAAGCTACTGACCCATCAAGAGATTCTGGACGACCACTGTGCCTTGACGAATGCTTTATGGACGGCCAGCCAGCGACCGTTCAACCAAGGGACTTATACCCCGTTCTAGATGGTCTAGATAGCGACAAGTTTGAGGATTGATTCTCTACTAGTAATGCTCGGCATCATCCTGTTGGGCCTTCGGCAAGTCTCGGTGTCCTTAGTAGGTGATTGGGTATTTCCCCGTTTGTGGGGCATCAGTACTTCGGCGAAAGGGCAGCTGACTGATAAGTAAAGAACAGAGATAGATGGAAGTCTCGTGGAGTATATATCAATTCAACTATCGGGACCGATCAATCATCGTAGCGTTCAAGCTGACCACAGCGCCACTTTAACCCCATTCTTCGGCATCAGCATCGCCGACAGGTCCTCCTGCCATGGCTGCGAATCCCGCCCCTCCATCCTCGGAAACAGCTGCACCAGACGAACAGTAACATAGCTGGCCACGGTGAGCGCCAACTGCCGGCCCACACATCCGCGTGGCCCGGCTCCAAAGGGCATGAATTCCTCCCCGGGCTGACGAGTCGCCCACCGATCAGGCCGGAATTCTTTGGCATCTGATCCAAAATAGTCTTCCCTATGATGAAGAGAGTACATGCAGCATACCATCTGCGATCCCTGGGGTACTAAAAGAGGAGACTGTCCATCAGGACCGCCACCGACCGGGAGGACTGTGTCCCGTCTGGCCACGCGGTCAACAAGCGGGATCGAGGGAATGAGTCGAAGAGCTTTTTACAAGACGACATTCAATTAGCCAGTGTGCTGACATATGAGTACCTTTCGAAGAACATTCTAGACTACTGACCTTCATTAACACAGTATCGCAGGTACTGCAAGCGCGGTAGCTCCTCGTAGGTTGGCCGCCGACCCTGAAGTGTGGAGTCGATCTCCGCCCGCAGCTTCTGCCACACCGTCGGGTGTCTCGCCAGCATGGAAAATAGATTACTGAGCAGGGAGGCTGTAGTGTCTGCGCCTGTCAACAGCAGGGTTATGACCTCATCACGGAGTCTCTGACGGTCAGTTGTCTGCTCAAGCCATTCATGTAAAGCAACATATCGGCCCGAGCTGGCGCCGGAGGACGCTGAAGCCAACGATGACTTCTTGCCATCCCGCTTGACCTTCTGCTGCAAGGCTTCCTCTACCAGCTGATCAGCGAAGGAGTGACATTTGCGATAGCTCTCCCTCGCTTGTCGATCTGGAAAGAAGCACCGCAAGACCCCGAAGTGATGTCGGCGTGCAACGGCCCTTCCGGCATAACGTATGGCCTCCCTGAATCCATCAACTTTGCTCGGTTTCCCATCCGACGCCGCCATCTGACGCAGACTGTGCATCGACTCGCCCAGCAGAAGCTCGCTCGCGGTGTCCAGTGTATATCTCGAGAAAAGCGGCTGCAAATTCACTGTGCCTCCATCACGCGGCAAGAGAGAAACTAGATCCTGCAGTGTCTGTTCTAGAGGCTCGAAATTGGCAAGCTGACTCCGGGCGAAGTTGCGCCGCATAACGCCTCGAGAATGAGCCCAATTATCACCATCTGAGACTAAGATTCCTGTACTGACCAAGGGACCGAAGGCTTGGTTACGACTCTCAACACTGTAATCGTCTGATTTGAAAGACAGGATTGTCCGAATATTCTCCGGCTCACAGGTCATGACCATCCGCCGGTTGAGGTGTCTTTGGACCATGGTGGTACGTCCACTGGAGCGGAAGTCAGAGTCTACTGTCTCAAGGACGCGATTCTCTCGGGTCGCTCGCCAAAGGATGGCAAGATTGTCGACGCCAAAGGGAAGGCTACGCCGCCCACCTTTTGGCGCAGACTGGCATCCATGAAGCAGACGGAAGCGTTCGCAAGAGCTTGCACGGAAAGCACGATAGATGGCCTGGAGGAGAAGTGGCCAAAGTAAAGCAATAATGGCTAAGGCGTGCAGGTCATGTAGTGCCATGATGGACGAGGTGGGGAGATGTTATGTGTGGATGTTGGAGACGAAATGGAATCGGTCCTTTGATAGAAGGGAAGCCGGGACTATCCACTTATATCGTATTGCTTCCTCTCCCAGATCTCCTTCGGGCTATGGATCGCATATAGTTGGCAACCGATGCACCCACTACATATATGCAATGCAAAAAATAACGTTCATCGGCATTGACATCAGAACACACTATAGTATTTCTACATAAATTATTGATACTCATGTTAATCTCCTCGCCACCCATGAAAGGCAACCCAGAAGCATAAATGAACAGATCTTGTCATGCATCATGGCAACTCTAATCCTGGGAATGCATCGCCATACTGGTGGGGCTCGGTGAGGTGGGAACACGTCCTAGCCCCCAGATCGCAGCTGACATGAAATGACAGGTCAAACCCTGAATAGGCATATACAGCATTGCCACAGGTTTTCATCCCCAGATTGGCAATTGACATAGATAATACTGTGGGCCTATTCATCTGCTGTTTTCCAATAATTGGCCCGCATTGGGCAATATCTGACGATGCGATATGCGAGTAGGCCCCTGCGCAGGACATGCCGTGACGGCCGCTTCACCGCCAATAGTCTGGCAGCATTTGGGACGATATTCCTAACCCCACACAATATTTCATGGCAGAATATAGCAACGTCCTTGATGAGGTAGGACATGGACGTACACAGTGGGCTGGCCGGGAGTAGGAAGCAATTGAGTAAGTGTATTCTTCTGCTTGCCCTCCGTGATCTCCAATCCCAAGCCTTTTCAGTATGGATACTCTGGTCATTGTCTCCCATAAAGAGGCTGGTGCAGATAAATTGATGTCTCATGCGAAGTCTCCTTCTATGCTGGGAGTAAATTCAATTGTGGCGTTACCCTAGGCGCCCTGAAAGATATGGACTCACACGCTCGATCACTTTACGTACGTACATTGATTGACTAGTTCGCCCGCGTTGGATCGAAGGCATCTGGCTCACCGTACCAAGAAACCTACCCGGCATTGATGCCACTGTGACTCAGGGCGTCGGTTGCTGTTATGGCGGTTTTGTAGTATATACTTTCATTTAGCTTTCCTTAATTCTCCAAATACAGTCGCAGTCAGTAACATGGAGCGGGCTATGTTGCGTGCGCGTCATGGTCTGCTTAAGAGTGTTTCACCATTCTGGAGTGATAATCATTCGTCTATGATCCTGGACTATTGAACTATAGATGTCGAAGCAGGTGCCCTCTATCTCCATCTGAACTTTGGCCGGCCTCCTTCACAGAATTGTTCTGCTTTAAAAACCTTATTTGCCCTGGCCAGCGTTCTTCATGGTCCACTGGGCAATGTTACCCGGGGGGTGAGCCGCAGCAATGGTCTTGCCAGCGAACTTGCTGATGATGCTGGTGTCCGATCCGGACATCGAGCCGGAGTTGCCGAAGGCGTTGAGCTGGCAGGAACGACCGAAGACGGAGGCGCACTGCTGGTTGGTGTTGGCATCGGGGGAGCTGAAGAGCTGGCCGCTGATGGGCGTCTCCACCACAGTGTTAACGTCCTGGAAGACGTTACCCTCGGCCAGGACGTAGCCACCAGTGCCGATCTCGAAGGCGTGGCCGTCAAAGTTGTGGAAGAGGTTGTTCACCTGTAGTTAGAGTAGTCAGTAATGTGCAGATTGTATAGGAGGCTCGAGGCGACATACGGCGTGCAGCAGAGTGTTACCCTGAACCTTGGGCATGCGGCCACTGAGGTTGTAGAAATAGTTGCCCTTGAGGGTTACCATGTCGTTGCTGCCGTCCAGGTACACGCCCCAGTAGTGGTGGCCGTTGCAGGTGGCAGAGTAGTCGGAGCGACCATCGATGAGGGAATAGGAGATGGTGACGCGGTTGTCGGCGCTGGTGCCCAGGACGATGTGCTGGCGACCAATGCGAGCAGTTGTCACATGGTCGATCCAGACCAGATCAGAGTCATCGACAGTAATGGCATCACCACCCCAGACATACTTGGGGTTGATGTCGGTGACGGCAATGTTCCTGGCCGTTATTAGCAAGGGTGGATTCATATCCCTCAACCGAGGGGCTGCACTCACTGGATGATGACGTTCTTGGCACCGCTGACCACACGGAGACCCTTGCCCTTGATGACACCCTTGGTGCCCTGACCAACAATACTCTTGTTGGAGTTGACCGTGATGGGGAGGATACCCGCCTTGTCACTACACGGCTCTCAGCATGAAAAGACTTGGCCATCAATTGAACGAGGGCAACATACTAAGTCACGGATACCTTGGGGGCGCTGGCCTGGTAGTTGTCACACCAGCTGTGCAGGTTGATCGCCACCTGGCATTGGGAAGCAGTTCCCCAGGGGGCACATCCGGTGGTAGTCTCGGTACCCTCGGTGCCGGTAAAGTCGAAGCTGAAATATCAACATATTAGTCAAATTTCTGCCCCTGAATCTCGGTTTGATGGACCTACGTTCTGTCCAGGATGATCACCCGAGGTTCGTTATCACCGAGGTAAGAGACCAGCTCATCAGTAGTCGTGGGATAGACGGGGGAAGCGCTGCCACCACCAGTGACACCGTGGGCGAAACCCTCGGCGGCGCCAACAACGCCGGCGGCACTGACAGCGCTGGCCAAGGATGCTGCGGCAGCAGCGAAAAGCAGCTTGTAGTGCATGTTGGACTCTCAAAGTACCGAAGATTTAAAGGAAAACAAAAAGAAAATCCCAAAAGAATGAACGTTTAGTAAGAATGATCAAAGAACGACTGCCTGGAAAGAGTGACAGGCTTGTAGAAGCAAAGAGGGTGATGTCTTCTTCTAGAGCCACAGGAGAGGGGAACATTTCCAAGTTTATATAGAGAAGCCGGATTACATGATGGTGGAGCTGGCAGTCAGACAGTGGCCGTTTGATTTCTCGACCATGTTCTGGAATGACACGAGAGGACCGGGGACAGGACCTGAAATGGATGAGAACCCAATCAATGTGGCTTGGCAGGCAGGTCTTGGTTCTTCTACCGGAGATTAACCTGTCAGTGGGTGTGGTGGCTTATATTTTAGAGTGTTACTACTGCTGCCCAGACATCACCGGACTCGCGGACCCAACATCTTCATTTTATCTTCTTGGGTTTTACGAGTCATGAGGACTATGATAAACCTTGCTGATCAAGCCAGGAACAAAACGCCTAGCCTATCTGCCTAGACGCCGTTGGGGGGAACAGCCGGAAATCTCTTCCCATGCAGACCTTGAGTTCAGGGCGGACCCGGGAACTCCGGTGAAGAACGAGGTCGAGTCGCTTGGCAGAACATAGGAATGGTGAGAGCCGGATGGTGGCCCACTTCAGGATGTCTTAGAAGCAATCCGGCTGGCTTCCGAAGGGGTGGAGGTCAGGGTCCCATGAACGGCCCTGACCTATTTCAAGGCTTGGTAGAGGGAGAAAAGTGGTACTCTCAGTCTGACAGTGAGACATTGCAAGAACCGCTCAAGAGTCCAGTGGAAATTATGGAAATTAGTGGTTGCCAAGAAGCCCCGATTGGGCGGGGGGGAAACACCCCGAAAAGGATTAGCTGGGAAATCACGTGGCAGTGAGGGGGTCACGTTGGGGTTTGCATTGTTTGTTTGATCTTCTTTGCTCTCACATGATATGCTTATGCGGCCTCAGGCATCACCTCTCCCATCCCTTTCGCCTCTTTTTCCCGTGAGTGCCATTGACCCAATAGTCTCTCCCCCAATGCGTTCCTTGGTCAGACTCACACATAACCAAAGGGGATGATGTATCCTTGTTATCCGCAACTACTAACTACTGGACTCGAGATGATGTATAAATACCTCCATTCCAGACTCCGCCATTCTTAGGAGACGCCAACTCGACAGTGCGTACATTCATGTACTGGACATGAATTGAGTGATCGAGATCTAGCTTAGTAGTTCAACCACTAACTGTTGTAACTTGTAGCATCTCTAGTAGTGCTCCTATGAATTAGCGTCGTTTTGAAGTCCAACCTCATGCCCTGACTCATCCATCATCGAATAGTAAACTAGTACCTCGCGCTGACCCCCACGCCAGCAAGGACGTTGTCTTCTTCAATACTAGTAGTCGTAGTAAATATATAATCCCCCAGGGTCACGGTTTGTAGACTCGGGTCATCATCATCATCATCATCAACTTCTTTCACAATCCCTACCTCGAATCAAGCAAACAAGCAACTTAATAGTACTAGTAGTACTATCGTCCCCATGTTCCAAGTCCTCCCCGTTACAGAGGCTGACCTCCCCACTATGGTCGACTTATGGTACGACGCCTTTGGCGATCCCATCAACCGGCGGCTGTATCCCGATACCCCCGGGGCGCGCTCCTGGCTAGAGGACTACCACCGCGCCAGTCTTCAATCCCCTGATCAACATTTTCTTAAAATAGTCACGGATACCGCACCAACATCTCCCCTGGTAGCGTTTGTGAAATGGGACTTCAACACTACCACCCCAGGTCACCACTTTCCACCCCGCCATGTCGATTTCGACCAGGCCTTCTGTGACACTTTTTTTGGGGGCTTGGACCAGGCGCGACGGACCATCATGGACGCGCGTCCGCACTACTGTATGTTCCTGTTCCTATAGTCCTCAATTCTTATATCTTTTTTTTCCTACCATTGCAGTACCTCCGCGATGGACCCGCTAATGGTGACCCGTTACAGATCTGGACGCCTTGATCACCCACCCGGATTATCGCCGGCAGGGAGCGGCATCAATGCTCATCCAGTGGGGATGTGACCGTGCCGATCAGGACGGGATCCCCATATGGGTTGATTCCAGTCAGGAGGGGGCCCAGATCTACCAGCGCTTCGGGTTTCGTGATGTCAGTGTGTTGGGAGTGACTCCGACCGGGGCTATGTCCATGCGGCGGGATCCCGTTCATGGCGAGGCCGTGTAATAGCAGAGCTTGGGACTATTGATGTATCTACCAAAGTAGCCGTGTTACTGCCTTCTTACAACGCCACCGAGCCCTTGAGCGGCTGCATCTCGATATACTCTGTTCGTAGACTCCACTCGCGGGTCTCATGGATCACCAATCCCCCGCTTGCCTCCTCCAGATTTTCCTCACACTCCCTTGTTCCCGCTGGCGGAATCATGATAATCTCGTCATCTGCCGGATATGGACGCGATTGGGCCTTGGATGGAGGGCCCTCGCTAGTTTCCGACCGCAGATAGGAGCCATCTTTCTGGCCGCCCTGACCCCAGCCCGTGTTGAAGGCGATCACAAACGGCTTGAGGCAGGGCACCGTCGCCGCCATGAGACTGCTGTGCAGGAGGACTTCGGTGGTCACCACTACATTCGACATGCCCAACAGTAGATTGTTCAATCCAACCCGATTGAGGTAACGTTGGCGCAGAATGATAAGGGCGACAATCCTTGTCAACAGTCAGCTAATGAAGTCGAGCCATATATGCAGCAGCAAGCAATGGCTAACTACGTACAGGATTCGAGTGCCAAAGGCCCCAATGACGCCGACCTTTTGAGTGCGGCGCATCTGGACTCCCCACACCAGTCGAATACTCAGGCCCACCAGAAGCGCCTCTGTGATCACGTCAAAGGCTGCCATGGCACGCCACCCCGTAATCTGGCTCTCTTAGCATGCATCCTGGTGTTTATCCGAAGGTCACAAAGGCAACTGACGAAAGTGCGGCATTGTGTGAGATCCCATGGCTTGGAAGGTTCACATTGTAACGCAACAGCAAGAATTGAGGCGAGCACCCAGAGGACGAGCACACCGAGGCCCACAGTGCAGAGTCGTATGTAGGCACCTTCTCGGCCCAGGCGCCGAAGAAGCAGGCAGACAGATAATTTGGAGGCCCCATGACTAGCGAGGAAGAGGAGATCGGCTGTATACAAAGCCTGTCACGACATCCCTGGATCAGTAACTAAGACAAATGAGGAATCATGGCGGGAAGATAGAGAACTTGCCTTCATGGCACCCTCTTCGTCGGTCGGATTGATTCGTCCCAGACCCTGTGATACACTTTTCATAATGGCGCCCACATTGCCAATGCCTATTGCCTGTCTCGGCGAGAAGGATCAATTCACACATTCCGAACGGTAATGAGCCTCATGAGCACTTACTCCTCCGATCCAGACTACGACATCATCCCATCCCGCCGGTCCGTTCATGGCAACCCGCATATAGACCCGGAACAAAGACACCAGCACCATCCAGGACATGAACAGCGTTGCGGCGATGACGATCACCCCGCTTCGGTCCGTCGGGCTGATCCCGTAAGGGGCTGCCATGTGTCGAAGGGATGAGGCTTAAGGGGATTCGGGACGATGGACAGAGGCATTGTTAAGGCTCTCACCCTGCCGGGACATCCTTATAATAGATTTTCACTCACCCCAGGCGGCCAGAGGACAGGGGAGTGGTTCCTAGGATCAACAGGTACCCTGGTTGGAAAGACGACTAGGGGAGGACAAGAGGGTGAAACAAGCCCAGAAGCGACCACACCAGAATTTTCCGTCTGGCCGTCGGTCGGAAATAAAAACCAGACGATAATTTTCTATCCGATCCCGGTCCATAGTGTTACGACCACTGTATAATAGGCCTGACGTGGCCAGGGTCTAGAGAAGGATGGCTACGGTGCTGACTGGCGGTGGCCAGGCCTCCTTTGGTAAGGCTGGGAGTTAAAGCACGGCCGACAGACAGGGATCATATTCCATCTTCTGCGAGGAGAATAACCTGTCAATCGGACGATGTAACGGCGGGCTGCAGTCTAACCGGGGTCCCTGGCAAGTGCTTCGGCGGTGCCATCTCTAGCCTGGGGACTAATGCTGCTAATTGCTGTTAGTCCTGCGAGCCACGGCAGAGAGCACCATGACGCTGCGTCTGTCCCACGTATTGATTAACCCTCCGATCCCCCCTTCATCTTTTGTAGCAGCCCAGGTTTTTGTTCAAGCTTATCGAGCAGTACATGTCAGGCAGAGCCAAATTCCAGCATGTGGCCTGAGAAAGGGAGCAAGTCGGTCGCCTACACCACTGCACCGGAGGAGGGCTCTATGCCCTCCACCAAGGGCGGAACCACTCAAGATGGCCGTGATATGTGGCGTGTGGGACGCGATCAGGAGTTGAATGTGAGTCCCTCTTAGGAGGTGGCTGCAATCCGGCTTCCTAGCTAATTAGCACAGCGAAATTTTCGATTCCTCTCGGTCCTGGGTTTCAGCGCTGTGCTGATGTGCACCTGGGAGGCAGTGTTGTTGTAAGTTAATGCAATACGAACAAGACACCGCGATAGAGGTACTGATAACTGAACAGCGGTGCCTCATATGGTCTGACCGATGGAGGGAAAGGTGGGATGATCTACACCTACCTCGGTGTCCTCTGCGGATTCAGTTTCGTAATTCTCTCCATGGCGGAGATGGCATCCATGTGTGATACCCTCAAACACCAAGCTTTGCTTTTTCTCTCTTCATGCTATGTGCTTTGATAATTGTAGCTGCTTCTAGGGAATTGGCTGTTAACAATTGGCATATAGGGCCCCAACCTCCGGTGGCCAATACCACTGGGTGTCCGAATTCGCCCCGCCCAGTTGCCAGTGCCTGTTGAGTTATATTACAGGCTGGGTATGTGTGCTTGGATGGCATACAGGCATTGCTGGCTGCAGCTACACCGTAGCAAACATGCTAGTCGGTCTCTTGGCAATCAACTACCCAGATTCCTATGAATATAAGCCGTGGCACGTCACGTTGTTAGTCATTGCAGTGGCGTTGGCTGCATTGCTCTTCAACACGTTGCTGGCACAAAAGCTGCCGCTGATTGAGGGAATAATCCTGATCGTCCACTGCTTTGGTTTCTTTGGCATTCTGATTCCGCTGTGGGTGCTGTCTCCATCCGTGCCACCATCAGACGTCTTTGGCTCTATTGTCGACCGTGGCGGATGGGGCAGCAACGGACTATCCTGCTTGGTTGGGGTGGTTGGGCCAATCTATGCTTTGATCGGTACGTCGCATTGACCAAGAGAAGCGAAGTATATCGCGCCTTGAAGCGATACTGACTGATGCTCAGGCCCTGACTCGGCCGTGCACATGTGTATGTCTCTTCTTGCTGCGACGAGGCTTCTTGCATGACCAACTAACCCAGTAACAAAGCCGAGGAGATTCGTGATGCATCACGTGTGCTTCCCCTAGGCATGGTTTGGACGCTTATATTGAATGGTGCCACCGGGTTCGTCATGATTGTTACTTTCGCCTTTTGCGTGGGAGACATCGACGAGGTCATGGCCTCGACCACCGGTTTTGCCTTTATCCAGGTGTTCCTGAATTCGACGGGCTCGGTGCCCGCAGCAACGGGAATGACGGTGGTAATCATGATAATGCAGTTCTGTGCCACGATCAGCAATGTGGCCACCACTTCCCGACAGATCTACTCATTCGCTCGTGACCAAGGCGTCCCATTCTCTAGGTTCTTCTCTCAGGTGGCGTTCCCTTTGGTGATTCACCACTTCTGGCGATTGATATCAAACTGACCCCATAGATCAGGTCAACAAGACATTTACAGTACCACTGAACGCCCTCTGCGTCAGCTTGGTGATAGTCTCCCTTCTATCCTTGATCAACATTGGATCCTCCATCGCCTTCAATGCCATCATGTCGCTAGGGACGGCTGCCCTGCTGTCATCATACCTGATCTCCATAAGTTGCGTGCGGCTGCGACGATGGCGCAAACAGCCTCTCCCACCGGCGCGCTGGAGCATGGGTCGGTTCACTCCATTCGTTGATACGGTGTCTCTGCTGGTGCTGATGGTCGTCTTCGTCTTTACCTTCTTTCCCCTAACAAACGATACTGCACCGTCAGAATTTAACTGGGCGATTGTCATTTTTGGTGCCGTCGTGGTGTTTGCCTTGGTATATTATGCTCTCTATGCCCGGAAGGTATACAAGGGGCCGGTGACGCGGGTGCGGGTGGCACAATAATGGGTATAAAGACAGGAGCGGATGGACGATTGAGAGACAACAGGGGATGTAAATAACAACAACCAAAATCAAAATTAGATAACTCTGTGCAAATGGCCGTCACAACCAAGGTGAAGAGCCTGACAACTTAGACACTTCGATGCCGGTATTAGATACGCCAATCTACAGCGCGGAAACTACCCCGCTAGAAATTTGAGGTAGAAAAGACCGCAGTTTAATTAGTGGCTATTATCAATTGGGATGTCCTGCCTTGACCTAACAGAGCTCTCAATGCTCACAAAGTGAGAAATCGCCTGTTTCAAACCCGTCATTTTGCGGACCTTGTTTGGCTCGTCTCTCGTCCATCAGTGCCACCCGGTATTCCCGGGCTTCCTCCAGGGTCATGGCAGCTGCAGGGATGTTATCAGCCACCATCTGCTGTAGTTCTGCCGGTAACTTTGGCGCAAGCACCTGCTGGATCGCATCCTGTCTCTCGCGGGCCCAGGTCTCTTGCTGCGGTGGTACATTCGCGGTGGAGATGATGCGCCGATGCGGGTCCACCAGGAACAGCGCCAGGATCTTGCGATGGCCTGGCCGCGAGCGATCTGCCAGGCCAAACGGTGACACACGATGCTGCACTATATTGGGAAACGTAAGTAGTCGCCCTTCGCGACACACTACACTGCCCAGGTGCTGGGTGATTTGGGATTCCCCATTTCCGCTCACGTCGGGACCAAAGCCATAGACTGCGTGAATGAATTCATGTCGATCTTGCTCATAACCAACATCGTACAGAGACCCAGCCCGTTGACGGAAGGACAGCGTGCTTTCGGTGATGTTCTGGCTATCGTAGTAGTATATGGCGGTCGCGCAGATGCGTTCATTCTAAGCCGAATGTATGTCAGTGGATTTGCAACCTGGACTTCTGGAAGTTATCCTGCTTACCAGCTGTCCTTCAAGATGCCATGAGCCCCCATCGTATTCTGGTCGCTCCGGAGTGAGTTCAATGGTGGCCAGTTTCACAATGACCTGCAGCCCCGTCTCATGGAAAGACTCTCGCAAGTTCACCCAGCCTCTCCAGGAGGGCTCGGGGGCTCTGAAGGGGCCTGGCTCCGGAAGAGCAATGGGACGAGCTTTTTCCCACGCATAATAGCGATCTGAAAACTCCTCGCTATCCGAGTCCTCTCCTTCCTGGGGCTTCGGTTCCGGGTCAGGGTGTGGCAAATACGAGACTCCACTGTAGGGAATGCGCTCGTTTCCTTCCTCCCGAACCTGCGTCAGGCTGCGTTCCCAGAGCGGAATGGCTGCATCGATGATCTGCTCCACGACGCGGTAGAGCGGCTGATGCTCTGTCGGGTGCAGGTTGTTGATATACGAGACGATCCGACAGCCACTTTCTGCGCCCAACTCCACATCGCAGGGCAGCCATTGGAACTGTCGGCTGAACGAGCGCATTTGCTCCACCCTCCATCTCCTGGACGGAGTAAATGAGTCAAGGGTTAGCCCGGCCTCTTCCTCCGACGGAACGGGCACGACCACCCCTTGACCAATACAGCCCAGACAGCTGTCCGACGTGATCAAACGATCGGGTAGGATGCGCGTGCACCCGTAAACCAAAGGGAAGAGCGAAGGATGAACGAGGTCGACAACCTTCCGGTCTGAGCCTGGGTGGTAGTCCTTTTGATGGGTCGGGATGTTCTCGAGGGGAGCGACGGCTTGCTGCAAGGCCTTCTGAAGCTCTTCTGAAACCGCCGTGTCGGAGCGGACGACCCCGACGTCAAATATCGGAAGCAGTCCTTCTTTCTGAAGATTTTGTGCTTTCCATTGGAGTTCCTTGACGATGTAGTCCATCATTCTGGGAGTCACATCTTGACCGGATGCCAGCACCTCCGTCTGCCATCGTGACGTGATGCCTTCATCGAACACCTTTCCTGCATCAGTCGAATGGCAAGACTCAATAGATCGTTTAGGTAGTCATACCTTGCGATACCACTCGGGCTTCTCTGTGATTGTATTCATAACCCGCATCATGGTTATTTCACGCTGAGTGCTAAGATGACTGCCGAGTACACTGTTAAATTCGCCCATTTTGCTGGCTGATACGTAGCAATTCGGTGAGCCTTACCCAACGTAGCCATCACTGATATCTTTATAATCTAATGCGTTGGGAAAAAGTTCCGTGTCCTATGACGAACGAAGTGTTATGTTCTGTCCCGGGCACCACGTGGCGGGGATGGCAGGGATTTACCTCGGGCTGCCAGTTCAAGGGAAGGTTAAATCCCGGCAGTTTGATGGGTGAGCTAGGCTTAGAACCCATATTGGCCCTGTATGTTGTTTGCTTGATGTCTGACGAAGTGAGAGAGCGATACATATTGTATTATATAGAGTGAGTCACCAATTAGAAGGTCTAACTAGGCAGCCGTCCCGTTAGGCAGACCTCGGCGACTAAGGCAACCAACTCACTAGTGAGTAGTAGGTTGTTGCCTGTGCGCTATAGACAAGAGGTGGTGGCGTCAAGGTCTTTTGTGACTTGCCGTCCCACTCTATGCGAGAACAGCGCCGGGACTACATCAATGATCTATCCTGAGTCGGAACAGTCCATTATTACATTATATCAATTGTGCCCGGCTATCGTGGGATGAGTCATGTGAAGACTATGAGGAAATGCGGGAGATGGGCTGCGACTTCCGACGGAGCCTTCAGCCAGCCAAGCCAGGTGTAACCTGCAGGAACCGAGGGAATAATCGCTATTTTGAGGGGGATTTCATGATAGCAAGATGTACCCTATTCTCGCATTGTGGAAGCGATGCGACCGCGGGACTTGATGATTCTCTCCGTTGCCGTGGCCAAGGACCCAGGGCTGCACCGATATGGATGGGGATATCCTGGCTTTGCGCCGAGTGTCGGCCGGCCAATGGTCAATTCAGCTCTTTGTAAATGCCTGAAAGAGGCCGGCAATATGTTGCCATTGTGGTCAAACTCCTACAGAAATTGGGCCCTCTAGTCCGTCTCTGGCGCAACATGCGAGAATCTGCCTCATGGACAGCAATAACGTTCTCGTCATACAGGAGTAGCTACCGCTGCCAAATGAGCCACTCGCGAAGGATTATATCAGAGACAGAAAGAATGGTGTTGCCCAGTTCTGTTGCTTTGACAGGTGGGTATACAGTATTGGGCGACCGCAACTACGTGATGCAGGTCTGGAAGCAATTTAGAAAAACAGGAACCGGAATCGCCGGCTGGCCCCCGACGTGGCTGTGGTTGGAGACGCCGTCGCAACGGAGACACTGGACGATTCCTTGCTCGCGACAGTGGCAGATGGGGAGCTGGTGCCTGTTACCGCGGAGTCCGATGTCACCGTGATAACTGCAGAAGACGTAGGATAGATGGTGATGCTGGATGCCGTCGTAGTTTCCGGTCCGCCCCCTGGGCCCTGGCCTGGACCATCATCTGGGCCATTCCCAGGACCACTGCCTGGACCATCACCTGGACCATCTCCCGAGTTATCGCCCGAAGGGCTGTCCCCATTCCCGTCATCCGAGCTGTCGCCGTCGTCATCATCGCCCCCGATATAGGTCTTGTGAACCGACCAGAAGCCATCGCCTCCACCTATATGCGCCCCAAGCTTTGCGTTAACGAGATGAGGTATCTTAAAGTAATGTGTGTGGGATGGCGAAACTTACAAAAATCCGACGGGAATCCGGGGCAGGGGACGTCGCATTCTGACTTAGAGACCAGGTTTGCGCTGGGGGGCAGCGAAGAGCCGCAGTAGCAGTCCATGCTATTTGACGTAGCAGCATAGCTTGCTCCATTACGGCCGCAAATGCTTGAGCATAATCCAGTGGACTGGAATTGACTAGAGCCCTTGTTTACCAAGCTGCCGGAAGACGAGTAGCAGCCCACAAATTCGGAAGCCAGAGCTTGCGCGGTAAGAGACAGCGCCAGAACGGCGGAGAAACCGGTAACCTTCATGGTTGGCAGCATAAAGAATGACACGTTGGCAATCCCCAGTAGCTAAGGAGCGGATGTCAAGTCTGCAAGCAGAGAAGGAACGAAAACGAGAGAAACGGCGGATGAGAAGGGAGAATGGCAAGTTGCGACAGCCAAGTGTTTTAAGGGACCCATGAACGGCAGACCCTGAAATAGACCCTGCGATCCTGGCCATCCTGTGGGTGAATTTCTGGCTAGCAAGCATCCTGGGAAACACACTAACAGCACTAGCTCTGAAACCCAGCGTATCAACGGCCTGCCCTGATCGGGAAAGACCCACGAGCCTCGGAGAAGTCTGCTCGAAGTTGGGTCGGAGAGCCCGAGTCGAGTTTGGCGGGGGGGGGGGCAAAAATTCGGCCAGGTGGGAATGATTGCTTATCAGTTCACAAGTTGTTCACCCTTGTAGGCAGTCTCACGCGAGGCTTCAGTGTTGTTATCACGAATTTCCAGCTTACCCTCTTTGAGTTCATCCGAACCATGGGCTAGTCCCACCGACCAGCCGGCGTCCCGCCGGCCGGGCAGCATGAGAGACTTAATGCGATCTGAACACAGGAAAGAAACGAAGAGAAAGGGTGAAAGCAGTAGTGGATGCTATTTGGTCAGCTCTGAAGACATTAATTAAGCTGCTAGACTTTTTTATTATCAACCGTCCGCTCTATCAGACGGCTGGCTTCCGGTCATCTACCAACGCGTTGGCCCATTCACCCTGCGTGGTCGGGGAATTCGGATAGCGAAATAATCTATGCTTTCCATGTTTTCTCTTATGGCCCGGGAAATAGACCCAATATCAGTCTCCCAGGCTAGAGTAAAGTCCCCCATCTTATTCAGCGATACTCGTCGGGACACCCATCACAGGCCCGACGGTTTCACCTTGGCATACCAACCCTGGGGTGTACGAACACATGTTAAAGCTACGTACTTATTATACTACCGGCTTGAACACAGCTCCGTATTTCCCATGTGGCAAGCGACGGAACCCATGTCCGCGGGACGATTCCGGTATGCAGTGCCATTGATGTCATGACCCACATCACTGCAAGTATTTTGTATAAATATACCATCACTGCATCTGATCAGAAAGGAGAAGTCCAAGTGAGCTTTTTACATCCGACCCGCTTGCCAGAGCATAGTAAAGTCCGAAATGGAACAGCCTCCTTCTCCCTCAGCAGGATGGCACTTCCCAGGATGGGACTCCTCAGGATCCTCGGGACGTTCGTATTGGTCCGAATACGAAGCGTTCGCTGATAAATACGAGAGAGATGCTTTTTGTTATATCTGCAGCAGCCAGTTTAACGGCACGCCAATGGACTTCCGCAGAGCCATTACTGTTAAATCCGGGCAAGATACACTAATCTATTCCGCCCACAGAATCGAGGAGATATACGCGTTATCATTTGCCGGCTGGCGCACCCTTTTTCGGATAGGTAACTTGCATTAGGACGATGAACTTCACATGTATGCTAAACATTTCCAGTCATGTATAACCCGGAAGTGCAAGCGTACCAGCTCTCTGGTGTGGCTCGAAGGCCCTTCCAAAAACGTTGGTGGCATGAAGATCCTGAGGATGAGAGACCCAGATTTGTTGCGCCACGGGACCAGAATGAAGCGGTCCTGGAAACTCGGCAGGCCGAACAACTACATCCTGACCGTCTGGTGGCGCCGAAGTTGGTTATGATTGGTGATGACATGGAGAAGCAGACCACCTTAGCCGGATACCTCGTACATTCATTGTGCTGGCGCGAATTCCTCCGACTAAACAATCGGTCGAACTCGGAAGGGGATCTCTCTCTTGTCTCTCAAGCATTGCGGCAACGCTGTTTGCGCCGGAGACTCTATGTCCAATATTGGTTCTACGTCCCAATCAGAGAACTGGTTCAACTCGAAGGTCATCTGCGCATGTCACGCATGCTATTAAGTGATTGTCGCATACTGACATCTATGTTCTGAGTGCAGACCCCATTGCTACGGCTTCTATCCGCCAAATGGTAAAAGAGTGTAGGTCCAGAGCTTCCCGCGGTGTATACATGCATGTGGGCTCTCGCGCAGTCGATTCACGAATTACCTGGCTTCCTCAAGAACTGCAACGCATGATTATAGACCGGCTGGATTATAATGATATCAGACAAATGTTGCGTGCTCTGAAGTGGATAATGGATCCCAGCTACTGGAAGCGACGGCTGGATGTGCACTTCTTCAGTGAGATTCAGTTTCTCAGGGAAGATAAGGGACTGGATTGGCAATGGCTGTGCCTAAAGGTTGAAGCTCTTAAAGACACTAAGGTAGGGAAGAAGCGCACGAGGTTTTTCGACCTGTTAATGCAGGTGGGAGATCGCTACGGGATAAAAGGGAGAATATAGGCCGGCAAAGCGTCATAATTTTACAGAATGTAACCTCGCGCATGCGACCGATGAGCATTATTATTAGGCACCAGCCTGGTGCGAATCCGGATTTCAAAGCTTTGACACTGCTTGCGATATCTGGGGATGTTGATATTCTGGGCAAATGATTAGACATAAAAGAAGCCGTTGGCCCTTTCCAAACAACAAACACTCTTTATAAGCTATCCACCATCGTGACTCGGACTATACACGCAACTTGACCATAATTGCTGGGAGGAGGGGAGGGGCGTGGTACATATCTACCACGCTGTTGTCAAGAATTCTAATTACCTCGAACATTTAGAATTTCGTGCAGAGTAAAATGAAGTACACTATTTTGCAAAGTGTCATAACTACTCTTACTCTTTCTTCGTTCAGACGCTCGAATCAAAAAATACTAAACTTATATTGCATTGTTCCCCATGCGTCTGATCACCCGGCTTCATTTAGAAACAAAACGAACATTGCAGCGACTGACTCAGCCATTGTCATCAATAGTCAACTAACTAGTTGTTAACTACCCAACTAGTAACCACTTTGTACTGAACAGTCGTGCTGGTAAAGACCAGAACTAGTACGGCCTGGTGACCTGGCGACCTAGCGACATATACAGCCACTCAGGCGGTCTTATCTTTCTTGTAACCCACATATTCCTCGACACGTGGTCCTCTGAACGCGCCTTGCTGCAGCCTGGCATCTATGCCTAAGCACCGACGAATGACCTCTAAGTCTGACGCAGCTAGTGCCAAAATATGGTACTGTTATGCGATGCAGTTTAGTGTGAGATTAGCCGGCCCCGCAACTTTCAAAGATTGGAATCTATAAGGCAGTACCCCGCTCTCCCCACTGGGATATCCGATTATCATCTTTCAGTCAAAAACGCAGTATAAGGCCCACCAAGCCCCATCAACATAACCCCGTTAAAAAATATCACAATGGTATGTCTCTCTAAATAGCACCAAGAGTTCTCGTTTCGAACTATTAGGATTCTAGCCCCAAATTTTTTCTTCTGGATCATGCCATATCCATGACAGAATGCGGTTGAGAAAGCCACACTTGCAAGATACACTCCCAATCCAGCTATGTGTTCTATGCAATCGCTCTTTTTGCGCCGCCCACAAGGGAAAAGAGGATAACGTCTGTGAGATCAATCATGAGACATACTATCGAAACCACCCAGCCACCCGGGAGTACTTGTATCGCACTTATGAAGATTGGAAGAAAGACAACGAAAACATGATTATGGATGATATGTGGCAGTAAACTGTGCTGGGTCTCATGTGGAAGATACATTGTTCCGAGCCTGTCCAGAAGAAGGGTTAAGTCCATTTTGGCATTATTGTTTAAAGAGGGATTCCTGCAGATGGAGTCAGAGCGCTGTTCCTGAACTCAACGATGTTTTTTCAGTAAACGAAAGAAAGGCATAAACACCATCACATACTTGTCTGTTATCTCCCCATACCATGACAGTGGACAAGTAGGATACACCTGGCTACAAAAATAGCGCAAATCAATACCTGAATCATATGCTTTTTTTTATTAACTTAATGATTCCCGAGTTGATTGGATCTTACAACTACAGTGTCCTTTCACATGGGCACTTCGTTCCAAAGCCTCCAAATTCTCTCGGAAATTGGAGCGGTTTATGTACTCGGGAAACAGAGCAGTAATTTTATCTCTACACACTGGCGTTTATCTACCCCCATTACGTAGAGACACGGTGGAAGTAATAGACTCTGGTCATTAAGCCAGCCGCAGATGTCCATGTCTTTATATTTATCTGCGCTGTAGTTAAATCAAGTCCTTAAGCGCTAATGCATCAATTATACAACTGTTTGCGTTAAAATGTCAACTAATGTATCCAGTCAAGTGGCTGGTCCGTAAAAGTGCATCCTGAGCATTGGCCTTCTGGCAGAATCGAGATCCTCCATTGGATCATACTCCCTTTTGCAGATGTGCTATGCCAAATTTTACTATAGCCTCACCTACACTTTACCGGTCCAGCTAGTGGTATTTCAGTCATATTTCGAACAGCAGGTATATAGTCTGGAATGAGACCATACGTTTGCAACGTCTCCCTTGTTTTTCTCTATCCATCAAGGTGGCTCTCTAACTGCAGATTCAAGACGGACTTGTGGCATAAGGCTTGTTCAATTGTTTGGATTTTGATCGACGCGATCCAGGTAGTCATTGCAAACTACAAAAGCCAACTCATCAAACGCGGCTCAACATTCCGGGGAGCCACAAGTCCATTGACATTGAGCCTTAACCCAAAGCTGTGCGAGACTTTGCTTCAGCGCTCATGTAGGCAACCCATTGAGTATCGTCGTAGAGTAGAATGTCACTGTCCCCTCTCCCCTCACTCCGATCATACCTGCCATCCACAACCCAAATTTCCTGTCGAGCTTGAACCCAACGCTCTCCTATAGCATGCAGCGGGAACCGTCGAAGCCAATGAAAGCTACAGTCTTTCGGGCTTAATTCACCTTTTTGAACGCCAATTATATGACAAGTGACCCTCACTTCCTCTATTGAAGAACCGGGAATTTGGACATTGAAGGCAGCTTCGTGTTTACCTGGGAGCTTCGAGTATCCAGCTGCTCACGTTCCCTACATACAAAGTGACGCGTTGAGGTTCGGATATCCTGACACCCTCCGCCATCAGTTTTAGTTTTCCATCAAGGATGGTACTTCGTCGCCAGGCATTTCCGCTACGAGGATGGCAGCTGTGAGCAATGGACGTGCCGCCCACGAGGACTTGGAAAGCATCATCCTGTGCACCGACTGTGGGTCCGTACCAACCCCCAGCCCTTGCGAGGCCAAGATCGACTCCACAGCTGCTGCAAGTATTTTCTCGCCTCTGACTTCCAGTTCTTGCCGCAATCCTCTCCGCACCGGCATCAGCTGCCCAACTCCATTCCCTGAGAATAGGGCCTCCGCAACAAAACCACCGTCAGAGGGCTCCGGATCTTGGCAATGGGAACGCTTCTCGCTTACCATCTCGCTGGATTGGACGGACTTCTTCGGCATGGCATGGTTTTATTATCGTGGAAGAACAGCTCAGTTTGCTCGGAATCGATACACAGTATTACAATATCATTTAATTCCCTTTGGGGTATTCTAAACTAGTTTACTCATAAATATAGCACAGAGGAGTGCCAGCCGTGGTGTCCAGCACGTCATAAATCTCCCGCGAGACTGTCAGATTACCCATGTAGAGCAAGTCATGAATGGTAGTGTTGGGCGATGCAATCAGACCATCAATGAAGTCTGGTCCCTTGACGACGTAGGTCCGGTTAGCAGGGTTCAGGTTCTGCCAGATCCAGAAGACGCGGTCAATCATAGCGTGGTGGACATAGAATGCCGGATCACCGGGGGAAGTGTACAGATCCTGCAGAGCTGAGTTAGTTTTCTCCCATCGCAAAAGAACAATATGCAACTTACACCACCCGGGTCACCACCAATGGTGAAGTGGCCGGCCGTGTGAACGCCCAGGAAACCTTCCTCGAAGAACCCTTGCATGGTCCACTCGAAGCAGGAGATGTTGTCGCACTTCTCAATCAGGCTCATGACATCGCTAGACTTGGTCCAGCCCAGAGCGGTCCAAGGGGAGATGTCACGGCGCAGACAACGGGGGTTGTAATCCAAGCCACTGCCATTTTGGGCTACGAGGCCAGGGATCTGCAGGGTAGGATCAACCGGTCCCAGGTTGACGGTCATGCTGATTATCGGCGCGTCAGTGTCCGATCTGAAAGTGAGCAAACGGGGAGGAAACGTACTTGGCGAAGGGGCCGTTGCGGACACAACCTCCACCGACACCCGGTGGGATGATGGTATAGTCAGTCGCAGGGGTGCCATTGTGGGGAACGAAGTCGCCATTACCAGACATGCTGTACTCGGTGCCGTCAAATACGGGCGAGTTGATGGGGTTGGCAGCGTACTTGTTCCATGCCCAGTATGGCTGATATCCATCGTAGCCACACTCTGTACGCAGAGCATTCTCATAGGCCCAGGTGAAGTAGCGGTGCCAGGTGAGGAAGTTCCCCTAGCCAGTAAGATTAGCAGGGTTTCAATTGGTCTTGTTTTCCAGTCACTACATACTGTGCCATGAATATACAGCGTCTGGTTGATGTGAACCGCCACAAAGTCATCAAAACGGTTCCGGGCACCAGGAGCCCAGTTCGGGTCAGACCTGGGGGGCTTGGACATCAAGCAAAGAACAGCATCTGTGTACTTCTTGCGGTCCTCCGGCGCGAGGGAGCCCCTGTATGAGACGTATTGTCAGCTTCGAAGCCTGGGGGATAGTCAATACCAATTGAATTTACCATTCTTTGCGAACAGCCGCATTGTTGATGTTGCAGCTGGAGTTGGAAGAGCCCTCAGTCGCCAGATAAGCGCGCTTGGTGGCCAAGGCCTTGCTAGCCAGCACATCGACAGGATCTTGAGTAGCTGCCGACACAGGAGTGACAGTCAGAGCTGCAATAGCAGCAGATAGAATAGAGAGACGCATCCTGCTTGTCGGTGCAACTCGCTGGACCAGAGGAGGACTTGGTGTCAAGCTGGAGTCGTTCAAGAGGGAACCCCGGTCCGCCAGGACCTCTATATACTGCTTTGCTCCCCACCACGTGCAATGCTGCAGGCCAATTCAACGGCTATCGGCCCATTTTGGCGAGGTGCCATTTCGGAAGCCGGAAGCCTAGCCCTCAGACGATTGAGACAATAAGATTGCACACAGTAGGCGCGGTCTAGTCCATGGCTGGCAGTGTTTTCCCCTAAGGCGTGGTGGAGAAGGGTGAACGGTAGTGCAGTCTTGTAAGATGTCCATTGGGCCGTTGAAAGACGGGTTAATATCATAAGTACGCTAGCAATTGGAGCAACTGGACTGCTGGCAGGTGTTGACAGTCTAGAATGATGCTAACGGTGCTAATCCGCTTTGTGGCGGACCGGCGCGTCTCCAAGCGAGGCCAAGTGGGGACTAACGCCAGGGTTGGATGATCCACGACTGACAGGCTCAAAGGATAATGTTTGGTTTCGTGGGGTGCATCAAATCGTCGCAGCCATATGTGCTACTTGAAATATTGTGCGCTGTAGTGCGGTGAATAGATAATGAAGCCATAATCTTCGCATGACAAGGATCCACCACCATCCAACGCGTGCCAACAGAAAAGCCTGCCACGCGAGCAGGAATAACTTCAGATGTGGATACATCGTCTGAAACTGGCTTTACTGCCAAGACACTCCGTCGGAATCGGGGCAGCCGCCGGAAGAGGTCCGCGGTGCACTAGAGAACCGGTCGTGTAGTGGTCACTGGAGATTTAATATCGAGATGCTGCGTGAGAATCTCCACCGTCAAATATAGCCTCACTGGGTGGAGCTCGCCAATCTCCGACCCTCCGAACTGCCTCCGATTTCCCGCTGGGTTGCGTCCCTTGCGAAAGTTCATTCTCTGGTCTGTGAGTCGGCTCCTCCCCCAGAGTGATCGTCGCGATCAGCTCCCTACCAGCGTCTTCCACATGGGAATCCAATGATAGGCAGCGTGACCTTCCTTGGCAGATCAGTGGTTCAAGAGAAGTGTTTCTCGCATCACTGCAATTCTGTAGACTTCGAAGTGAATAAATATCCTGATTGTGCTACTGTGCCGTGTGCAGATTCCCGGAGATTATCGCTTACTCCGTCAGCACCCAAACCCTCTCCGATGACACTAAATCCCGCGACACCCCTGCTAGTCGCCTAGAGATTCCGTAGTGTGGTTCCATTCTGACTTATAAAACTTGACGTTTAGTCCAATTAATCTATTACCTTCCGCCCGAAACTCGGCGCTGATACGACTGGTGGGATGTCGTCCTCTTCATCCGGAATGCTAGGGGTATCCATTTGTAATAGACTCCCAGGAACCGAAGCATCCTTCAAGACCCCGGGCGCTATCTCTGCAGGTGCCAAGGCGGCCTTTGGGGGCTTCCACAGTCTTGTGCAGTGATGAAGGATCGGTTGAAAGTAGAAAAGGGCGCTGCAAGGCATCCCCGACACGGGGACATGGATGCGTCGAGCTTCTGTCCGTCCTCCGTGACAGGGCCAGCAGTTCGCGGCCAGCATGACTCCCCTTCCCGGCAGAGCCGGTGATCCACGGCAATTACTTTGGCTTCGTGATGAGTCGGGTGGCTCGAATGCCCCTGGAATTCTCGCGGCAGTTGGTACATTAACCGGGCTGTCAACATTGGTACTGTGGCTCCGATGCTATGTGCGAGGATATCTTCTTCGACGATTCAACGCAGAAGAATACATCATTACCGGAGCGTGGGTAAGTCATTTGTTCTATTTCATCGCTCATGGGAGTGCTTCCTAATTGCAGGTAAAATAGCTGTGTGCCGTTGGTGTCCTAGTCTGTTTTGTGCTGGAAGCTCAACATGGTGTGGGTCGCTTTAGCAAAGACATCACCGATGAAGATGAGCAAGTCTTGTCTAAGCTGGTTTACTATCACTCACTCATTGTCATGATCGGACTAAGTCTTGTGAAAATTTCCTTGGCTGTATTCTTGCGACGTTTCTCGTCAAGTCTCCTAAGCAAGGCGCTAGTTGGATCGATCAGTGGGTGCACCTAAATCAACGCGCAAGCCTTTGTTCTGTATGACAGATATCTCATAGACAGCAGTTTTTCTGGTGGCATTTACCATCGCCTGTGGTCTTACGCTCATTCTGCAATGCATTCCCGTAGCAGCAGCGTGGGATACAAGCTTGCGACCTCATGCCCGCTGTTTCGACAGCGATACATATACAGCTATCGGCCTTTGGAATAGCAGTAAGTTTGACATGACGTTTCCATATATTTCATACCACTTCTCTAATCCCACCATTCCATCACTTGATTAGTTACCAACCTGGTCACCGATGTCATCTTTGCAACTTTGCCAATTCCCCTTTTCATTGGGATTCAGGTCAACTGGCGAACCAAGTTCTCACTAATAGGAGTGTTGAGTCTGGGATATCTGTCAGTCAGCTCTCCAGTTCTTCCGATCATGGTTACTGATCGTCGACTAGGGCCTGCGTCGCTGGAATTGTCAAGATTGTTGCACAGGTCAACGTACTAAAAGAACAAAACATGTATCGGTAAGGATATGTGCTACACTACCCGACAAAGAGTGCGATTTTTTGAAGCTAACCATCGAAGACACGACACTTTCATGATTTGGAATTGGTGGGTACCCCTGAAGCCCAGAATCTGAAGAGAAGAAAAACTGACTCCCTTGCCATCTCCAGTGCCGAGCTAAATGTCGCTATACTCGCTGCTTGCCTCCCTAGTCTCAAGCCTCTACTAAAATCGGTCCTCGATGGGACCCGCAGCCTGACCACGGGGCGCCGCAATGCCTCTGCCTACCGCTACGACACCCAGGGATATTATGTCCAGCGCAGCACCGACATTGCCATGAAGTCAATGCCCCGAGTACCACCTACTGTCTACGATGTCACAGCTGCGGGAAGTTCCGACGGCGAATCCGGGAATTGGAGAGAAAGTGATGAGCAGAGGCTGCATCGGACTGAGACCGGCATAATGAAAACGACGGAAGTGGTGATTCAGACACATGGAGAATGATCGCCCAAAGTAGTCTTGGATTCATCGATTTGTCCTTGCTCTCCTTAATTCATTCATCTATTTTCTATGTCGAGAGAACCCAATTTTATTGTGCCTGCCATGTAGTACCGTGACATCTCAAAAACTATGATATATCTATTATTCAGACTGCACTAAGATGTCGCATATTGTCTCTCCATTCATCCTTCCCTATCCTAATTTATTATTAGCTTTTATTGACAGAATCGGTATTATGTCTCAACTAAAATCCAAAGGGATGGGGTAGCATCCGAATACAGCTAGCATAGGGCCCTGCCCCGCTCCTCCAGCAAACATCATTGGATCCGGACATTGAGATGAAAAGTGTGAACCAAAACAGTCAAATGCAAGGAAAAGGGGCTTCCAGGCGGTGATAAAGCAGATAGATGCCACTTCAGGTCGTTAGACACAAACATAACTACTATATGCGATTGGCCATCCTTAATTTTGCTTTTGTTTCTCGTGGCAGTCATGGAGGCCCTAGACCGCATCCCATACGAGCTTCTATCCATTATCAATGCATATGCAGCAGATTGGGTTAGCCTTGAAAGCCTCTTGCAAGATTCGCCACGAGTGGGCGAGATTTTTTCAAGCGACGCGAACACCAAGGCAGACTATGAAGCCGTACACCTGGTAGAATCAATCCTACAGGAGAATCCTGTTATGCGCCATGAGTTACACTGCCATTTCCGTATGGCTCTAAAACTGCGCCAGCCTTCCCTGAAATCTTCGAGCCTCACCGACTTCATCTCTCAAGACCATTCTTCGTCCCTGATGACATCTACTTCTTCGATATGTCCAGGAAAGTTAGAAGAGATGGTGAGTGTCGCGGCCAATATCCAGCGATTGGCGTGCGCCTGTTTAACTACCCTCTTGGGTCGTGTTCGAAAGGTCCAGCCCCGGTGCTGGAAGAGACGTGCCAGTGACGGGACCGAGCCATATCAGCCGCGCGAGGCTGGCTCTCCGACATGGATCGAAGAATATCGGGTCTATCGCGCGCTATGGAACCTACAGCTATATGCCGACCTGTCAACTGCCGGAAAAAGGCTGGGCTGGCTTCACGATGACCTTGAAAATTGGTGGTTCGGGCACATGCGATGGGATGAAGTGCCGGTTATGGTTGGGGAAGAAGTCCGTACCGTATCAGAATGCTTGGAAACTCTGTGTGAAGGCGACCCCGTTCTTCGTACTACGAAGGCACAGGTGACCAAGTTGTATAGTGAGAGACACTTATTCGACATACAACTCATTTCCCAACTGCCAAACGCATCTCAACTGTGCCGCGGGTTTGAAGTATGGGCCCCTCCACTTCTGCCTGAAATCCCCGTTACCGATGACGGTTACCCTCTGGATCCTTGGGGGTGGGGGCTTCGTTCGTTGAGATTTAATCGTATGGCCGCTTTTTTCCGAGTCTGTCAGCTCCGGACGACCACCCATCCCGCTATGCATCAAGTTTGTCAAATTCAGGATGCTGGCCCGTGGAGAGGCCTTGGTATGCCAATCTGGGACCTCTGGCGTTGTTATTGCTTGGGGCTACATTCAGCTAGGCATAATATCCCCCGCCGTTATTCTGGGCCTCTGAGAGCCCCTGATGGATCCGTAGTCCCGGAAGGTTGTTCTCCCCCTACCCGGGGGTTCGAAGAGGATTATCGATATTCTGTCTTTATGCACGCGCGGACACAGATGCAGGAAGATGAATTCAAGGAGATGCAATTGGAGATACAGAATTGTATTATAAAATGAAAATCTATATATCACTCTACTGCATTTATTCCGAAGGTCTATGCGTGTATGTAATCCTTATGTTGGTCAGCACGCTGCCTATTTCCTTCTGGTCAATAGCAGAGCACCTATAGAGCCACGCGATACATGGCTCACCACACATGGTTTGACAGAGTTAGGATGTAGCTGAATTGACGATGTCGTTAAGGGTGGCCCATGATGATTCCTGTTACTTGGCCTGGGCGGCATAACTGTGTCGGCTCTTAGAATTTCAATTACATGATTACTGGGATTCAACGGCCCTCGGACAATTACTGGTCATTGTAATCAATATACAGCTGTAGGGATACGCAGAAGACACTCGCCCGCATGGGCTCTTGTAACCTCACCGACGTATAGATACTTCGGACTCAGGGTCGGAGCAGTTGCGTTTCTTCGTTCCAAAAAACCTTTCCTTCTCCGAGCATGATTACTAGACCGAGGTGGTAATAGACTACTAGTATTGGGACATTCCGTGATCAACTGCCAGGGGCCGCCCAGTAGCCCAAGCCTTGCAGATGTCCATGACTGGGCCCGATTACTGACAAAGCACAAGATTACGACTTTGTTTTCACTCAGAGCAAAGTGCCATCGTCAAGCCTATTAGATGGTTTGCACGCATCGGACGCACCTGAGCGAGCCGGCCACACACGCATCCGATAACTGTCATTCATTCCAACATTCAGCCGGCAACGTGTACCACTATATTAGACTAGACACGGTTAAGTATGTGGAGATAAACATGACACTGGCATTTCTTACATTCAGGCACCCAAGCAAGAGTACAAACTCTATGACGGACACTTATATCAGTCTTCTTAGTCGATTGGATCCCCCTTCTGCTTTGATGCCATGCTCATGCATAGTAATATATGCAGCACACTCAGGCCAATTGTAAATCTCCCTTCTTGTCTTGGCAGAGGATGGATTGCGTATACCGCCAGAGGTCGGATTGACAACCTTATTCGGCTCCACAAGATACTCCCGATCGACAATAACAAGAACAGTAGAGAGGACAAGTCGTCTATCCACGTGAAAATTCCATGGTACTCTATGTTGCTGTGGTCACCCCGGCCAAAGTATTGGAGACGATCCGATACATCAGTTGTCCCCCACTGAGTCCTCATCGCTAGGGTTGTGAAAGTTGCAATTCCCGCGGAGGACTAAACTATCACAATGTCATGAACGGCTCCACTCTTCCTGAGAAACTAGCAATGATGGTGACGTGGGCGACAGCTTCACGGACACCCCAGTTTCGACGGCGAGTTAGATAAATAGGTCTGTGGGTACACTGGCTGTACCTTGAAGCGCAGCTCCAGTTGAGTCATTTGTGATCGTCTTGTCGTTTCCTCCCAGTTACCTACATGATGGCACCTATTCAACTTCTGTTGGCATGTCTGCCGCTGGCTCTGGCCACCATCACCGTTTTAGATCCGAGCGACTACGCTGATCTGGCTGCAGACGCCACCGACAATACCTTGGAAGCCGACTATACTACGGACAACGGCGGGCCACAGTACCTTCTTTACAACATCACAGGCCCCTACTACTATAGCGACGAGGACGGCGAAATCGACCACCAAACCCTGACGGTGGATGCAAACGATACCAGCGTCCTTGTTGTGACGGAAGGATCGGCAGTCAATGTGTCGTATACCGATGTCGTTAAGAAAGGCTATTCAACCTGGCTGAACCAGGCCAGTTTCTTTGGGGTCAATGCGGCCATCAATGTAGCCAACGCCTCGACGGCCTACATTGACCACAGCAACGTCACCGTTCACAATGGTGCCGCCAACATCTATGCCTATGGGACCGGGACCACCGTGTACGTGAGCAACACCGACCTGTACAGTTCTGGTCCGGTATCCCACGGTCTGTATGCAGCCGGCAACGGGACCATCTATGCCTCCAATCTGCGACATTATTCAGGCGGGGAACGCTCATCCTCCTTCTCGGGTGACAGCCCCGGGGGATACATCTATGTCACTGATGCCATCGCTCACACAGCCGGGGTTGGCAGCGCCATCTTCTACACTCTTGGTGACAGCTACGGCAAAGATGTTGTCGGCAAGTCCGAGAATGGACCTAGCCTGTTCTCTGACGGAGCGCAAAGCTCTGTCTTCGAAAGCGTCGATTTCACTGCCGGACTTCTGGCAGGGACGGTCATGTTCTCGTCCTCTACGCGCAGCAGCGGGGCATCCCTGTCATTCTCGAACTCTCGACTCACCACACTGGGGGATGACATGGCAGCGCTCTGGTTTGGGAATCTGATTGCATCAGCCACGCTGCATGCGACCGAGCTGAATACCACGTCGGGTATTCTCGTGATTGCCAACGCCTCCCAGGTCACTCAATCCTTCGATCATTTCGTCGGCTGGGAAGAGAATTCGAGCATCCAGCCTGCGCAAGCTACAGTGACGGTCACTGAATCCACACTGAGCGGCGACATCGTGGCCTACAACGGCAGCTCCATCTCGTGGAGTCTGGCTGAATACTCGAGCTGGACGGGAACGGCCTCCACCGGCCGAGGGACTGCATACCTGGCAGTAGCACTCGACAAGACGTCCACCTGGACGCTGACGCAGAACGTCTACCTTCAGAACTTCACCAACGCCGATACCACCAACAGCAACATTGCGAGTCAGGGATACAGTATCTACTACAATGCATCCTCCTCCGCGAATGCGTGGATCAAGTCCGCAAACACAACCCTCCCTGGTGGTGGAAGTCTGCAATCGTATTAGGAAGATTACCGGGTCCCAACAGATGCTTGTTGTGCATGTGAGGAGGCACGGCAGGTCACATTTTGTGATTACAAGGTGTGACAGCTCTCACAATTAGTGGAACATGGAGCTAGTGGCAATAGTCATACCTCAATCAAGGATGTCGTTTCCGTTATCCAATGAAGTCCAGTAAGACTCTTAGAATGTGGAGTGGCGTCTGTAGATGGCTGTTACAGGGCTGGGCGGAAGTTGACCCTTAGTTTCAGGGGTAGCCCTACTGTACCTTGTGATATGTTCCGAACTACACAACCTGTTTCATCGGAAGCTGTAGCTGTAAAACGTCCAAACAAGCCGCGGATTGGGCTAGATTGCAGTGGCGTTGGCTTCCCGACTCCCAGCCGTGTCAATAGACTTCACGTGCAAGCAGCCACGAAACTGTATTACGCAAGCTCCGCGAATAGATAAATTCTGTCTTCCTTGACCATTATTACATTGTTGCTGTCGTGGGCAGCCGATCCCAGACAAGGCGCTCTCCAGGTGCGTGAGAACCAGAGGCCGAGGGAGGATCGACACCGTGTTTTGAGGGCCACTCCTGCTGCAGTTTGAATAGCTATCAAGGTGACAAGTAGGTGCCGGTTTGCCCTCCTCCTTTTCAATGCGGACAGAACGAGGGGGTCGACATTGCAGGCCGAAGTCAACTGGCCACACCCGAGATCTCCCCCACAACCCTATTCTTCTTACCCCGGATTTCGACTCCACATCCCTTGCCAGTCCACGTCGATCCTTTGGTCTCTGCTGTCTGCACGAGCCACGAGCCAAGAGAGGGGCCAACCCGTAGCTTATAAAGAGCTTGGCCAGAAAGATCTCCCCAGGATCCCCACCGACTGCATTACTCACCCGACTGTCGCAGGAAACTGAATCACATCATGGCGGCCAGAGACCCTAAATCCTCGGTTGGGACGGTGCAAAAGATCGCGGACGAGGATAACCACCCTCATCGTTCGCTGGGCCATGTTCGCCTGCGCCATCATGAAACCAACGAGGTTATTTTGGTCCCTACTCCGTCGGACGACCCGAACGATCCACTGCGATGGTATGTACAATGCTCGTCCCAAGCGCCTTTGTAGATGCTCATCGATGACACCTTCCGCTAGGTCTACTTCGTACAAGATATACATTGCGGTTCTTGTCTCTCTAGCCATGGTGATGTGCAACTTCATGTCCGCCGGTCCGACCGTCGCCATGGTGGACGTCGCGGCAGACTTCAACTCGAGTGTGTCTCGCGCAGCCTACTTTTTCAACAACAGTGCACTACTCCAAGGAGTCTCCAACTTAATTTGGGTTCCGCTCCTGAACAAGTACGGTCGGCGGCCCATCTACATATCAGCATACCTGCTCTACTTCTTCATGATCCTGGGCGCCGGGTTAGCCAAGACATATGCCGGTGAGCTGACCACGCGCACCATCCTGGGTGTGGGCGCAGGGGCAGGAGAGTGTTTGGCTCCAGTCACAATTGCCGATGTCTTCTATCTCCACCAGCGCGGCTATGGCATGGCGTAAGTGAACGATGATGATTGACGTGCAAGCTGCTGAACTGATTGTCTTCCATCCACTAGAATATACAACTCCGCCTTGAGCGCGGGTGTCTCCTTTGGCATCATCATCTCTGGCCTGGTGACGATCAACCACTCCTGGCGGGTTATCTACTGGGTCGGTTGTGCGCTTGTCGGCGCTCTGTGGATTGTGGTCGTCTTCTTCTTCCCTGAGACTGCATTTCGTCGAACGGACAATGTCGATGACCTTTACAACACGCAGAAGCATGCCGAGCATGTCGAGTCCCGGGGCGAAGAGACACTCTCCCGCAAACAGAGCTACCTGCAGAGTCTGCGCTTTTGGTCCGGCCAGACATATACAGATGAGTCCCTGTGGCGGATGTTCATCCGACCCTTTGGCCTCATCCTGCTGCCTCCGATCTTCTGGGCGACGATCGTCATGTCCGTGACGATTGGCTTTCTCGTGGCGGTCACTTCGAACTTCGCCACCGCTTTTAGCGAAACGTATGGGTTTGCTGCCTGGCAGAGCGGGTTATGCTTCATTGCCGGCATGCTGGGCTGTTTCTTCGGCACCTTCGCCGGAGGGCCCTTCTCCGACTGGGTGGCCGACTATCTCACCAAGCGCAATGGCGGTATTCGAGAGCCGGAAATGCGTCTGCCCGCCATCATTCCGAGTGTCATTGCTGCGCCACTGGCGCTGCTGCTGTATGGCTTTGGCATCGATCGTGCCTGGCACTGGATTGTGCCGACCATTGGCCTTGGGCTATGTAGGTTGTGCCCAACCGAGATCATGACAATACACATTGCTAACGCATCTTTGCAGTGTCCTTTGCCATCAGTCAGGGAACGAATGTCTCCTTCGTGTATTGTGTCGACGCCTACCGACCGGTGGCTGGAGAAGTCGCCGTTACTCAGCTTGCCTTTAAATGTAGGACCCATCTTTCTTGTTACGCTATAAAAGTAACAGTATCACTGACAGCTCAATAAGCCTGCTTCGGATTCCTGCTATCCTTCTATACCAACCCGTGGATCGCCGAATCCGGCTACGCGGCCGCCTTTGGCGCCATGGCGGGCATCTCGGGGGGTTGCCTGCTCTTCTTCATTCCGCTGTATTTATGGGGGAGACATGTTCGACTGGCATCGATGAAGTGGCCCTTCGTTCAGTTTGTCTTCTGGAAGGATGATCGGGAGGTGGGAGAATAGTCCGTTAGCTGAGGTCGCGTCGATGAATGTTGGTGTCTATCACCAAGTAGCCTTCCTTTGCTCTCATTCGATTATAGTGAAGTAGTTGTAGCGCATCCATTCATACGTTTCATCAACCACTCTGTCCAACCCAATAGTTTTGCCGCGTTTTACCCCATACGCCGCCACTGCCCTGATCCAGAGGGTGTTTGGAGGGACGGTATATGTAGTCCTTTTCAGTGACCAGAAGATTCATTTCTACGTTACAGCGCAACATATCCTTATGGAGAACATTTCAGGTCATGCCAATGACTAGGCATGCCTCTGCCGGGAATCTGCGTAACAGCCATTCAAGCTCCAGCTATCCTGACGCTCCTACGCACAAGCCCTCCACCAGGCCCACCCCCCAAATCCCAAGCATGTAATCCAGTGTCCAAAAGCCTTCATCTTGAGTGTCTCACCCCCATTCGCCCAGACAACAAACCCATCCGCAAGTCCAACCAGCGCACAGACGGCAGCGAAGATAGTGACAGCGGTTTCCTGACCGTAGTACTGCAAAGCAAGCAGCGTCAGACCATAGCTTGTCTCGCGGATACCCTTGATGTACATGAGGGGAGAAACCGCGCCGGGGGGAGGAGTGCGTTTGTTGCCATGGGTGGACGCGGAGGAAGCAGCGGACTCGAAGGGTAAGCCAAAACGTGGATACTCGGGGCCGGGACGAGCCAGCGCATGGCAGCCCAGGGCGAGGGTGAGGGTGCCCAAGACGTAGGCCGGGACAGGACTGAAAGTGGCCATTTTGATGGTGTATGTAATGTATCAGAGCCTAAGATGCTTGCTCATCAAGCGGGTCAGTCCGATTCCACTGCGGAGAGATTTGGCAGATGGGAAGAAAGGAATGGAATGTTGCGGCTTGAGAGACACCGTGACCCACCTCGCGCCGGGAAGGAGTGTTAATCTCCGTGGCAGGGAACAATGGCACCCGCGGGACAATACCTCTGTACTCTGTAGGCACAACACTCCAGGTGTGAACTGCAAGGGTTGATACACAGAACAGCTGACGGTCGATGGTAAATGCTTCTCTTCAGGAGGAGAGGGAAAGAGGAAACCTCGTCCACCTTCCAGCTCGTCAGATTTGAACTGACAGGACTACTAGACTCGACAGGGACAAACAAAGCAGCTGACAACGCCAGTCCCGGTCGGGGTTAGTGCTGATGCCCGGCCCGTTTTGCTATCTGTGATTGGCTGGAATGGAAGCGCGTCTTCCCCTCTGCGCTGGCCTCAGGGCATTCTTAAACAAATCACGTGAAATATCACGTGGGAAGCTATGGAAGGGGCCTCATAATCAGCATCATCTCACCTGCAGATACAATCTATGTCGCGCTTGACAAGAGCAAAAAAATAGCTCCTAGTGAACATGTAAAGCTGTTGCAAACATCAGTAATAACTAGCAATACGACTCGAAAGGGTCATGAAGCGGAATATTAACTAGCCGATGTAGTAGTACATGATGAACTTATGAATTGAAGCAGGGCCGGACTTGGAAAAGAATATATATTAGACGCCACCCCATACATTCATAGGACTGACTGTATACAGAAATAACTAAACACCAACAGTCAAGCATTGCCAACTGCATTTATATCAACCAAGGACTACACCAGTACCATAACTTTGCCATTATCAACGTCCACGCAAGTTTTCTGTTCACAGAATCAGACACTTTCCATTAGTACTCGGACAGTCGTTGTGCCCATCCCCTGGTGCATTCTTACAAGATAGAATCCTGTCCCTCCTCAAACCTCACCACATTCTTTAAAGTCCCCAGTCCCGAGATCTCTACCTCGATGTGATCTCCATCTTTCAACAGCTGTCGCGGCGTCTGGAAGACCCCAGCCCCGGCCGGGGTCCCTGTCATGACCACCGTGTAAGCAGGGATAGTCGTGCCTAGATCCATGTTAGCGGCTATGCGAAAAGGCTTGGAGCACACAATATAGTAAGAAGGCTTTTACATGGACATACTCTGACTCATCCAGCTAAGTACCCTCTCCGGGGAGAAGATCATATCCTTCCCGATAACCGTATCCTGCTTAACCACCCCATTGATCCGGGTAACGAGAGTCGCCGATGTTCTGGTCTTCGCAAACACATCAGGGCTCACCAGGACCGGCCCAATGGGCGCAAACTTGTCAAACGCCTTGGCATAGAAGAACTGTCCGCCCGACTGCTCTGGGAGCTGGAAAAAGCGGCACGACAGGTCATTCCCGACTGTGTAGCCGAGGATGTACTGCGAGGCCTGCTCGGGTGTGACGTCGCGGCACTCGCGGGAGGTGACGAAGACGAGCTCGCCCTGTGTTCGTTAGTGATGGATACATGGGCGGATGGTGCAGTTGTGCGTGACTTGCCTCCCAGTCTGGTAGATGCGAGGCGCAGAAACGGCTGATGGGGATGGTTTCGTCGGGAGATGCAAGGGCGGCGGGTGGCTTGGTCCAGACGGGGGGGTTGGCGGGGACGTTCAGCTGTCAACTATTAGGTATGATACCTTGTGACAATTGATTCAGTGAAAGGCGTACATTTGCTTCCTTTGCGTGGCTCCTGTAGTTCAAGCCGACACAGTAGATGGAGTTGTTTGTTGGCGGCAGAGGGGGGAGGAGCTACACCGGGTCCGTCAACAGAGCAATCCAACTTCAGTGGTATCAAAGCAACAACCGACCTTCGAAATCGTTACAGCGGACGAGTTCTGGCCTTGCACCAGTTCCTCGTACGTTGGGTATGCGATGACCGATGACCCGATGACTGGGCTGGTCGAGGAGCAGTTGGCGAAGAACTCGTCGCCATTGTCTGTCTGGAAATGACAGAGATATCCGAAAGAGCTCATCTCTGTCGCTGCAAACGAAATCATTAGTATGGTAGTAATTTAAGGGGGCAAGTGACGGCTGTTGACTTTTAAATTGGTTACTGTTGCTTGCACGTGTGGACGATCGTGGCTTGGGTGTTCCTCCGAGGAGTATCTTTCATCGCCACTCCGCGCTCCAATTATTCGGCTTGGAGGCTTTCTCGGCGCAGATTTTGGAGAGTTGCGTGAGATCACTTCTGTAACCCTAGGTCAGAAAGCCTCAGTCGTCACAGGTGCAGTGTCTTCCCAGTATAACAAAGGTATAAAAGACGCTTCTGCAAAGAATTTTCCTGTCGCCGTTCCACGGACTACTCTACTCTTAGATCCTCGCACAAGTTTAAGCGCAAAATGTCACTCTGGCTTATCGATCTGATTGCCCTCCTCCCCTCAAAATGGCAGAACTGGATCCTCCCACCATCCACCATCCCCGTTGTCCATAACTCTCCGCAGAAAGTCCAACTCAGCCGCATCGCACATGTCTACTTCGAGCATGCCAGCCTCGAAGCTTTCACCAAGTTCGCCCAAGACTTCGGCTTTGTCGAGGCCATGCGGAAGGGAAACACCATCTACTACCGTGGGTACGGAAGAGACCCGTACGTCTACGTAGCCTCCCAGAGCCCCACGCGCAGATCCCAATTCCTAGGTGCTGCCTTCGTCGCCAAGGACGAGGAGAATTTTAACAAAGCGGCAGCGATCCCCGGAGCGGTTCGCAAAACACTGGACGATGCACCAGGGGGCGGCAAGCGGATCACTTTTGCTCGACCAAACGGGACATTTTTTCATGTCGTGTACGGGCAGACGGAGCGAGAGGTTGATGTTGAAGGAACAACGCCGCCAACAGCGACACACGACTCGCAGGGGCCCTTCAACACACCTTTTGATAAACCACGCAAAGGGCAGTTCCAGCGGTACCACGATGGTCCCGCCCTAGTGCACAAGCTCGGACACTACGGCTACGTGTGCAAGGAGTTCGAAACAGAGCTTGAGTTCTACACTTCCAACTTCAATTTCGTGCACTCGGATATCCTGTATCTGCCGCAGTTCCCGCAGATGGAGGTCATGAGCTTTATGCACCTCGATCTGGGCGAGGAGTATACAGACCACCACACATTCTTTCTGCAGCGGGCGTCACCAACTGTGGGGAGCACCTATGTACATCATACCTCGTTTGAGGTGGCAGACTTCGATACACAGCTGATGGGGCACCATTACCTGGCGAAGAAGGGTTGGAAGAGTGTTTGGGGGGTGGGAAGGCACATTCTGGGAAGTCAGATCTTCGACTATTGGTATGATAGTTCGAAGTTCAAGATCGAACATTATACTGATGGGGATGTGGTGAACTGTCACAACCCCACGCGCAGAGAGCCGGTTGGGCCGCTGTCTGTTTGGGGGCCTGAATTGCCGGGTGACTTTGGGGATAACAAGGCTTAAGTAGTTTGGTCCGTTGCAGATGTGATTGGAATAGTATTAGGATGGAAATATACTAGCACAAGTGGAGATATTCTACAGACATTACATCTGACCGCGCAAAAACTTGGGCGCCTCGTAGGTCAGAAAGTCCTTCCCCTTGAACCACCAAACGAGACATCCGAAGAGAGTCCATCTCCCAATGTGTCCTGTCCCAGTCGACTGGCCAACCGGCACAACCATCATCCTTTTCTGCGCTTTTGCCGAATACGTCATAAGTGGAGACCTTCTCTCGATAGCCGCGGCGATATTCGAAGCAACTGTTTGTCCCTGGAGAGAGACCCTCGAAAGCAGTCGATAGGGAAGGCAGGTGATGTCTCCAACAGCATACGTGTCGTTGCGGCTTGCACCATCTTGCACGACCCTAAGCTGATTATCAACATTGACCCAGCCCTGCTCATTCAGACAGTTCTTTGGGATAAAGTCGTTATTCGGCACGGTGCCCGTCGTAGCGATATACGCATCGACAATATACGTTTGCCCACTCGACAGCTTGACCTTCCAAGTCTGTGTGCTGGCTTCGTATGTGGCATCCTCAACCGAGGTGTTCCTTAAGACAACGACATTCTTTCGCTCGAGAAGCGACAACGCGGTTCGTTGGACTGTCTCCGTCGCCCGCTCCAGCAACACACTTGTCTTCGACACCAGCGTGACCTGCTGCGGTCCACGAGCTTCGGCCAGCTCCCCAGCAATTTCGACACCCAGGGGCCCTGCGCCACCAACCAGAATTGTCTTAGCGGTTGATAGCTTTATCTGCGCCTCCTGTATAGCCTTCCTCGTGTCTTCGAAGTCAGTGGCCTTGAACGGCAGCTTCACACCTGCCGTTCCAAGCGTGGCGGGCGTTGAACTTCCAGACGCGATAACGAGGTAGTCAAAGCCAAAGGAGGAAATCATCGTCGCAGATGTAGTTGTAGACAGTGCGACTTTAACGGACTTGGTCGAATAGTCGATCTTAGTCACTAGCCCCTTTACGGAAATGAACGAGCCCTCAGGATATTCGCGGAAGGCATCGGGAATGGAGTAGAGGTATTTGCTTGGTGGAAGACTCTCGGGCTTGACGAGGAATCGGGGGGCAGCGATGTTGGAGTAGTACTCATCCGAGGGGTTGATGAGGGTTATGGCAGCTCGGGGTGTCTGTCGAAGTAGTTTATGGCTTACGGCGAGGCCTGCGTGCGAACCGCCGATGACGATCACCGAGACGGGCTTCGACATGGTAAAGTGTGCGGGAAGTTGTTGGTGAGTAAGGATGCAAAGGATATTTTGTCTGTCTCATCGCGTCGAGTGGGCAGCTTAATACTTTCGAGTGGATGGTCGGATGGTCTTGTTTAGTCTGGCCTAGTCTTGCGGGAAGCTGAGACTAATCTCGGGATAACTTCTTCGGAGGATCTTCACAGGAGATCATCCCATTGGCTGCAATTTGCGCCCTGACACTCGGTGACGAGGAAGCAGACAAGCTAATGAGAATACGAAGATAATATTAGAACCCTTATCTCACCCAATTATTGCGGCCTGTGGGCCTCGGCGCAGTCAGACCCATTGTACGACTCCACGTCGCAAACATGAAAAGTATTTAAGTTGTATGTCCTCTACTTAGCACTCAGAGAGCAGATTCTCAGTGATTGAAAGCATAATGAGCAGCACAAATACTCCATTTAAAGCCATTATAGTAGGTGGAGGGCCTGTCGGCCTTGCAGCCGCGCATTCCCTCCACCTGGCCGGTATCGACTTTCTCATTCTGGAGCGCCGGCCCGCCATCATCGAAGACAAAGGGGCAAGCCTTATCGTCCACCCTCATACCTTGCGAGTCTTCGATCAGTTTGGTATCTTAGATGACGTGCTCCCGCATGGCACGGAATTGAACCATCATCTGTCCTTCACTGCCGACGGACACGTCTTCGCCGAGAGCAATCGGTACAACCTTGTCCGTGAAAAGTGAGATTTCTGTCTTTGCCAACATACACTCTTATATCTCATGGGTGTCTCCCCCTTTTTTCCCTTCGAAGAAAGCCGCTGATATATCGTTCATTTAGTCACGGCCACGGCCCCGTCGCCTTCCACCGCGCCGAGCTGATCAAAACCATGTACAACGGCCTCCCAGATCAAGCCAAGCAAAAGATCCTCACAAACAAAAGTCTAGCCGACATCACAACAACTTCAGACTCTGTCACCGCCACCTGTGCTGACGGAAGCACCTACCATGGCTCCATACTTATTGGTGCGGACGGTGTCAACAGCAAATCCCGGCACCTCATTCGCTCCCTTGCGCTACAAGAAGACCCCACGCGCTCCTGGGACGCCGAGAACCCCTACACGGCCACATACCAACTGTTGTTCGGGTCCTTCCCGTCCCCTGCGCCAGCTGAGGCAGGGCAGGGGTACGATATCCAGTCGAAGAATAAGGCGATAATGTATTTCAATGGTCCGGAGCGCGGTTGGTTCTTCCTGTACAAGCGACTGCCCGCGCCGATGAGTTCGCGGACCATCTATACACAGCAGGACGTGGAGGATGTAGCGAGCGAGTTTGCAGAGTTTCCACTCACGCGGACGGTGAAAGTTAAGGATGTGTGGCCGCGGATGCTGGGTGCTGGACTAACGAATCTGGATGAAGGGATCGTGAAACACTGGAGTTTCAGACGAGTTGTGCTGGTTGGTGACGCGTGTCACAAGATGACGACACATCTGGGACTGGGGTTTAATAATGGTATCCAAGATGTGGTTGTGCTGTCAAATCGTCTGCGAAAGGTTGTGAGGGCAGCGGCGGCGTCTGGCAGTGGAGGTCCCAGTGCACAGGAGCTCAAGGGCCTCTTTGAGGAATACCAGAATATGCGTATGAGCTCTGTGTGCTCGCTTGAAGGGGATGTGGTGAAGTCTGGACTGGAAACAAGGATGCACGCATGGCACAATGTTTGGTATTATCTGCTGTCTCGGTGGCTGAGTGTATTGAAGGTACTGGAGGCTTTATTCATAACGTATGTGATGGCGCCGGAGTTTCGCAAAGCGCAGGTGCTGGATTATGTGCCCAGAGAGGAGCGGATGAAAGGGAAGATTAGTTGGATTTATCCTATGAAGTCTACTGCGGCAAAGGAGGATTACTAGGAGATGGCTTGTTGGAATCGACTTTCATACTCGCATTTACTAGCGTAATATTCCAACAACCAAGGCTAACCTGCCCGAACTCCCTTTCCAGTTACTACCCGAGCAATATGCTAAGGTGTTCCCCCAGCTTGAGTGATGCAGAGGTAAAAGACTTCACATATACGCAATCGCGATTGGCAAGCACCGATGTGACCTGTGCTTTCAATTTGAATACCAACCCATTTCTGTATTCCCTATCTCACTAGGCCGGTTGCAATATGCCGGGTATGCCCCGATTGGAATGAGATTCAAGGAATCTCGCGCAAGCAGTGACGCCTAGAGCCATCGTGATCGAAATAATTTGCCAGTCTACTTTAGCACATGTACCCAAAATCTAGTGGATGATAAAGCCCCAGATGTGTACTTCAAAGGGACTACGGAGTCCGTTTTTGCCTCGGGATGACATCGGGTTGGTCTATTTCAGTCCGTCGGGTGGAAGTGCACATGAATAGCCCCCCGTTCCAGCCTGTCTAAAGCAATATAACCCGTACACTTGTTGCTAATCGAGAGCCAAGCTGATACATTTATACCTCGAGTCCATGCTCAATAAATTGCCAAATCGTCAGCAAGCAACACCAGGGCCCCTTCCACAACACCAACTGCGCCATGGCGAACCGCGAAACGTTTGCGCTCATCACCGGGTGTAGCAGTGGCATTGGCAAAGAACTTGCAGTGGCCTTTGCGAACAGAGGAGTCACCGTACTGGGCACAGCACGCCGCACGCAGTCACTCGACGAACTCACGAGCAAATACAGCAACATCAAAGCTCTAGCGCTTGACTTGAGTGACCCAGAAATCATTACAAAGCTAAAGGATAGTGTCTTGGATTACACAGACGGATACTTGGACTACCTGGTCAATAATGCGGGGACGCACTACGCCGGGACAGCGATGGACCTAGAGATGGATGAGGTGGTCGCTATCTTTCAAGTGAACGTGTTTGCCGTCATGCGCCTGTGCCAGATTTTCCTGCCTCTTCTCCGCCAGTCGCCACGAGGGCGTATTGTGCAGATTGAGAGTGTCACGTGGAATATCCCGGTTGTGTGGCAGGGCGCATACAATGCTTCTAAGGCGGCGCTCAGCCAATATTCACGGACACTTCGTCTGGTGAGCACACGTTCCGTTGTGGATTACTTGGAAGCCATCATGCTAAAATTTCATAGAGGTGAAACCATTGGGGGTCGAGGTGATCGAAATCGTCACGGGATTTGTGCAGAGCAACATCCTGCACCACGGCCTCCACGCGCCCGAGGACTCGGTGTATCTACCCATCAAAGGCATTATTGAAAACATCAAGTATCAGGGCAACGCGAATGGAATGCCGGCGCACGTGTATGCGGCGTCGATCACCGACAAGCTGCTGCGACGACAGGTCGATCCGGAAATCTGGGAGGGGAAGATGGCGCGTCTGCTGCGCTTGATTTTCATGTTGCCTTTGCGGCTGCTGGTAGGCCATCCGTCTGAAACTTACCTGGACAAACGACTGATTGTTCCTCAGAATCATCTCCTGTACCGCAGATTCAAGCTGGGCTCGTTGAGGGAATCAATTGGTCGGTGAACAGAGGTGTTTTATGATTGGTGAAAAAATGCTCCGCGGATAAACTTTGGCCCACTTCTGAATTGAACGATGGCGTGGGGATGCAAGAGGGTAAACTGCAGAATCTTCAATGATTGAATAATTGAACCTTTCCCCTGTTCCCACTTTCCCCGAGCTCGTCTTTCTTCCGCCGAGTAATAACTAGCTACTCAACCACACTCCCCGCATGGAGCATTCCGGAGCGTCCTCGCCTAGTATAGTATCTAGTCAAGATCCCAGCGCTATGTCGACAAGAGTGTGCGATAGGTGCATCCGGTAACCCGCCTCTCCCTCGGCCTTTCATGTGTCACTAAGCTTCTGCGCAGGAAGAAGATCAAGTGTACGTCGGCGCTTTCACTCGATCTGGAGGTATTAGTCGCTAAACACCCGTAGGCAATTTGGCCCGGCCAACTTGCTCTCGTTGCTCCGACCTGGGCAAGACCTGCACTTATTCGCTGGTGAAACGGAGGCCCGGTCCTCCTCGTGGCTCTCGCTACACCACCCGCCGACCCAGATCGCGCACTCCCTCTGGTAGCTCCACCTTCATATTATGATTTTGGGAAATATTTAGTTACTGAGTAAATGATGATCCTGACAAAGCAACCCCGGAACGCAGCGTCACACTACAAGAGTCTGACCCGGTGATTTCCCCGCCAGGTGAATCGGTTTCCAGTGAGCAAGTGGCGCAGGGAGCCCCTCTGCAACACCCAAGCACCACTAGCCCTTCATGTTCTCGTCACTTGCCTTTCTCCTCGCAGGACGAGGAGCACCTGTATGTCACCTTCCTTGCCAGACAGAGCCAAACTGACAAGTTTTGGTACCGCTGCAGAATTGAGTGTTTCTTTGACATCGCCCAAGATGCAAATCCTATCTACTCGAAGAAACGCTTTCTTCATCGATATAGAAGCTCACAATGCAGTCAAGACCTTATCACGGCAGTGGCTCTCATTGCCGCAAATCTCACCCAGTTCTCCGTGGGTGATGGTGGTCCAAACTTAGATGCAGAGCTTGACTCACTCCTCAGCTCAAGCCTGCTCGAAGATGACCTAGTCGGGGATACCCCATCCCTCGACCAGTTTCGCAAAGCCTACATACTGGCCCTCTATGAGTTCCATCAGTTCCCAGGCCATCACTCCTGGCTGCGTATTGGACGGGTCACACGCATGGCCTATCGAATTGGCCTAGACCGACTCGAGCACATCCGCGTGCTCTACGCCGACTGGAGCACGGTCAGCGACGAAGATATCCAGGAGTGGCGGGCTCTCTGGTGGCGCATCTACCGCCTCGACACCTACGCCAATCTTGCCTCTGGCACACCGTATCTCATCGACGACACCTTAATCGACACCTCTTTCAATCTCAGCCAAACAGCAAACCCTTCTCATGCAATCTTCCTTCCTCCTAACTCAGCTGGTCTCGCCGAGCTCCTCCCCGCCATTACCTCAGACCCTGAAACCCTCCTAGACAATATCCACAACATCACCATCGCATCCATGCGCCAAGCCGGTCTTATGATCCGCATCCACATGCTCCGCTGGCAAGCCGGGATGCTATCACAGATCACTGCCGTCGATCGCCAACTAACAACCCTGCGCCTCGCCCTACCACCCGGCTGGCTCAACCCGCACCGCAACGCCTTCATCAACGAGAGCCCGCTCGCCCACCACGCGCGGCTCATAACAGTCTACCACCTTCGCATGGCGCAGCTGCTCCTCTCCGTTGCAGAGTGCAGCGCCCGGCGCGCAGACGACTGGCTCTCAGCCTGGCAGCGCGTCCTGGAGACATGTCAGGATATCGCTGGGTTGGCGAGTCAGTGGGACAGCGCATATTGCATGACGGTCGACCCGGCCATCACGTTTACCATCTTCACAACACTCATATTTCTTGATCTTCAAAGGAAGTGCGAGCTAGTGGCAACCGATGATCTCCATTCGAGCATTGACCATGACATCACCGTGCTGCATCTGCAGCTTAAACACTTCGGGACCATATGGACGCAGGCGAGGCTGCTTACTTGTAAGGTTCCCACCTCCTTCAGGCATGTATGGTAGTACCATGGGCTAACACTAGGGCGGCGTATAGTGTCATTCGAAAGCTTCAGTGAATCAGTCACCGGACCGCTAGCACACAATCATATTGCGTTGATTCTTTCGCGCTTTGAGTCCCCGCTTCATCCGCGGTGGCTGCAGTTTCTTGCATCGGCTCGGCCTGCTCTTGAGGCTTGTCACTGATGTTCTGATAAGCATACAATCGTTCCAGCTACGTTGTTAAACCCGTTCTTAGCGGCCTACATTGACAGTAGGCGGAATGAAGCGCGAGTAATCTGTGAGTCTTTTGTAGATTCCACTTCTTAGTGCTGTGGTATTTGCAAGACAAACCATTTAAGCATATGGCTTACAAAACATGTATGAGATTATGCGTGATACACCAAACGATTATAACTGCTACTCTTCACCTCGACTTTACACCTGAGAGCGATGATCTCTATCAAGAGACCTTTCTGCTACCCACCAACCTTTAGGGAACCACATGCCAGCTCTAACTTCTGACTAAAACAATGGAAGCTAAATCTATACCTAAGGATAATAATGCCAGAAACTCTGGCCACAGTAGCTAGCAAGCCAAGGTGTGCGTTAGTAATGGTACGGCCTCTTAAGTACTTCTGAAAGTTCCGCCGGTAGACCCTCCGGGCTGTGCCGATCTTGAGCTTGGCGCCGGCCGCCGGGAGTCCACATTTATCTCGGCGATATAAATAGCCATGCTATTGCTGAGTGAATAAAGTACTAAATAAGTCTAAAGCAAGACATCGGTGTATAAATAAAAGAGGTGGGTTCAGAGGAATGTAAGGTGGAAATAAACGGCATAGCTCGCGACATAGCAGAATATAGTCCGGAGCCATCTGCAGATACCTAAAGTTGTACTTCTTCTTGTGACATTCGAGTCATCCAAACTGGTCCTTAGCAAACATTATATTTGTTTGTACTGGCTTGCTTGGCAAAATCATTGTTATACAATTCTTACAAAGTACTTCTACTGAAAGTGCTCTAGTGACAGCCCCTATCTTCCCCACTTGAATGATTCTTAGGACTACTTTGTCAGTGCTTTGTTTCTACTGCAGAAATTCTACTTTGAAGGGTTTCATTATGGCGGAGATCAGGGGATCAAAGATCCCATTTTCAATTCATTAAGTGCAATTATGACAAGGCAACATCAAATTCAGAACAGAAACAATAACAGAACAATCAACGCCTATCCCATATCACCCCTTCATTGTCAAATTATTATCCTTTCGAAAATAGTGACTTCACTGTACATCCACGCGGGTCACCATCACAACATCCGTCTCCACCTTCGGCAACTTGATGCTCAACACCCCGTTCTCCATCTCCGCCGTGATGCCCTCAACATGAATTTCCACGGGCTGGAACACACTTCCCAGTCGCACCTGGCGGTCAAAAGTCCCCACGCAACGCTCATCCAATGCCAACGTCTTCAGCAATTCCTCATCGCCAGGACGCTCAATCGTCCCGCTGACATTCAACTCGAACTTCTTCGGATCCCACTTCACTTCCACCGCTTCCTTCTTCGCTCCAGGCAGCGAAACATGCACGATAAAGGCCTCCGTGGTGTCGAACACATCCACCTCGGGGTGGAAAAAGTCGCCGCGCTTGTGGTGCTTGCGGTGGTGATGATGGTGGCCGAACTCCTTGAATCCAAAAGGGCCAAAGCCACGGTGCGGTCCGCCCCGACCACCGTGTTTGAAGCCACCGCGCATGTGTCGACCCCCGTAAGGCCCGAACCGACCATGCGGTCCATGGCCGAATCCGCCATGTGGTCCAAATCCACCGTGAGGTCCTTGAAAGTCAGCTCCCCAAGCGCCAAATGCTCCAGGATGAGGGGGGTGGTCGAATTTCCCCCATGGACCGCGCCCATGGCGACCGGGCCCATGACGGCCCTTTCCACCCTTGGCGTGGAAGCCGCCGTGCCGACCGTGACGCTTGCATTTCTTGGATTCATCACGGTCTTCCTCATCGGAAGAAGAAGAGGAGGATTCATCATCTTCGGCGGTCTCGGTCTGGGTAGGCTCTTCGTCTTCAGTCACAGGCTCTCCGCGGCGGTGGCGGCGGTGGTGAGGGCCATGGCGGCCGCGATGGGGCAGATCGAAGTCTCCAGCACCGGCAAAGTGTTCGCCATGGGGCATGTGGTTGTGGTTGAGACCAGCGAAAAAGGGGTGAGCAAAGCTTGGTTCTTCCATGCTGGCGACGACTTCCCAGTAGGGAGGGAGTTGATTGAGATCGCGAATGTTGGCCATAATTGGATTTTGTGATACTTTTTGTGTCTTGGGTTGGTATGATAATATTCCGGTTTCAGCTAATGCTTGAGTGTCGGATTGTGTGTTGTAAAAAGAAGAAGAGGGAATTGATGAGAGAGTATAGAATGAGGGATTGGATTGACTGTAGTGATGAAGGGAACATTGTCAAGGTGAGCTGTCCCCTTTATATAGATCCTATCCCAGGCATCCATGATAGCTCCTTTGCATGATCTACGCCACAGGCTGTGATCGTCGTCGTAATCCCTTCCTCTGAATTGGTCTTGCCACCGTTCGGAGATTAGCATATACCGACTCGGATGTCCTATTGTCCTTCGGGCTTTTCCCAACACGTCACTGTCACTAACCCGATGGGGTAGGATATGATGAGTCACTGTCGGGATAGCGGAGCTAGCTACCAGGTTAGGCAGCCAAAGCCTTAACTCCGACGGTGAATTGCTGCGCCACAGCCACAGCCACCGCCTTATCCCCGCAATCCGAGCCTCGCTCTCCCTGTCGGTGGCGCTTCATGTGCAAAGGACCGCAGCTCATTGATGGGTCTGTTAAGTCTGGCCTGCCGTTTTGCCCCATGAGTCATGAGCTAGGCATGAATTAAACATTACGCCAAGCATCTGACGCTGCAGTACTCAGTTCTTTTCGGGAGGTTCCTCTCCGACTGGTCGTCGGACTAAGCTACACCCCGACCCTGCCATGGGGCTTTCAGCCTTATCGGTGGTTCTGTTCGGGCTGGTTACGTCCGAACAGCCGGTCAATCACAAGCCATAGAAGAGCGACCCATTAAAACCTATCAATAGAATAACCCAGGCCGATAGAAACCAGATGGTTGCGCTTCGATCGTTGTTCATGGACGCTATCAACAACAGGAAGATGCGCTAGCCACACGGCGATTCATGAAGACGGTCCTGGAAGCGGGAACTCTTTTCCTAACGTCTCCTAGCATGATTCCTTGTCAGGTAATTGAATGAGTTTAGATGCTGAGCATGAGCGGGCAGTATCAATTATGGCAAAGTTAGAACATTATAGCGCACCAAACGGACTACATCGCGTTCCTGGGCATAGAATGTGTGGTAGGGCTGGCAATCTCTATCCTGCTCTGTGCCTAAGTGCTTCCATCAGGGGAGATGAGAGCATAACCAAGGGTTCCGCTGTCATTGAGGCGTGTTGATACGTTATCTACCATGGCGTGCTGGCGTGCTAGTAAGCACTTAGCCCAAAGCGGATGTGCCGAAGATACCCAGAGAGATGAACAACCCAAGGGAGCTGCTGCCTGTGAGCGGAAACCCATTTATCAAGCACCTAGGCTCAGGAAATGTGGTGGTCTTGGTTTGACTGATCGCATTGTTGTCTCAAAGCCACCAGAACGCTTCACAGAAAGATGGATGAATGGAACGTCCTAAGCGCAACGGCAACTCAACTTGGCCAGCTGCTGCGAGGAGGCCACACAAATAGTGTGGATATCGTCAAGGCCTACCTCGCTCAAATCGACCGGCACAACAAAGCTGGCCTGAAGCTACATGCAATCATCTCCGTCAATGCTGAGACTGCTCTTGCTCAAGCAGCGACCCGCGACAACGAAAGATCAGAGGGCAAAGTCCGCAGCCCACTTCATGGAATCCCGATCATCGTAAAAGATGCGATCATCACGTCCGAGTCCCTAGGTTTACCAACCACGGTCGGCGCTTTCGCTTTCAAAGATACCTATGGACTGAAGAACGCATCTATCATAGATATCCTCCTGGAGCATGGCATGATCATCCTTGCAAAAGCCAGTTTGACGGAATTTTGCGGTCTGAAGGCGACTTGTATAACCGCCGGCTGGTCGGCAATCAACGGACAAACTCAGTCCGCTTATATCGAGGGTGGTTTCCGATCGGACGATCTCTTCATCGGTCGCTCTGGGCCAGGAGGCTCCTCGTCGGGGTCCGCAGTTGGGGTTTCAGCCGGCTTTGCGCCGTTATCGCTGGGGACGGAAACTTCGGGCTCAGTCTGCATGCCGGCAAATCGGGCAGGGCTGTACTCCATCACTGCGAGTCGAGGGAGTGTCCCCATAGAAGGAATCTTTCGCTTGAGCAAAGACTTTGATAAGTTGGGTGCTATGGCCAAATGTCCCGAGGACCTCGGCCTGTTGATGCCGCTGCTCAATGGTTCGCATTTGGAGCCTGTGACGTGGAGCGACATTTCGGTCGGTTTTGTCGATCCGATTGTATGGGATGCATTTGGATTCCAAAAGAGCCAAGACAAAAATATAGAAAGTCAGATTGTAAGTTATCTTATCATTGATTTCCAGGCGGGCTACACCTGACGCTTTATAGCTCGAGCGATACGAATGGGCAAAGGCAGAAATTACTCGTCGGGGAGGCCGAGTTGTTTACCCCGTAGGTTTACCGACGATGGAGAGCCTTTCCTTTGAAGGCAAGAGTGTCAACTACTCCGTTGCATGTGCGCTCATCACTTCTTACGACATGTGATCGATAATAGCTGATGAAAGTATAGTTCATGAATTTCCAAGCCTATTGGAGGATTACTGCTCTCTCCTGGTAGATCCCGAAGTCACATCAGTCCCAGAATTGATCCAATTCAATGAACAGCATGCCTCTTCTGCCATGCCCCAGCGTAAGTAATTATCATGGCATCTAAAGAAGTCCAAATACTTATACCTCGTAGCACATACCGATCAAACTGATCTTAAGGAGACGCTCAAGTCAACCATGACTGAGGAGACAGCTACAGCAGCCAAGGCCTACGCTCAGCGCTTAGCTGGTCCCGACGGCATCGATGCCGCGCTACAAAGTAGTCGCATTAACCTGGTAATTGGACCGGGAGATTGTGCAATCTGCGCAGTGGCTGCTTTAGCAGGCTATCCAACCGCCATGGTCCCACTCGATCGCTTGGAAGGTCCTGGTGGGCTGGGCCAGCCCCAGGGGTTAATGCTGATTGCCAGCGCGGGGGGAGAAGCACAAATCCTGGCATTTATGCAGCTGTGGAAACAGATTGTGGGTGATTGGAAGATTCCCCCTCTGCTGTTCTGATGAAATTTATTGTGACCATTCCCGTCTTGATTGCCCGACTTTAATATGTGCTATGCGGGACTTTTGTATCTATTTAACATGTTGAGGGTCATAATAAGCCTATATGAAAAGCGACTTCATCGAAGAGCAAACCTTGCAAACCTTGCTGTCATCATGGTGTTATTTGTATCAGGCTCTGAAAAGGCCCATGGAAGCTATCGATTCTCCACCTCCACTGTAATGTCCACCGTCATTAACACTCCACCACCCTTGTCTCCTTCTGTCAAACGTTTTGTACTATCGCTCAAACTCGATCTTTTTAAGGTCGACTTCCTCTTGACAGTCACGACCGAGTCGATTGTCGCCAATTCCGCGGGCCTTTTCCCCTTACTTTCATGACTGCCGAGTGTAGAATTTTGTCCGTATGGATAAGTATGTTTGAGCTCCACCTCGTCGGGCAGTCGGGTGGTAATAAGACCGGAGTGTAAGCCGGCAAAGATATGGTACAGGGTTGGTAGGCAGACGATGGTGACGGTGGAGCAGGTCATGGCTTGTTGGCAGATCGTAGGGTTGGTGATGGTCCCTAAACCCAAGATATACTTAGTACGAGGAGGTGCGCAGGCCGAACAAGAGAGAAAAGAATACTAACATGTTATATCGGTTGAATGGAGGTATGATGGAAGGAGAGCGAGGTGTGCAATGGCCAGTGCTATCACACTGTACCCTTGATCAGTGACTGATGTTTTCTCGAGTGTGGACGGACGAAGTACATTATGCGTGCTGAGAAAGCGGCGAGGATCTTCACCCGTGTTGTGAGTGTCAGTTGGACGTTGCGCATCATGAAGAATGGTATGACCACAATGACAAGTTCTGTGATTATGTGTATTATGGATATGGGGTAGAGAATTGAACCCTGATAAAATATCAGACGTGAGCTTATATAATTGCCAGGTGCAATGTTTACCTGCCCAGCACAGCGAGAAGCGGTATAAAGCCAGGGATTAGGCATCTGGCATTGGAACGCAATACCGAAGATGGAGAATATGGTCCATGCCGCCACGACACCAACAGTGATGCGACAGGTTTGACGAATGCCGCGGTGGGGAGTCAATTTCCAGACGAGTAGCGTGGTGGATATTTCAGATAATGAAAGGACGACCACATGGAGGAGCTGCGCGGCGTAGAGGTACTACATCATGGAGTTTAGTTTGGTGACTGCTCGTTCGAAATTTTGTCGAAATACGGACCTTGCTGGCTGTCTGGATGTCTGTGTCGCTCAGTGTGTCAATATGTCGGCCTATCCCATTGTCAACTCCTTTCTGTATCACTACCACCTCGACAATAAGTAGCGCCTAATTACGATAGCTGGTTAGAAGGACTTTGTGCTGCTGGGCCGTTCATCACCCACCAGAGCTAGCCATACGGGTATATGGACAGCAGAGCGACGCTGTTTAAAGTAGAGCACCGAGCATAGCTTGGCTGACACAAAGATAATGGCGACAATTAAAAATGCAACGGACACAAGAGTGATGAGTGGCCCATGGTTGTCATCCGAGAGAGTCTCGAAGGGAGCATCGGTCTCAGCCATGACCACGATGGTGGAAGAACATAATCGAGTAATCACTCGGTAAGAGAGCAAGTCGGAGGATAGGGCGGGATATAGCGAAGTGGAAACCCGAGAAGAAAACATGTGTTTATTGGCACAGTAATCAAAGCATGCTTGGCTACAGGGATTCTAACCCCTGTCGCAATGGTTGAAGCGTAAACGAAGTGGGCGAGATATCATGTCGCCGGTTCTACCCTAGCCCCCTGGATCCAGGTACAATTCGTTGGTCACACCACTACCACTGTGTCTGAGATTGCGAGAAAGACTTCCCATTGAGAATTATGTTTTGACTGCCGTTGTTGACATGGTTAGCGCCTCTAAACCTTTCGGTTCTGGCCAAGGAAGCTGGGCTGCTATCCGATCCAGCGCTCGTGATTGTCCCGGTAAGATTGAAAATATTCCGCGAAATTGCTCCGCTGAAGCTAGCTAACTATTTCTATCGCAACCGATCGTGTCATTCTAGGCGCAATCTATGCTGTGGGGGATCAGTGGTGGATTCGACGGTGGTCCGAGCCCGGAGATGCTGCTAATGCACCCTAAATGCCTTCCGTGCCGTTAGTCCCATCGACCGTCGTCGAAGACCCATGTCACCCAATCTAAACGGCGGGGTCGAGCACCTTTAGTGCGATGGCCTTGTCCATTGTTTTCTGAGAAAGCTGTTTCGCTCAAACGACAGTTGCAGATGGTCGCATGCCGCGTCACCAGAATCGGCCAGGGTGTCTGCAAGGACGCAGCGCCATGTTTCCACTTTCAGACAATGTCCGGAGGGCTCCTGAGTCTGGGTTCCATGATATCCCTGCTTTTATTTGTGCCTGCCCCGAAGTCGGACAGTCAAAGTCCCGAAATATTCTTCCTGTCTTTCTGGTGCCGTCCATCTCCATCTAGAGACAGTCGCATTGCGAGCTGATTCCCCCTCAGCACAGCCACTTGATGCACTGTTTTCTGCGAATTGATACAATCGACACTTCCTGCTTAAAATGCTCGACGAGGAGGTTGAGATGAAAAGCGGCAGCGCCGTCCAATCCACAGTTGCTGATGGAAGCCCTCATGGTGCCGCAAGCAGCAGCATCGAATATCGTCAGCGACAAAAGCTAGACGTACATGATCCTCGTCTAAATCACTGTCCGCTGTTCGCATGCTAACTTGGTTCTCGGCAGCGATACTTGAATTTCTTTTCCTCACTAGCGTTTTCGGCGACTCTTCTTGCGTCGTGGGAATCAGCTGGAGGCAGCTTGCAGGCCGGTCTCTTTAACGGAGGTCCTGCTGCCATTGTATATGGCATCATTATGAGCGGAGTGGGGAATCTGGCAATTGCCACTTCACTGGCTGAACTGGCGTCAGTGTATGTAAGGCCCATTCACTATGACAATTCTTAGAAACTCACTGCTGATCAAACATCCATATTTGCCAGGCACCCGACAGCTGGGGCGCAGTATCACTGGAGCTATGTTCTGGCGCCACGCTACCGGCGCTTCATTAGTTTCTTCCAAGGTCAGACATAACAATCACATTTGCACCGCGGGTAGATGTGTATGCTAACTAGCAACGGGTATATACAGGCTGGGTTACCGTACGATGCTTCTCACCTTTATGTTTGCTACACTCGCTGAAAGATGACAGTTCTTTTCTTGGGCTGCACTGGTCTGCATCTCGCCCTATTTTATCGGCACAGAGATCGAAGGCATGGCTATCCTGGCCTATCCCGACTATGATGCAAAACGGTGGCAGGGAACCCTGCTCATGTGGGCAGTAGTCCTGATCCCGATCATCATCAACATCTTCGCCCGGCGCCTGCTCGCCATCATCGAAGTCGCAGCAGGCGTGATGCATGTTGTCTTCCTCCCCGTGATGATAGCGACCTTTGTCATTCTAGCCCCGCGCAATTCTAATGCTTTCGTCTGGGATACTTTCGTGAGTGGTCTCAGTGGCTGGGAAAACCCAGGCGTCGTGTACTCCGTGGGACTGTTAGGTGTCATCACCCCCCTGAGTGGTACTTATCCTTGGCCCTGACCATACTACCAACCAACTAATCAATCTTCTCAGGAGTCGACGGCATCATCCACATGTCGGAGGAAGTCAAGAACGCCAAAGTCGTTATTCCCCGGTCCATGATCTACGGTACCATCATTAACTCTGTCATGGCATTTGGCTATCTCATCGCCGTCCTCTACTGCATGGGCGACTACACCGCTGCCCTCACCAGTCCAACGGGATACCCCATCATTACCATCGCCTACCAAGCCACCGGATCCAAAGCAGCCACATATGTGCTGATGGCCATGGGTATGCTTCCGGGTTGGATAGCACTGTTTAATGGCCTTGCGTCTGTCACTCGACTTACGTGGGCCTTTGCACGCGACAACGGGCTTCCGTTCTCTGATTTCTTTGTGAAGGTTGATCCACGATTTAAAATTCCTATTCGGGCATTATTCCTCGTCACAACATTGGTTATCCTTCTCTCCTTTATTCAAATCGGGTCATCGGCCGCCTTCAACGCTATTCTCTCCCTGAGTACGTTGGGTTTGTATATTTCATACCTAATTCCATTGGTCCTTCTGGTGTGGAAAAGGTTTACCGCACCGAAGGATATTCCACAAGGCACATTCTCTCTGGGGAAGTGGGGATTACCCATCAACCTGGTAGCGATTCTGTTCGCTACTTACTTCTCCATCTTCTTACCCTTTCCCTCTGAGGTGCCGGTGACTGGGGAGACCATGAATTATGCCGGGCCGGTGTTGGGCTTCGTGATGCTGTTTGCTTGTGGAGATTGGCTGGTGCGAGGCCGCCATAAGTGGAATGGTCCGACTATGGCGTATTCACGGGAGTGATTGGCTTCTCCTAGGTTGAATTTGAGGGAGTCAAGATGGTCAGGAGTGGGGTCTATGGGAATTGCACGGTGAGTATTTTTTACATTACCATATAAACACCACGACTACTCCACCAGAAATATATATCCCTTGCACAACTTGAAATAAATTTCAGTATGACTTTTTCATAAAATAGCAATAGTAAAGATTCATCTAACTTAATGTGCAGAGAGTAAAAATATAAGCCGTGGAAATTACAAATTGGAGATAATTTGGCGTTGAGCACTCTCAACTTCGCCCACATTCAGTCACCTTCCCTAGCAGTTGTACTCTTTCCTGTAGACACTTTCTTCATAGTACAAGTTATTCGCTTAAACCTTTATCCAATCCTCGATGGTCTAACGGTCATGATTTCCGCTTGTCAATCCCTTTCGGGAACAGGCGCGGGAGACCTGGGTTCGACTCCCAGTCGGGGAGATTTCTTTTTTTCTGCCACTATGGTCGCTGGCAGAGAGAGGCATGGATATTTTTTCTTGTGAAGGAGCACAAAAGCCATCTCTTGCATGCTGGTTTACGTAGGTGTAGCTACACTGATGATCCGCCGGTTCATCATGCTATCTCCTTCAGATCATGACTGACTGGCTTCATCGCCCTGACCTCCAATAGGCCCGAGTGGTTGGGCTGATTGGAATCTGTCATTCACAGAAAACTTGGTGTTTAAATGTTCATGAAATTTCCCCCACATCATTGGTCTTCACATAAAGCCCCTCCGGTTGCATACACCCTTCTAAAGTGTCAGCCATCGACGTAAGATAGGTCTGTAGCTTGATTTGGTCGGAATGAGTTGCAGTTACCAGACACAGCTTGGGTAATAAGGAGAAACAACTTTGCAGGCAATTAGGAGAAAATGTGGCGCTTCGAACGTTAGTTTTCCAAATTCTCAAGAGGTTGCATCTCAGAGAGGGTCTACATCAACCACCCCCAAGCCTGAGCGGGGCGTAGCAATAGAATATGGGAAGCTGCAGCATCATTTCCACCCCGGCAGAGGTTCGGAGCCGGCGGCTGTATATCCCCGTGAGGCTACATTGTGTGTGGTCAGATTTGCAGTCGAACAGCCCAGGCTTGTCCGGGTATAAAGCTTGATCTCGGTGGGGACCAGAGCGGTCCTCGTGTTCGTGACCGGGTCACTGAGAGTTAAGCTTAAACAAGCATTCTGTTTGGAACAATTAAGCTTCGCTCGGCAGCGATGCGGAGAAGCTGGCTGGACCCCTCCTTTAACTCGTAATCAACATCGTATCCCAGCCCATTCCACACTTGGATCAGCCATGGTCGTCTGCTGGGGTTATGGTATATCTGAATGCCCCCCTTCCAGCCTGTCCACCCTGAACCCCACGAAACCTCTACAACGGTATAACCATCACCACAAGTAATCCTAGCCACCAAAACCAAGACATCAAAATGCCTTTCGGTACCTTCGAGCTCACTGGGGACCCCATTCCTCAATACGCACCACCCTATCCTACCGGCGACTGTGACTTCACCGGCTCCACCATCCTAGTCATAACCTACCGGACTACCGCAAAAAGCGTCGCCCCCTTCGTACCCAGCATGCTTGAACTCGATGACGAGCCTCTCATCACCGTCCGCCTTCTCCGACACAGCATGACCTCCTTCGGCCCATACAACGAGTACACCCACGGCGTGGACGTGCGCTATCGCGGGGAAAAATACGAGTACTTCCTCTCCCTCATTCTCGACAATGAGTCTCCCGTCCTAGCGGGCCGAGAGCAATACGGCTTCCCCAAGAAGTTCGGCACAGTGGAGTTCAACCCGTGTGAGCCGTGTGGGACCCGAGTGATGCGCGAATACGTCGAGCATCCTCCACACCAGAAGATCCTGCAGATGAACTACAGTCCCGTTCGGAAGCAGGCGGTCCCAGATGTGGGAATGACCGTCGAATCACGTTGTATGAATCTACGTGTGCTGCCCTCGCCGATTGCGGGACAGCCCCCGTCCGTGAGGGAGTTGATGCCTCTGGCGCTTAAAATTACGGCGAAGGAGATCTGGGATGGTGAGGGTGCTGTGTCGTTCCCGGAACCGTCTGCAGTGGACCCGATGCATCGGATTGAGATTGTGCGGTATGAAAGTGCACATTTCTTGCGGGAGGCACATCTGTGGCTCGGTCCGACTGGAGATGTTTATCCTGTTTAGGTGTTACATGCTGCTTTATGTGGGTAAGGGTAATCTGATCGACGTTGGGCGTGTCCAGGACCCTTGATTCAGGTAGGGACTAGTAATTGATTACTAGGAGGTATCGACTGGGCCGTGATTGATGTGTAATACTACTGTTCATGATTTTCAAATCGTGTATGGGAAAAAGTCTCTTCAGAATGCTACGAGATGCATGAATCAGTGCGTGGACTTTTGCTGATTTACTAAAGGCCTACAGTGTGGCGGCGCTCTAGATGTGGAATACGAAACTTGTAAGTTAACGCAAAGTAATTCTTTCTATTAATACTAATCATTGGGAAATTGCTTTGGGCGTAATTATTATATAGCGCCCTTCAAGGAATAGGTGCGTAGTAGCTGAACTTGCCCGTAGGGTCATACTTGGCCTTCAGGGACCGCAGACGCTGCTGACGCCACCCCTCGCTACCATACAACTGCTGGGGAGTCTCATCACCATGGGCATAGTTGACATACGCGCGGATATCCTCGTGGTCAGTACCAGCAAAGAGAATGTTGCGCAGCTCCTGACCCAAGTTAGCCCCGCGGCGATCAAGTTCGGCGCCATCAGGGTAGTAGTTGATCATGGGAGCAGCCAGCACGTTTTCATTACGGAAGGCAAAAGCGCTCGACCGGCTATCAACATCGTGCACGCCGCCAACTGAGTATCCCTCGAACATGAAGATGGAGTTGTTGAACGCCGAAAAGCCACGGGTAGCATTCGCGTAGACGTCCCATGCCTTCTGCTGGGCAGTGACGTTGTACGTTTCGAGGTAGATCGGGTAACGGGGGTTGGCCATACCCATCTTCTGGCAGGGGGCGGAGTCGACAGCAACCTCAGTCCATGCGGCGAGATCCTTGTATGTGCCGTTGTTGGGGGACACAGAAATGGGACCGATCTTGCGGAAAGGCGCGGTGTAGACGGAATCGACGGTCTTCACTCCCTCCTGGATGATGTAGAAGATGATGACCGGGTTGTTGGGGTCGGCATCCGCATTGTTCATCCAGTACGACCAGTTGATCACGCCGGCAGCCTGGGTGCCGTTCTTGACCAGGTAGTCATTGGCAGCCTGGTAGACCTCGGCAACCTTGTCGCCACTGAAGGTCAGCGTCTCGATGGCCCAATCGCTGTACTCGATGTCATAGATCTTCATGGTGAGGGAAGTGACGATGCCAAAGTTGTGGCCGGCACCCTTGACGGCCCACCAGAGGTCCGAGTTGGCGTCGATGTGGGTCAGAGTGCCGTTCGCCAGCACGATGTTCATCGAGACAAACTGATCAAGAACAAGGCCGTGGTGGCCCTGGAGCCAACCATGGCCACCACCAAGCGCAGGACCGACAAGACTGACACATTCACAGGTTCCAGTCACGGTCTGCTTTCCTGCGGCCCAAAGCTGGTCGGTGACCTCCTTGGACATGGTTCCACCTCCGATCGTGGCAGTCTTGCCGTCAGCTGCGACCTCGACACTACTCAACTGGCCCATGTAGATAGCAATACCATGGGTCATTTCTCCCAGAGAGATGAGGGCACCGTGCACACCATTGTAGGTTAGGAAGGGGACATCCTTCTGATTGGCAAATTTCACCTGCAGGATCAATTAGCGACCAATTAAGTCACATTACATCTATGGTCCAAGGGGAGGGGGGATGGAAGGGGAAGAAACAATTCAATCAAGTGTGAGTTTGACATACAATTTCGGCGACATCATTTTCGGTGCCAGGGACCACGACAACATTAACCTCAGGCTCATCCAGGACGGACCACCGCGTGGTGGCATTTGTGAATCCACTGGAGCCCGGATAATAGATCTGGGAGGTATTGGAAAGCCTACCCGAGAGGGTCTGGAGGTCACTTTCCCAGCTGGAGGAGCGAGGGATTTGCTGCGAGACCGTGGCGAATGCCCAGGCCGCGATGGCCGTGAGCACCTCCATCTTGAGTCGAAACATGGCGGCGCAGAGAATTCCCGATCGGCAATGAGATGCGGTGGGAATAAAAGAAGAACAATGCAAAAAGCAAAAATAAGAAAAAAGGAATCTGGCAAGATGACTGGCCACGCGACCGCCCTTCTGCTGCACGTCGGAGGGCCCGGGGAATCCTTGTCAGATGGACTGACCCTGACCCGGCAATTGGGGCACCTCATTTATTTCTAGCATTCCTTCGCCATGCGAGATTACGGAGCGCACTAATCTTACTTTGCAGTTACTCTGCAAAGTGAGACAAGCGTCATATGATACCCAGTGTGCAGCTCCACCCGATCGCTCTGTTGCGGTTTTCCGATCAGAAGTTATGCAGCACCAACGAGCGCCGCGTGCGGTCCCTGTGCAGTCTCGCGGGCCATCGGCGCTCGCTTGGGGAACTGGTCGGTCCATCCCGTCCAATCTGCTCCGTGTTCAATTGAGTACGTGAGGGTAATATGTGGGTCGAGGCAGCATCGGGGATCGCGGGATGACTGGATGCTCGGAGGACTAACTCTCTCTAGGGCTTACAGGTGGGCCCGAATAGACTCTGGGGTGGAGCAGGGTCAATCTATTCACGTTGCAACTTATTAAAAGAATCGGCCGGTTGCCGTTCAGAAACCAGAACCCCTGCAGTCTGTTGATGTCAATTGGATGCCGAGGATGTTCGGAGCACGAAGGAAGCCTGGCAAACCTTGCTTTCGCTGCCAAGGCTCTCCTTTGTGGGAGTAGAAATTTTCAATGGCTGCAGAACTCCTGTTTCTGCCTGGGCTATAGGAGGCTTCGCTTCTTCCCGATCGGCGTGATAAGAGGGGAGAATTGTCCTGGATATTGCAACTACGCCTGCCTGCATTGCAGGGCGGACTCCGCCTGTTCAAGACATGTGGACGGCCATTGAACAGAGGGATGAGGCATCAAAAGCAGCCTATAACAGCAATGTCCAACTATGGACCCTCTATGCGATCGGCTGTGCGGTGACGCTACTTAGAACTTATTCACAATGCAAGGATCTGGGTTGGAGAAGGTTGCGCCTTGACGATTATCTGATATGGGTCGCAATAGTAGGTACATTCCCAACCTAACCGTTTCTTATGTGGACATATGCTGATACACTCGCTCTCTGTAGTTATTTTACACCGCACAAGTGGCACTGGCGTATAGTGTCGGCAATGTAGCCCATGGACTCGCAAACAACAGCATGACAGAGGCCCAGAGAGCTACGTTGGATCCAGGTAGCGCAGAATATCGAGAAAGGTCAGTCATTCAACCCCGATCCGGTGACTGGACATTGACGGACGCGGTCAATAGAATAATTGGCTCCAAGATACAAATTGCCGGCTGGGCCACATATACAGCGTTGATCAACTCGCTCAAGTTGTCAATGCTGGTCTTCTACACTCGACTGATGGTATGTTTGTTGGGGATGGTCATTCTGCTTTAGCAGGAGAGGGCTGACCGTACTATAGGATGGTCTCGGCCGTCGTTATCGCGTGCCCATCTGGATTGGGTTCGCCCTCGTCATCGGAAGTTTTGTCGCCTGTATGATCACTATCCTTGCGGCATGCCGGCCCTTCAATAAGAATTGGCAAATCTACCCTGACCCCGGTAGTAAGTTTGCGCTTCGCGACCCTAAACCATAATAGTCGCTCATGGTTTTCTACTAGATTCCTGTCAACCTGCCATTTCGAAGCCAGTGATCGCCGCAACCTTCGCCGCAAATCTCGCCACAGACCCATATTTGGTTTTGATACCGATCCCGATGCTTTGGAAATCCAGCCTCAAGCTTGTGAAAAAGATTGCGGTGACGATAGTACTTGGTGCGGGGATGTTTATTCTGGTGTGCGCGACAATCAAGAGTGTTTTTCTGTTGGTGGTAAGGCATTGCCAGCGCCCCTTTGCTTGGCATACATGCAGAGCCATGGCTTATTTCCCTCATAGGAACCCAACAATGGAGCGTCGATAGCAGACGAATGGGGCACACGAGAGACATTCGTCGCCGTGATCACCACAAATCTCCCTATGGTGTTCCACCTGCTACGGACCTGGCTGGCCCGGGGATTTGGCAGCGCCTTCCAATCGTCGCAGCGAACCTACCAGCTTCCATCAGGAGGACTTCAGAACACCGGTGGCGGTACTACTCGGAGAAGAGGCCGAGGAGGTACCAGCAGCCGGGATCCGATCACCGTCGGCTTGACGTTTACCGAGAGTGAAGAACGAATGATGCAGGACATTAAGCTGCAGACACTGGAGCCACATGAAGCCCCCACAGCTGGTGCCATCATGGTCTCGAATCAGATCGAAGTCACCCATCAGACGCGAAACAGTCATGCCGAGGAGCCGTCTGCACCGAGAGAAAATGCAAATTGGTAGCATTCGGTCCGCAGCCGAGGATTTTCATACCTAGTTTGTTCTTATAATAATAAGATTTGGAAATGCGTAATTTTCAGTACAAGCGGGGTGCTCTTGATTAAGCAGGACAGGCTGACTAGTAAGGACATTTGGCCCTAGTGACGCCGGCGTCGGCGACTTGCAGGCCACTAGCGGGCGAACTCCGGTTTAGCCTCGGAAATGATATCCCGCGGGTTCCCCCTAGCTTTTTCTCCCTTGCATTCGCCTTATTTAGAATGGTGTATCGCCAGAACGTGGCAGAAAAAACACTTTTATATAACAGTAATATGCTTTGTAGGATGGATTTATGGTCGTAAGGCCGAAGAATTATTGAGACTGTCTTGCATGTCTGTTGTTCAAAGTGTGCTAAACCTTTTCAAGCAACAGCATAAAACTTCCTAAAAGCGACTAGTAGAGCAAAGGACAGTCAAGCTTCTCGAGTCAAGCAGAGTTGTAACAACCCAGGTCTCCCTAATCTATGGTTGGCTGGATGGTTATTTATACTTGAAACTATTGACAGGAACATAATGCCTAAACTTTTATTAAGATGGCCCACTCGACTGGGAAGTACGTTACCATTCTGGGCATGCCAATGTACAGACTGCAAGCGTAGCCGGGAAATAAATATATACATTAAACCATTGAGCAAGGCAACCCATCTAAAACAAACAGTAAATCTAAGAACAGGCTATTCTGAAGCAGGCTTATACCAAAACTTCTGATGAATCAGTTTTGGCGTTTTCTTCACACATCAGACTCAGAACGCAAGAAAAGGCGGAGGTTGTCTATAAAGTTGAGCACTTAGTGAAACTTCATGCAGTCCAATGACTGGCCACTGGGAACAATGGGCACCATTTCTGTCTCCTCAATCAACATCTCGAGCAGAGCAGCTCCATCACAGCGTAGAAGCCATTCGATGCAGCCGGGCAGATCCTCTTTGAAGAAGCAGCGTCTTCCCTGACAGTTCATGCTGCGCGCGAGACGAACGAAATCAGGGTTGTCCTGCTGGGCGTAACAGATCCTCCCTCCGTAACCCTCGTGCTGGAGTTGGGAAATCATGCCTTGCTCCTGGTTGTTGAATATGATTACCTTGACAGCGACACCATGCTGTGATGCAGTCAACAGCTCTTCCATCGACATACAGAAGGAAGCGTCTCCATCTATACAGACTACTTGATTGCTAGGCCGAGCAGTCTTGGACCCGATAGCAGCTGAAAGTCCATATCCCATTGTTCCGAGGCCACCAGACGTGACAAGGAAGCGTTCGTGCTTCCAGTCAAAATGCTTGGCCGTCCACATTTGGTGTTGACCGACACCAGTAGCGATCGTTACTGGATCTCGCATAGAAGCCGTCTGGTGATTCAGCTCAGCGATGACTTCCTGAGGAAGGGGTCGAGAGTGCTTCGTCTCAGACAATATGGGCGAAAGAGGATACTTTTCCTTCAGGTGTCGTATCAAGCCCAACCAATCTGGGCGCTCTGTCCTTTTCAATCGACGGAGGAGAGCGCTCACAGTGATCGAGAGGTCTCCGAGGATGACATGAGTGGGGGTAACAAATTTCCCCAAAAAGTCAGGACTAATATCGAAATGAATGATCCCTCCTTTGCCGTCTTCGGCTTTCTCGCGAGCGTAGGGTGCAAAGCCAGATGCTTTGCCCACCGCACGCTCGTCCAACCTGGCACCCATTACGAGGATGAGATCGGCGCTCTGGACCGCATAATTGGCACACGGCGTCCCATAAGTCCCGAACATTCCTAGAGAGAGTGGGTGGTCATGGTCAAAGCACCCTAGCCCAAGGAGCGTGGTGGCTGCAGGAATGCGATAGTTTTTCATCATCTGCCGCAACAGCGCCGCGCCTTCTTGAGTGGCAAGGGCACCATTCCCGGCGCATATGATCGGACGTTGAGAATCGTTAAGCTGTTTCGCAACGTGATCTAGATCTTGTATGATGTTTTCGCTATCCTTCCTGGGAGGATCGGGGCTTGGTGCAAGGCAGTCATCTTTCAGATTCTGGTAGGCTTGTAAAGCCTCCAGGTCGAAATTCGCTTGAGCAACGTCTTTCGGAACCGAAATAAGTACCGGGCCAGGACGACCCTCTACGGCATGTTGAAAAGCCGAGCGCACAGCCATCGGCAATTCCCACACCCTCTGTACAGTTGTTGACCACTTCGTACACGTGCGTGCTAGTTCATCAATGTTGATCTCCTGGAAAGCACCCTTGCCCTGAGATGCTGTGGGCACTTGGCCACAGATTACCACAATGGCAGTTCCATCGAGCAGGGCATCTAGCATAGGTGTAACCGTATTCGAACTCCCGGGCCCTGAAGTGACCATAACCACGCCGGGCTTTTTGCTGGTGCGGTAGTAGCCTTCTGCCATGTGTCCCGCTCCCTGCTCATGATGTGCAAGAATGAATTCAAATCTATGGGCTCGGTAGAGGCTGTCCATTAACGGGAGAGAGGCACCGCCGGGGTAGCCAACTGTAACTTTTAGTGACAGAACTTCCCAATAGTCAGTTGAGGGGGGGAAATACAGATATGCTTTACACCCTGTCTTCCAAGAAGCTCGCATAGGACATCTGCCCCCGAAAGTCCAGCAAAATCGTGTCCATCCATTGCGGCAGAGATCAAGAAGGTGTCAACTAAAGTCGTAGGAGATTGCTTTTCTGTTCCACTCGCTTTCTGTCTAGCCATTTCTGCTTTTATCAGTCTACGGGGCCTCCAACACGCGTCATCGATGGTAATCTTGCTGAATCTAGCGAAAGAACGAATCGCCTCTGCTTGGACACGCATGATTTCAATATGATTCTACCCCTGCAACCGACAAATACCGTTTACGTATCTGTGCATTGGAATGCGTCAGAAGGCCTGATAGCAGCTTCGTCCAGAGATACGACATTGTTGGATGGGAAGGTCGGAAACCATTAACAGTAGCCTATAGGGGAGGAACTTGTGTTGCACAGCAATCTGGTTGTGAAACCTCAGGCTTTCCTGACTTCTCACATGAGTACTACATGATAGTCATGTAACATCATCCAACTCTAGAATCAGTCTACGCCGATAATCTAGCAAAAATAAGTATCTACTTATAAGGTATCAGAAAGAAGCCGAAGAACTAATAAACAAAAGGCCACTACCGCCTAATGCCGCCTTACGTGGAACATCGAGCTGAGTGCTAGTATCTTCAATTTGTTCCCATCATAAGGTTTCTTCATAATGGCTTCAAAATACATGACGGAAGCCTGAATGCACGGGCCACTTCCGGAAACTTGCCGGGCAAGGAACCAGCATCCACATTTTATCGCAATCTCCTCGATGTCGTCAAGATAGTAATATATCCTTCCTGAAATCAGGGATCCGAAACTGAAAGCAAGGGGTTGAGGCACGGCTCTTGATGAAGCTTTTCTGCTAGTAGACGTCACTCGGTTACCGAATGGAGACATGTGCGCCGGGGCACATACTGGAGTTTCTTGATAACCGGATTGCAAAAATGCGGTAGACTTCTGGTGTGATCATCAGAAGAATCTTGATATACTTGTTTAGGGGTATCACAAGATATTTCGGCTGCGCGTTATCGGCGTGTTGCGTCAGTTGATCTTGAGGGCGCTATCTTCTTCCGCTCCCTGATTGGTGCAGTGTTGGTACCTAAAAAGCCCAAAGGGCAAGCTGAAGTTTGTCGTATCTGTTTTAAGCAGGGACGAACCCATACAATAGCAATATCGTCCTCAGTTGATCCTCAATTCACCGCCTCCGTTATTGCTCCAAATACCAACATGGCAAACTGCATATACCAATACTCCGTGCTGGGAGCGCTCATGGACGGCATCTGTCAAGATGGAACCACGGCGCAAAACATTCTCAAACATGGTGACCATGGCATCGGCACCATGCGCGGTCTCAACGGCGAACTAGTGATCATCGACGGGGTGGCATATCACTTCCCAGCGGACGGACCCCTACGCCCTGTCGAAGACGCGGATATAATTCCATACGCAATGGCTACTAAGTTCCAGCCCACGCTGACCAGCCATGTTCCCTGCACCTCCATGTCGTCTCTATTCGACACGCTGTCACCTGTATTTCCGGGTGAGCAGAACGTCTTCCTCTCGATTCGACTCGTTGCCTCCTTCTCGCGGGTCGTCTTTCGCGTGATTCCAGCCCAGTCAAACCCACGGGAAACCCTTTTAGATCTGGCGAAAAGGCAGGAGATCCGAGAATGCAGACATATACAGGGCACGCTGTTCGGATTTTGGTCACCCAAGTATACCAGTGGGCTTAGCGTACCGGGATTCCACCTGCATTTGCTGTCCACGGATCGTACTTTGGGCGGCCATGTTATGGATTTTGATGCAGAGGATGGGCAGCTGGGTGCAGCAGTGGTGAGAAATTATCAGGTGGAACTTCCTGATTCGGAGGAATTTCGCGAGGCACCCTTGAACTGCGTGAAGGAGCAAGAGCTGCACACTGCTGAGGGAGTCCCCACTTCTCACTAAACTTGTGTGACTGTGTTCGAGTGATTTATACATAGAAAACGAAGTATCTTGAGCGTATTGGGTGCACACCAAACCCATGCAGTTGTGGCTAGCCTAATTTTGCAAGTATGGGATTTGATAAGCCAGTCGATCCCGTCTTGAAAGAAGACAGAGTGGGTTTTAATATCAGGTGAACAACATTATAACGAGCGTTCATTTCGGAAACTATAGCGAACTCAATATACAAGACTTATCGCGAGCAAGCAAACGACCAGGTGTTTCATCGCATTCAGGGGGTTCGTTGCCGCACCCATATTGATTGATTGGCGATCGCAGATTAGCTTTCTCGTAATCCACGAATCTCCAGGCTAACAGAAGAATGTAAGAGTATTACATTTGAGATTACTACTTAAACTCACCCGGCAGAGGCCTTACCGAATTATAAATGCATAATGACCATAGCAAATTGTATTTCAATATACATGCAACCCCGGAGAATTTTCAGATACGACACGACACCAAAGCATCCGAGCAAGAGGATCATTATCACATATACGCTCCACAAAGCGAAGAATAATGCAAGCCAATCAAGACAAGGCCGGAAGGACCCAAGTAGTCACCGATTCACTGGGGATATTTCCACTCCACTCCTCTCCGCTCTCCGTCGACAGAGTCAAGTAAATATCGTTACTGAATATATTCTCAATAATGACTGTGCGCGTTCCATCAGGGTTCAGGGACGCCACCGACTGTACGCCATCGCCACCCGAGTAGGTATAGCTCCCCGTTCCGTTCAACACGGTCGCGCCAGGAGGCATGAACTTGCTAAACTGTGCCATCATGTAGTAGGCAGTATTAAGAGTATAGCTGTCATCATCGTTGATGGTGACCAAGCCCTGACAGGCGTCGCATCCACCACTGGTCAAATGCGGACCGTCGTCAGTGTTCGTGCCCAGAGTCCACGCCATGACCCCCGACGCATAGTTCTGCAGAGGGCCCATGGTAAAATCAGCAGCCTGGTGCCATGATCCGGAAGCTGGTGTCCAGCATTCGGTCATATATTGCTTGACCCCAGGGTTGGCGCTGTAGAACTGGCTGAGAACAGTCCAGTCAACATCCTTTGCATAACAGTGCCAGGCTACCGTGTCGACGTATTGACTTGCTTCATCAAGCACAGTCTGAGGGTACGATGCGTGATCTGGATGTCGATTATTAGCAGTTGTCAATGATTGTCGAGAATGGGGTACTTGCCAGTATTGTGATCGAAGGCCCAGATTTCCGTGCTCAGTCCAGCGTCGGCAAGAGCCGGTCCAATGTATTTTTGGATCAGCTGCGCAGACTCATAGTCGTAAACATACATGGTGGGATATCCAGATTGACTATTTAACGGCTCATTCTGAATCGTAATGGCATCGACCGTAGCTCCTAATGCTTCGTACGCTTGGATGTATTTCACGAAGTACTGCGCGAAAGCACTGGAGTAGCCGGTGCTTCCCGTGCCACCACTGGTAAGGTAGCCATCGTTAAGGTTGTTATCAGTCGCGTTGCCATCAATCACGCCATTCAATTTCATCCATCCGGGCGCACTCCACGGGGACCCAAGCACCTTCAGGTCTGACTGCAACGATTTCATCGTGGCCAACATTTCCGCCATAGCAGTGCCACGGTCGCCGAGACCGAAGCCGGAAAGTGAGGGGTCTGCTTCGTTTCCGTTGTCATCATAGGTGTAGACCGGATCACCGGACAGATCAGACGCGCCGATGGTATGGCGCATGAGAGAGAAATTAGCTCCATCGGAAGTCATCAACTCATTGAGGAGCTGTTGGAGGGTAGAGCTCGACAAGGTGTTAAAAGACGTGACGGTCGCATCGGTCACAGCAGCCCCGAAGCCAGTGATTGCCTGCTTGTGACCGGATGATGTATCGTCAATACTTAGCTTCCAGGTGGATGCTGAGCCCGGGCTGCCACTTCCCTGAACTGGGGCCGTGATCGACGAGAGCTTGTAGGTACCCGATGAATCGGAGCAGTACGCAGATGCATCGGTGGCGCGTTTCTCAAGAGAAGCATGGCCTAGAGATGCTAGGCCAGCTATAGTATACCACAACATCCAACTCATCTTTGAAGGAGTAAAAAGGGGGACCTCATATCAGTTAGTGTGAAGATGAGGGCGAGGAACTCCGGCAATATATTTTGCTCCATGTTTGGGCCCCCAAGTGGCAGTTTCAGGGATGCCCTGGCCCCGTCTTCGGTTGGAGGCATAAGCCCCAAGCATCACCGAGGCTAAGGTCGCAAAAATGTGCTAGCTTGGCTGACAGGGACAAACTCTAATGTAAGATGACCTGCCTAATTAAGAAAATGGTAGGTGAGATTTTGCCGTTAGCGAGAGGGACTGAACGCTTATTTGCCTAAATAATTATAGCTGGCCGCATGCACGCGAGTCCCGCGCACTCCGATGCAAGGGGGGCCGGAAACCATGAAGTTGAACATTGCTTTGCATCAAGCTATGTCAGGTGGCTGGCGAGATCTTGCCGCGCTCACTCACACAGTGTTTCAGCTCAACTCGTGTGGAGGTCGGAGGATCCTGGTGTTGTGCCCCATGAGTTTCTTTTGTCAACACATCTGTGTTGGCTATTACTGCCTCTAATCTTTATTATCATGCGAGTACTGCATAATGGATGGATATACTAAGCAAGCAAGACAATATACTGGTACGGCTGGGTCCATGGTACGTCCGTGTCGATCATTTAGCTTATACCTACTTTCACAATAAGCAGAACCAACATCAATAAGTATGAAAAGGTCTCAGGAATCTGTAGGTATTCCGGAAAATTGCCTCATCTTGTTGCTCTAGCCATGGATAAGCTGTTTTGACTGAAGATGGGCAACATGTGGTTGTGTGGGGTAGTGGTCATCCCTTCGGATTTTGAGGACTTGATGTTTCCAGAGTTCCGACAACCCCGGTTCGAACCCGGGCACGACCTGAGATTCTTCTCTTTTATTTTTCTTCATACCATGCCAGAGTCTATCTTTTTAGATCTTCCCAGTATTCGAAGTGTACGACCCCTGCTATCTGCCATCAAGCTTCTCTCACTGCACACTTGTAGGAGGTAACTTCCCGCGAGGCAATAGGAACCACCCACGGCAGTCCCCGTCAGCCCGACCGTCAGACTCCCGGTTTCTCCCCCATGGATAGGCAGAAACATCTGGCCTCCCAACTCTGTGCAACATAAATTCCCTGTATCTGACCCCTCTTTCGCCAGCCATACATCTCTGTTACCACTTCTTCTTCATCATTATCACCGTCATCGACCATGGATGAATCCAAGCCAGAACAAGATAACTCTGCCACATCGGATCAGAGTACCCTAGCCGCCATGCAGGACTTGACAGTATCGATCCAGAGTCTAGTGAGCCTACTTCGCCAGGAAAGTGAGCGGCGAGAATTGCAAGTGAATCCAAAGAAAGCTAAAGACAATGATCCAATCCTGAATGCTCTCGGTGAGGAAATTGCAGCTGGGCGGGCAACGCACATCCCGGAAGGGAGCCCAGTGCAGCTCATGTCGCAAGAAGAGATTGATGAAAAGAATGAAGCGCATAGGGAGAAATACACAGGTATGATGATTTGACCCCCCCTCATCCCCAAAACTCGATGAATCCGAAGCGATACTAACACATTGCAGCCTTCTGGAAGGATTTGCCGTCCTCACCAACTGACATGCAAACCACTGAAGATGCCTACCAATGGGCTTTTGACCTATATCCTCAAATCTATCACTCTTTGGGATGGCATAAGAATGAGGATCTTCTTTTCGCTGCAAATATCCTATCAAAACATCGTGACGACCTTCTAGAAGCACTCTTCGCCGTTGAAGCATATCGGCGTCAGCAACTCGATGGTCCCCTGGAGCCATCACGCGCGGCCTTCGAATATTCACGGTTGCCTCGCCTGCTTTTGATACTTGTTCGCCTAGAAGCCCGACGGAATGATGCTCGGGAATGCCGCAACGGAGCTTGTGTGGATTGTCGCTACTTCGATGCGGACCAGACCCTCCAGGTTCTGATTGAAGTGGGTCGAACACTGCGCCACGACAAACACTGGAGGGCGAATGGCACAACTCTGCAGGAACTGCTGCATCGCTGTTATGCCCGGCGTATTCTATCTCAACCTAATGCTGATAATCCTGATATTCTGCGATACCAGTTCCATCTCATTTACGACTGCCTGGATGCGTTGAACTTTACGTCGCGGTTCCGCGAGATTCGAGATGCGCTCTGTCTTACATTCTATACCAGATATCAAACGGAGCCGATTCACAAGATATTTGACATGGTCCAGCGTCACAGAAGCTCTCTCAAGGGCATAGAGGAATTCAAAGAGCTTCCGCTGGAAGAATCTCCTGGCCCGACTTTCTTTCCAGAGACGCTCACGGTTCAGCACCTGCAGAATTTTGGCGACTTGAGAATTGAATGGACAGACAATCTGGATGACCATCTCAAAATATTCACGGGTCGCAATGCGCTCAGGGTCTTTGCTCATCCCACATTCTTCTACAATTGTCAAGATCTCGTGGAAAGAGATTATATCGAACCCATGTATCTCGAATTGTCTCGGACATACGCCCTTCTTTTTAGGCCTTCATCCCGACCGGCACTGCGACTGCTGCGAGAAGCAACTAGGTCAGACGAGATCACCTGGCTGGGAAGGAAGATTGATCTGAGTCTCCATCGACCGGGTATGGAACAGGGCACTGGCAAATCTTTTGATATCGATCTGGCCAAGCCATCAACAACCCGTATCTTGGAGAACTTCCATCGCTGCTCTGTTCCGCCCAGCATTCAGGCCGCTTTCAACGTCGACAGCCCCTTTGTCAACATCAAGGATACCAGCTCCTTCAACCAACACAAGTTCACATCCAGCTCCATGGGGCAGATCCATAGTCTTGTTCCATTCTATCCTGAAGACATCACGTTTATGATAACGTCTATCTTTCAGCACGAGTTTCATGCCAACGAGCCTTTCATAACCTATGAGTACTTTGGTCCTCGATTGCGCCGGCTCAAAACATACTTGGACAATCAGCAGCCCACTACCCTGAAACAGCTGTGGTTTGACAGGAGAGATGCCCGGGAGTGGTGGACATTCTGGGGTGGCGCTTTCTTTCTCGTTGTGTTTGCGGTGCTGGCTGCTGTCAATGTGAGATTCCTGTTTTTGCTTTGAGTTAGCCCCGCTTCCGGGCCAGTGACCCAACTAGCAGATGGAATCCAAAACATCTAATATCTGCAGTAGCTGGATCTCGTACCTCAGAGGCATGTCAGGAACACCAAGCTGCTAATCCAACTTATGAGGACGGTTCTGTTCCTTGGTTTTCACGTCTGTTCCCCATAGTAGTTCAAATACACCCACATAATGCTGTAGGAACGACTGATGTCAGTCCCAAATTGAATGTAATTTCTTCAGGAACCGTGTGCATACATTCCATCCAAATAACAAATCAGAAGTAGCAAGGCTGATTGGCCAAAAGCAAAGGCCTAGAAAAGAAACGTTTCCAGCTAATTGTCTACTAATCTTATTGTAGCTCTACAGAACGATTGTATAGAAACGACTTTAAAAATAACTCAGAAATTTCAAACGTATCACAACAAGACTATTAGGACCTGTGGAATCCACACTAGTAAGGGCTAACCCAGCAGTTGATTACAGCTGACTTGCTATATTTATCTCAAGAACTGGGTGGGCACTCTGGTGTATGAGGCGTCTTCGGTACGGATAAATGGCTAGAAGTATCAGGACAGAGAGGTGTTCCTTTAGGAATCTTCTATTTTTGATCAATTTTTATCTGCTATGTACGCTTCGGCCATGATATAGATATTCATGCCAGTGGTAGATTATTTACATTTCCTCCTATTTAGTAATCAAGAGTTGAGTATAGCTAAGATAATCATCTTTATAGTAAATCTCAGCTTTTCTCTTGCTTTGATTGGTAGGATACCTCTCTTCTCCCGAATAATAGGATCTATGTCACAGTTTCCTTTGGATAGAGTGGGCTGTGCAACAAATGGAAATCAACTGGACTACATCGTGAAGATTAATAGCTTAATATATAATTGTCACATAGCATATATTATACATAATCATTACAATCGCGAGCTTGGTCTGTTGACTTCCTCCAAGTACTTTCTAGTCTGTTCTTTTGTTAGCGATTCTATGTGACTGATTGTCTTTATTTTCTCTTCCCCTATTTACGGGCATGGAATGCACTCGAGCCCAGGGGACAGACTCACTTGTTCAACGACATCGTAGTCGTGGACCCACTTAAAAAACGCAGGACTTGTAAAATCTGCAGCAGCATCCGGTTCGATATCTTTGATGGACTCCCAGTCGGTATCAGCATATTTCTGATGCGAGCCCGCATGATCTTTGTGCCCGAGAAATCTTCGCGTGTTCCAAGCAGCAAAGGATTTGATGCGTTCAACTCGAGGCTTTCGAATATTTTCCCAGAATCTACTTATCACAGAAACATCCAAGTAAGGAAGTGACAGAAGCAATATCTGCAGTGCCCCGATATCCTCGATAATTTGCGACAACCCCTGTCGCAAGAAAATTAGCGTATGACTCTAGTTGTGGGTATTTTCAATTATTCCTGAAAGTCTTGACGTTAGGCTAACCTGTGCTGCATTGGGCTCCATTGCATGGGCCGAGTCACCCATTAGAATGGTTCTGCCAGTCCTACTCGTCCAGCGAGGAAGATTTGGCATTTGAGCAATCTTCCACCTGTCGCACTTGGTCGCCAAGCTGAGAACTGCAGAAAGTGGAGGGCATATCCCCTCAAAATGCTGCCTCACAAATACGATATCTCCATCCTTGATAGTTTTTAGTGTATCAAAATAGATTGATTGCCTAGGAGTAAATGCATACCTCGCTCCACATACTGGTTTGGCCATCATCATGTTTGAGGCCGAACAAGCCGCTCCAGAATCCCATTTTTCTGGGCTTCCGACCAATAACAAAACGTTCGTCGCCTACCCAGACACATGGTCAAATTGCTGTAGCAATAAAGCGGCGTCGGTGTCTGATTGTAATTCTTTCTGTGGCACTGTTACGCCATAGAATACCGAATCGCTCACTTGCGGGTCTACCGACCAGCCCACGGATACGTCAAACAAGACTTTAGTACGCAAGCGTGATTGAATCCCGTCAGCAATGAGAATGAGATCGCCACCTATTGTTTTCCCTCCTTGAAACTGTAAGCTTGGACTTTCGCCGGGGTTATCCGAGAAGTCTTCCACGAAACTGCCGAAGATAATTTCCGCCCCAGCTTGCACGGCATGTTGGTAGAGAATATCCTGTAGAATGGGTCGATGAATGCCCCAATCTGGAAATTTAGTGAGAGATGCTGGCAAAGTGCGTATCTTGTCCTTTCCGGTCTTCAGGTCTCTGATGGAGTCCGGGAGACAGTTGTCCGCGACTTGTTCAATGGCGTCTCCAAGGCCCCAAGACTGAAGAATGCGAGACGCGCCAGGACGAATTAGCAGTCCACTCCCCTTCGGCGACAAGTTCTCTCGCCTCTCAAAGACCTGCATAGGTATATTATTAAAGAAAACTAAAGTTTCAGGTTTGGTCTACTTTCCTGGACATGGTGGCCGTCCCTGGCAAAGCAGTACGCAGCTGCTAGGCCGCCAAGACCTGCACCCACAATGAGGATCTTCATATTTTTGGTGTTTGGTTTCATTCCCAGTATCTAATACACATTGAAGCAGGAGTGAATGGAGAGGGCGAATATTATGGAGATATAAATTGATGATTTGGGGGATGACGTCTGCACCCGCACGAATGAGCATTGGACGCCTGATTGCACTCAACCAACCCAGAGAACCTCAAATGGCACGCCTAACGACTTATTCCGAGATCGCCAACATAGAAGGGAATCTGAAATTGCAGTAAGCTCCGCTCTTCTCCTTTGTGCTCGTAACAACGCAGCGCACTGCATTAAGAAACTTCTTTAAGGCAAATCCTACCTGAAGCGAATGCGCTAAAAGGAAACGAAAAGCATACCACTCAATAGAGGATAGAAACGAATTTGAAGAATAAATTTTTATAATACCATTTATTTTTCAATCAGATCATTCCTGAGGACGTGGCAGCCCTTCAAAGTTACATATTGCGCTAATTGCTGGTCTTGCGCGGGGCAGTAGAATATACTCCCTCTGGCATACCTTCGGCGTGAGTGCACCAAAGTAGTAGTAGCAGTAGAGGTAGCAGTAGCAGTAAGACTTAGTAAGCTGATTTTTGGGGATCAGGAGTAGTAACTAACATAAACGCCATGATAATGAGGAATACCACAGTACCAATATCGATGACCTCACGACTCATCTTCCGTATCTAGCATAGCCAATATGAGCTATTATGGGTGTAATGAATACGATATCATAAGATCTCGGGATCTTATCGATGATTTTTTATTTGATTACAGATATTCACAGCCATCGAAATCAATATTAAGCAAATACCCACCATCCCCCCGAAAAAGCTTAGTTTATCAAAAAATTACACTAAGCAAAACGAGAATCATATTGACAATCCAAGCTATATATAGAAAGATCAATCGAAATTGTATGAAAAGCAGACTAATATTCAGTACTATGCACATATCTTCAGTTGAAAATAGCGAATCTTCCTCTCGGACACTACAAGACAGACAATGCTCTTCCTAGAACCAGAACCAGCTCTAAGCAGCTAACTTACAAGCCGGAAACCTGTATGAGGTAGACATCTCAGACTTCAGTTATAAACTATCATCATGTAATGCGTGGCTGTCACCGTACAGCTTCATACCCACTACCCAGCTGCGGAGTTTGGTGCTCACAATCTTTGGGTAGCACCCAAGCGTGTGATTCCAGAAACCAGAGGGCTGCTGCACTGTTGTACATGTTCTTTATGAGCGAACCCTTAGTCAAAGATTGGATTTACCGAGCCAGGATAGTCGGGCAATTCCCATCACATATTCATTGTTCAGTGAAACAAGTGGGAGGGACAAGAGATCAAAGCCAGGTTCCCGTTAAGAGGTAAGTTCCGGGCAATCCATACAAAGCAACTGCCGCATTGCTGCATACCATAATTCCAACAAAGGTTGACTGTCAAAGACAGGGCCATCAAGTGCGATTCAACAGCTGGCTATCCAGACACTTGGCGCGTAATGGATTCTCCGTGTGGGTGTTGTCTGCCATGAAACCTCTAAAACCTGTATTATCCCCAAGGTGTATATAAAGGTGTTATTCATTAGCCTGTTTCTGAATTCACCATTCAAATGTCTCGCTATATTCATTTCAGATCGTCAACCATTGCTTTCAATTGATTTTACATGTCACCGGGTAACTTCTCTTGAATATCATGGCATTGAACGGCGGTGAAGACATCGCTCTCCTGTGTCTGGCATACAGGGAGACACTCGATGAGAATTATGAATCGTTGCTTTGCGAACTGAGTGAGCAATACAACTTGGTACGGTTACCAACAGCCTCAGTCGCACGCACATATCTGGCGAATCAGAGCCCAAAGAGCATCATTGTGGCAGACGGGGGCATAAGCGAGCCACAGAACCAAGATATAGCGAAAAGGCTAAAGGCCTACATCGAGGTTGGAGGATCGGTAATATTTGCACTGGAATTTGCCAGCACTACCTTTGGTTATGAATTCAACAATCTCTTTGGCCGGGATTTTGGCACAAACTGGGAATACAATGGCCGTTGCAAGACCACTTGTAGATTCAATGGGAACTGCATTCTCCCAACCGGACCTGTTTCTGAATGCTCGTCTTATATGGAGGCACATTTTATCAAGAACGCTTCACCTATTGAGCAGATCGTTGTTCCACTGGAAAGCTCCATGGAATTAAGCCAGGCCGTGGTGGTTGGAAAGAAGCTGGGCGAGGGATATCTACTCTATTGCGGGAACGAGAGTGTTGAGGTGGAATTGTGCAAGACGTTAGTGTTCATGCAATTAGCAATGGCTCATCGGAAGATCGGATCTACCAGTGGATTTCTATACTGGTAGTTTCCAAGAGGGAATAGTATATCAAAGAGATAAGAATCCAAGTTCAAAGCAATCCGTCTGCATTATCTTCTTGTGCCGCGTCGGGGGTTGCCTCATGATCTGCAGACCTTTGCTCAGCCGAAGGTGAGGCATCTATAACCTGCCATGAGACCGGCTTTAGTTATTAATATAATGGGCTTAGCATAGCATCATTTAGTGAAGTTCGTGCAGATGATGTCATACTCAACTGCATAGTAGTGAATTTTGACTAAAACCCATTTCATGGCCAGTGATTGCAGTGTAATATACATTTTAGATGAGCCTGGACCAATGCAGCTTTAGGTTTATGGTGAAGACTGTTGGTGAATAGGAAAGTGGCTACTGAGCTTGTGAAGTCCACCAGTCTTTTATTGTTTGTCCTCATAGTAAAGTACAAAGTACTATATCGGTTACTACCGTTCTGGTATTCAGGTACACGTAGAAAGGCCCAACCCTAATGCAATTTACAATAACTTATTCAGGGCTTTCTGCTATATAGTCTTGATCAATTCCTCCGACTCTCACTTTCCCTTGTGTAATCAATTTGCCCTCAGTTCTCCATCATCTTTATCACTGCTGAGCTTTTTATTCTCAACCAAACCTCTCAATATAACATGGCGTCCAAGCGCCCGGAGATCCTCCTTCTCTGTGTTGCACCAAGAGACTTTGTTGGGGATCGTTTTGAGCCCCTTTTGGAACGCCTTAGAGAATGCGCCGACTTGAAGCGTGCCACAACGATTGACGAGGTATTACGTGGCCTGGAAGCCAATCCCAAAGTCGTCATCGTCGCTGACGAAGGTGTAACTATACCCGTCAACAGACTCGTCGTGGAAGAGCTAGAAGAGTACATGCGCAGGGGAGGTTTGGCCGTTTTCGGCTTATGTTTTCCCGGCTTCGTGACTAAGAACCGTTTCAGGAGCGTCTTTCGAGTAAGAATAGGTTTGCCGTGGGTGATAGGCGATAATCAACGAACCACATTCGAATTTCATCCTGAGTGCACCCTTCCAGCGGGAACAGTGGCTGACTCGTTCCCTACACCATACAGAATGGAGGCGATTCTCATCAAGAACGCTCGCCCCAAAGAGAAGATTTACATTCCTATCAAAGGTGCTATGACGGAGTGGCCGCGGCCAGAACCCGTCGACCAGACACAAGCTGCAGTGGTGGGGGCAAAAGTGGGCGATGGATATGTGGCTTATTGCGGAGATATCAATCCGGGTGAGAAGCTGGATCAAGTCATTTTATCTCTGTGTGGCTTTTGAGCATGTCAATTACACTGCATCCCTGCCATGGCGACAACAAAGATCAGCGTTGTTTGTTGAGTAACTGACTCATCACAGTCCTCACAAAGAATTCGCCCCTTTGTGTTACGATGCACGTATGACAATCTAGCTACTATACAAAAAGGGTTTCATGGAGAGGTAGATTAGTTCGACCCAACGAAGCCGCTATTATATGTGACCTAGTCTCACGACTTAGTTTTGATATTTTGCCTGCGCATTGACTACTGTACTTTACTGTCAACAAGTCAGATAAATATAGTAGTAGTCACTTGAATCAGAGCTTGGCTTGAAATATATTCCTTCTTAAACAGCCCAACATATCTCTTACCATCATATCATCATTGTCTTCGTGACCCGGAGCAAGTATGACAGTATGCCAAAGTACTAACATAACTCCCGGCCGCGCCAATCATCCATGTTATGTATGAACTTATGCCATACAAAACTCATCTATTCTAGATCAAAGTATCTCCATTACTAGATCTTGTGCGAGCCTGATATCAAGTATAAAGATAATAATATTATTATTTATATTATCAGCATTTTTTCACATTTTTAAAGCGCGTTGATTATGATGCGAATAATACATAAATTCTCTAAATAATACAAAAGTATCCTATTATAATTAGAAAGTTCTATAAAGATTCTGATAAGTATTTTGTAATCTTATATATCTAAATAAGAAGTCCTAGAGTAATATCTATCACACTGATTAAGATATAGTGATTTGGAAAACTTGTCATTTTATATAGAACTATATAGATGGCTGACCCGGGCGGGTGGCCGACGCGGCCGGGAGTTACGTTATGCTTATCATTTACACCTAACAATGAAGGTACAACGCTCATGATAGACTCTTAAAAGCTTGAATATTTGATAGAGATTGGTGTGAAAAAAAAAAAGAAAGAACGAAAGAAGGAAAAGAAAGAGAGTCCAGCTATCAATGATTTATAATAGTCTCTATAGAAAGCATGAGGCTGAAAAGCTTTACATAAAAACAAAACAAATGACCAATGCAGGGATCGAACCTGCGACCTTCTGTGCTCACACTTGCTTATGTAAGACAGACGCCATAACCACTAGGCCAATTGGTCCATTTGATAATAAATTGTTGAGACTTTTTGCTCTCATTTCGATGCAACTTGGTTGTGGTTCATCTGGTAAGGTGGTTACAACGTTGGATAGACAGCAAATTTACCTCCGTTGACAGTAAATGCCCGCTTGTGGCCTTAGGCATGAAATAATGTCGAATCACCTAATTTCAATACAAGTATTGAATCTTACAGCCACCTCAGCTTGTCGTCTCATTTCAACTTCGATACCATATTCAATTCTCCTTAATGAAAACTATCACGTGTAACACCGAGTAGTGGATTTGACATTCAGGTTATTATACATAGTCATTGATATTCCTATTCATCCGCGACTATAATAAGGTAGATTAGATTGTCTTACAAACTTCACTCTTCCTTCTAAATAATACTCTCACCAACAAATCTTCATTCGCGACCCTGTTGTCCCCATATCCTCATTGCATTTCTAATGATTACCTGTTGTGACATAGTTCAAGCAGGATAACCAAGCAGGATAACGCAGTAGGGGATATGGCCCGAAGAGCAAAATTGCTGATAGCCTGGATTGCGTCTCAATATCACAAGACCTTAACTGTGCGCCATGGAATGTTCGTTTCTCTTAATGACTTTTTTGAGTTATATGCTAACTAAGGTCTCTGACCTGGACCTTTCTTATTGCAGTGATCTACTGAGTAATTTAAGAAGTGGTCTTGTATCCTTCTATTACTTGATATTGTGGCAGCGAGTGGTACCCAGGATTATATAACGGAGTATCTGCGTTATTTATTTATTTAGATACTGCTACTATATAAGGATCATTATGATATGTCTGCCATTGTCAGTGCTAGTAGTTCTGCCCTTCCCATCCCAACGAAGAAAATATTTACATTTTCATGTCAATATCCAATACGGAGTTCTCGACAATTAGAGCCGCTATGCCTGACCGTCGATCAACGGCCTGGTTAAGGCATAGAGATCTCTTGACTACGATATATAACAGTTAATCACTTTTCTCAATCCACCTAATCAGGCTAGGTCAGACAGAAATAAGATAGAAATTCACTGCTGATACTGACTTCTTTCCTAAATAGGATCAGGATATTGAAACAAGAAATAGTTACCGTGGCAGTTGACTCTTGATATTAGATTAGGTCACTTCGTAGAGGTAAGAAGGGGCGACTCAGTAGTGGAATCATCCGGTGTAGTTCCGACTCAAACTTGATTGCTGCTCATGTTTTACTGCGCTCACCACATTCAGATCCGAATCGTAATACCAAGAAGAGACACAGGAGACTAGCTTGGAGAGACTCCCATACAATACAACCACTTGAGTTCTCTGCCTGGCCAATCTTTCATTCCCAGATTCTCTAGCTTCTGTCCTCGCTTTCCCGCCTGATATCCTCCAGAATTTGAGCGGGATCCTTACTCACATTCTGCCACTCCCTCTCTATGATCTCCTGCCTCTTTGATCCACGGACTTGGAATGAGGCCTTGAACGGCCTGGGTGCTGCTGTAAATGTCAATTCGATGTCCCGCGGATCGATTTCAATTCTCTTTCCATCTTTGTACGAGTGAGTGATATTGTATGCCCACAAGAGCCGTGCGGTGAGAATGAACACGCTATCCCAGCCTAAGTGTCTTCCAGGACAAATTCTGCGACCGAAGCCAAACGGACTGTGGTCAAGGTTGGGGTTCTCGATCCACCTCTCAGGCTTGAATTTATCCTGATCAGGGAAAACCTCCGGGTTCAACATCATGGCCCAGACGTTGGGGATGATCACCGTACCACTTGGTATATGATACCCCTTGTATTCATCGTCCTGGGTGGTTGTGCGGGGAATTGCAAACGGAATCGGCGTTTGCCAGCGCATGGCCTCATTCAGGATAGCGTTGATGTAACTCAATTGAGGGATGTCTCCAAAAGAGGGAAGCCGATCAGGTCCAACAACTCGATCCAGCTCTTGCTGGGCCTCCCTCAAGCAGTGCGGGTGCAGCACGACGGTCTTGACAACCAGTCGTAATATTGTAAGAGTAGCCTCAAAGCCGGCTTGTTGAAGGGTTCCTATCACATAGGCAAGTTCTTTGGACGAGACTCGCGACCCCGCACTGGAATGTAAGGCATTCTGGACCCAGTTCCATGTAGAGGCTGACTTGCCAATCTCGAAATGTTCCATATGGAATTCAGCGGCTTCTCGTTCCACGTTGGCCGAGAACTGTTTCCAAGGGGCCAAACAGCTTGGAAGTTTATCAAGTACGGGGAACAGCTCCACCAGGCTGTAGTAGGTATTGCCCATGGCTTCAAATGGATGGCGGTTCATAGCGTGAAGCTTGGCGGGTATATCATTGTCTGTGGTCTCCAGTCGGATTCCGTACCCAAGTGTCATGAGTATACTGCCAGCATACCGGCTTAGGCTCGCCTCAAAGTCATCGCTCTCAAGGAGTTCAGCAAGTGCCTGTTTGCTTTCCATGTCTTCCAGGCTACGATAGCGACCGACAGCAGTGGTGTCTAGAAAAGAGCTCATTATACGGTGGTGGTTCTGCCATTGCTTGCCGTACGGCATAATCGCCGAGTTGAACCCGAGGGACATGCGGGAGGCAATAATGAAAGGAGGACGTGAGCTGTAGATGGCACCTCGCTTGACCAGTAGATCTTGAATAATTTCAAAGGAGCTAATACTGATGGCCTGTTGTTGGCCATAGCGAAAGGCCACCATGGTGCCATAATCTTGATGCCATTTGTGCACCACTTCCATCAGGCGTTGAGACAACATCTGATGAATATTGCCAATAATCGGGAGAGGCCTTGGTCCATCAGGGAGGTTGTGATTGCGTTTCTTACTGACCAGACTGTATGTAACCAAGAGGAAGGAAGCAAAGATCGAAATAAAAACAAAAAGATTCAAGTGCTTGTCCATAATAACTGAGCAAATGTTTGCCATTGACTGCACCAAGTCTGGGGTGTAAGCCATAGTGATTGAGATGATGAGGAGCAATGACTGAATACGAGTCTCATGCTCTTGAGTCGGTAGGCATGATGAAGATATGGCCTGCCCGTATATATAGTATTCCAAAGTTCTCCTAAGACGGCCGCTACGATGCCGAGCTGAGCTCAATCCCTGCGTCTCTTAGAACGCAAATCTCACGGGAAGCTCAGCTGTGATGGTACAGGATGACCATGTGATAACACTGAGTGGACAGCATACCCCTCTAAGAAGTAATCTATGTCATCACACACGCAAAAAGGTTCGAGACAACGCATTACCTAGAGTGGGAGCTGAATGTCGGAGAAGTCCGCCTGTACATATGACCGTATTTGCTTTTTCTGTGTCCACTGGTGTATTATCCTCACGGCTAACCCGGCTGATCTTTTGTCTCCATTCAACATTATGCCTACCCTATCAATTGCTGAGTATTCCAACATGCTCGGAAAACAGGGTAGTAAATGTGGCTTGGGGACTAGTTTGCTTGGCCTCAGATTCCCACCCGAGCGCCGATCCAATACGAACATTATGCGTTTAAGCAAACCAAAGAGCAGCTGATATCTGATAGTCGCCCATACACAGCGATGCAAATCATGCCGAATAATAGCGAAGCTCAAAGGTCACTGGTGAGGGATCATGGTATTACAGCCCCGCGGTGATATCTATCACCAGTAATATGCTTTGGTCTTGTAGGATTGATTTTGGTACTTTTTGTTGATTCACCAATGGTAGTTTTAGCATGTTTGACATGACAGTAAATATGTATGAGCACCAGTCTGAAATGAATACTAGATGAGACAGGAAAGAGCGGGCATTATGCAATAACCTTCGGGGATCGGGCTATGAGGTGTAGAGCCCGAGATATTTTGATACCGAGGGAATCAGAGTGGCACCTTCAGCTGCGCCTGCACATGGGCAGCACTGACTCATGTTCAAGTCGGACTCCCATCACGCGCAATGCTAAAATCACGCAAGACTGAAATCAGAAACCGGTGGAGTGGTGGTACTTTTGTTTTCTTCTGAGTCCCTCGTATTTCCAAGGGCCTCTCCGAGGGTATATGATGAGAGCTCACTTTCCCGTAAGTCCTGTAATAGTGACTTTCGAGGATTTCCTATACTTAGGGCATCTTTAACGCATTGATACTATGGTGAGCAGAGAGAGCCCATTGTTTATGTCAATATCAGTGTATGACTGATTCGAAAACAGGACTCCGTTACAAACCTTCTTCCGTCTATTCTGAATGCTCCTCAAAGCATGGATTGGACTGGGATGAACTTCCTACTCTTCCATCTGATTTTGTTCGTTCTCATGACTGCTACTGCTGCTCTCTGGAGATTAGCTACCCACTTCGCCGTCCCCGTTTCTGGAAAGATATCCCCTGCAAGTACCATATCCAAAAGGGATTACGAAGAAGTTGTGAATGGCTTCCTACGAGACATTTCATTCCGACCCCCAGAAATCAAATTTGATGTGAGTCTGAAGACTCGTGTTGTAAGCCGCCTGGAGGCTTATGGCATTTCACGAAGGTTCATTGCTCTCATTGAACCGTGCATTACCACAGCGACGAAAATTTCCAGCTGTTCCTATCCATTTACATCTCCCGAAGTTCTCGAGGCTATTGCCCTCTATGCTACATATGTTATATCGATCGATGACATTACAAACGAAATCCTACCTGACCTTGAATGTTATGGGTCTCAATTGGTCCTTGGTCAATCTCAGAGACACGAACTTCTTCGCGGATTCACAAAATTCCTCGGGGACCAGCCTCGTGTGTTCGGAGCCTTTGGGGGCGACATGATTATCAAGGGCACAGTGGAGTTTATCGCTTCGGCCGTAATTGAACAAAACCAGGATGCTTTTCAACTATCGCGTGATTCGTCGGACTATTTGATTTACTTCAGGGCAAAGACAGGGGTTGCTGAACCTTTTGCCTTCTTTTGTTTTCCAGAAGACATCAACCCTGAAGACCGAGACTTACAGAAATACGTCTCGGCCATTCCCAGTATTATGCTATTTCTGGGATACGTCAATGACCTCTTGTCCTTCTATAAGGAGGAGCTCAAAGAGGAGGATTCTCCAGGCTTCGTCCAAAGCTATGCCAAGGTTCATAATTCTACTGCGCTTCATGCACTTCAGCAACTTCGGCATGAGACGATAAAGGAAGTACGAAAGATCCGGAGTATGCTATCCGATGATGTCCAAATGGCTGAGCGTATCAATCAGTTTATTTATGGGTATATATTCTATCATTTGTGCACGGGAAGATACAGGTTGACCGAGTTGAATATTCCTGCTGCTCATGACGCAAGAAAGCGGATTCAAGCGTTGACTGACGTGCGACTGTAGCCAAGTTTGGCTAAGCTTAGATTAGCATATGATTGAGAGAGGCATAAGTGTGCTGCGAGCAAGGTATGCTATGGTCCGGCCAGGTCTGGGAAACTGGGGTGTGAGAAATATACACGATCGGACAGAAGCAGTTTTCATTCCCGTAGGTTTCCGTACAAATGTTTGCGCATAGATATAGATTATGATGCTGATAGGACAAGGAACAATCCTCATCGAATTATGGAGCACGTCTCCAAAGCGTTCTCTTCAATACCGTGAAGATCTCTCATGCAAAGATAAGCTACGCAAGTTTTCCAATCTAGCTAGCGAAGACTGGATGAATCGGAGACGCCGATGCCCTGCATCTGATTCTGACTCAGGACATGCTTACCTCCTAGACCTTTGCTGGGAAGTAGTGGGGGTACTCTGCTGGTTGTCCCACATGATCCTTCGGTTGGGGGATTGTGTAACATCGTATACACTTCAGGCGCCCATCCCCTAAGTCAATTTGACATGGCGGCCGGCTGACACGCCGCTTAGACTGGTGGGTAATTAGTCATTTAACATTTCTCTTGGCCATAGTATTTAGTTCTTTATGGCTCTCTGGATTAATCAACTTGTGCTAGTTCCTTGGCTAGAAAAGCAAAGTGTGCTCATTGTGGTCGAATACATATTGCCAGATCAATGCTTCTCAGATCCGTCTGTTTAGGTCAATATTTCATTGTTCTTTAACTCACTGCCGCTCCGGTTATCTTACTAGACATCTGTATCATAACCATTCGTAGACCATACCCACATAACACGAGTTCAAACTGCGTCCGAGGCCATGCTTCGCTGAAGTTCCAGATACCACTGCGGTAGCCACTTGCAAAAGACATTGCGAATGCCCTCCAAATCACCCTGTTTCGTTCCGGCTGATTTTCCATCGACAAACTCCGACCGGTACCCACCATCGAAATCGACTACCCAGGCATCCAAAGTGTAGTCTATAACAATATTACCCGGATGAACATCACCCCATACAATATCATTGGAATGAAGAACCTTCACGGTATCTAGTATCTGCCTCTCCCATTTAACATAATAGTTCTTCATCCGAATGAGTTCATCGCTCCAGAGATTTCGCGACCTGAATGGAAGCCAACCAATCAAGATGCCGATGATTATCTTCTCATTTTCAGATAACACAATAGCATAGATCTTAGACACATTGATTGACAGGCCTAATTCTGAAACACGGCTGAGTACCGATACTTCACTGATGAAGGTACCGGTATTAATGGCAGATTTGAAGAATAGACTGCGCTCCGCCACCTGGACACGACGCGGTATGTCACAGGTATGGTCAAATTCATTATCTGGCTCAGGGTAAATGAGTACATCGGCTGCGCTGAGTTTCAGGACACTTGGAGGAAGGCCTGAAATTAACGCGCTTATCGTAGGAAGAGAGGATTTAGAGAATCGTTTATAATTGATAGGAACCGCTGTGATTAACCCATTAATTGGTAGCAACTGAATTGCATGGGTTTGAGGAAAGGTAAATCTTTGTAAAATGACAGGTTCTTGCGTGACTGGAGCGTTGTGTCGAATGTATTGTGCGCATTGTAGGACTAACCAGTCCCAGAAATCTTTGAGGACTTCGCCGTCGTCCGGGGCTTCGTCAAAGTCTGTGGCTTTGTCACTTGCGTAAGCTTTACTCAGCCACACGTTAACGTGTGTTTCTAGAGAGGTGCTGAAGAAGTCAGAGGCTCGCAGGGTAATCTCAAACAAGACAGCTCTCGAGATGATGACAAGGAATGCACCCTCGGCATAAATCCTGTCCTCGACTATGCGATGGTTGGGAAGATTGGTAGCCATTTTGCTGAAGCAATAATTTTCCCAAAAAAAAACTAAATGTGAACTGAGAAAAATAGCTCAAGCCAGTATTGCACAAGACGTGTTCGAGTTAGCTTCATGGGAAATGACAACAGGCGAAGACGTTGGGACAGGTAGGAAAGTCTCGAGTGAATCTTAGTGAGCTCTCTGTGAATAAACATAATTAGCGGAAAGCGCCGTTGAATGAAATCAATATCCCGCGTGCTTGTTTTAACATTGCATAAAGGTCCAATAATTTCTATGCACTTCCAGCAAGCATAAAGTATCCGATTCCCAGGCGACCATCATGCATGCCCCATTGTGACTGATCTGTCTCTTCGAACACAATCAATACTGCCACCATCACAACGATCGTCATTGACATCATGAGGGACTTTAGAAGCCTTGCTTTTATCAGGTGTATAAAAGAATCAGATACTTCCAGTATTTTCCGAGCAACATTTCAAGGACGACCATGTCTCATGAAGGTAGTAAGTGCATCTACTCCAGAATCGCACCACCTACATCATTGGTCAAGACTGTCGCTGACAGACCCAGTACCATGCCATAGTGAAGCAGCCTTCGCATCCGACATACAGAGAAATCGATCCATTTTTCTGCGAGAGCACTGCATATGTTCGTTTGAAGAAGCGAGAATTATGCCAGCAAGGGATTGTCCCAGATTTCTATGGGGTGATTGAGCAAATAGACCCGATTCACTGGTAACCTCATCGGAATAAATATCTGAAGGACAAGCTCCGTCCGAACGCTGTTCTCCTGGAGTTTATCCCTAGCCTGATGGAAATAGATCTTGCAACATATACAGAAGATCGCGCCGCCACACTTCTAGACATCTTGCATAAGATTCACGACGCTAGAATTTACCACGGTGACCCCTACCCTCGAAATATTGTCCTTCAGCCAGAAACGGGTAGAGTCCTTTGGATAGACTTTAATTGCGCTCAAACTTTTCCTGAGGGTCCTATTACTGAGACAAAACAGCTGGATGGAGAATGATACATTGATGACCGCTGAGTTACTGGACCTTCTGGTAAGAAACATGGGCTGAACCGCATTCTCTTCCCGAGGTCACGTAAAAGTAGCACACTTCGCCTTCGATTCGTCGAATAAATTTCATCGAGTTTTTCAATGAGTCAAGAAGAAGGGTTCCACGACGACGATCTACCTCGAGTACCTCCAGGAAGATCTTGGATTGTATTCGAAGACCTTGATTGAAACACTCAGGTACGGAGACTATGATATTCCTCCAGGAGTACGTGCTATCCTTTCCGTCTCTGGGTATACCTAACATCACCTCTTTGACGAGCTGAACTCCCATGGGTTCATCAAGCGACTTCATTAGGCGGGACCCGGACAATTTCCCTTCTCTAAACAATTTCACGTCCACACGGTGGCTGATGGAAAATGGGATAACGATACACTCAACCCGATATCTTGTTTCCTTCAGCAAAGGTAGTCGGGGGCGTATAGAGATGAAGTGCGTTATTTGAGTTCTTGGGACATGATTTAAAGGGGTCTCACTTTTATCAACAGTCTACCGTATTTCGAGTTATATTTAACTGTAGCGTACCTAGTGCGGTCGGTTGGCATTTAACTTGAGAACTCTGCTCTTAATTCTATTGAAATAACGTGAGAGGCGCTCATTGGACTGCCGGAGTTGGGGAGATGGATAATTATGCCAGATTTACTCCGATTGTTTGGACTTTGATTGGCAGACATATATTGCCTATAACGGGAAACTAACATGGTGGGGATAAAACTTGGGATGGCAGCTGAGATATAGTGGGAGAAAATAATTATTTCTATCCAGACTACAGGAACTGGGGACAGGATATAGTGTTAATTATGGTCACATGACTACTTTCTACGGGCATTAACTAACTTACTTATACGTTATATGTTAGTATCGTTAAGTATAACAATACAACGTGTATAATATTATATAAACTCTGCATTGGTCATAGGGAGCAGCCCATGTGAGGCTATAATTTCTGTGATGATCTTCTCTTAGTTAGCGGAATACCCCATAAATTGAATGGTTTCAAGAATATTGGTAGGATCACTCAAAATGTGAGTTGTCATCAATACGATGTGTGAATTACGAAAGGCTCTTTTGCTGTTAAAACCGTTGGTATTCAAAGCATTGAGAGTTGACTAGAATAGCACATATTGTGAACATCGGCTCTACTACATTCATGTCCTGCAGATCGGTGAAAATGGTAAATCTCATGCTATTATTTAGTCCGTTATACTCAAGTAGATAGTACTAGCAAACTTCTGGATTATGCCTCCTGTCCCGCATTAGTCCCAGGGTTACTTTCACATGAATTAGCAACCGATTATCTAACAGTGAGAGGGTTAGGTGTGTTTTAGACCAGAGCTGCGAGGCCGGCAAGTTATCGGCGCTCGGGATGATGGGGCATTTCCCCCAACTATTCTGCACTCATCCCGTCATCTCCCTCGCTCGTAAAATCCACTCGGGGATATTGTCGGATTCTTACTTTCCATTACTTGTTCTTCTCGCGATGTAAAAGTCCCTTTTGAGATATTTTTTCGACGCCTCCGAAGTCACACCAGAACCTCTTTCTTTCACTTTAACGAGGCGGGCGTAGGGGAGAGTCGATTCAAATTACTACATCACGATGAATGCGGCCAGCGTACTATTAATTTGCCATGCGACGGGGATCCTGCGGCTTCCACGTATCGAAAGACGGGAAGAAATCTGACTGCCTGTCCGGTGTCTGTCTGCATGCTGGGTTGCACCGGTTGCGTTATATCGCCTAATAATGATTGGAATGCTGCAGGCGGCTCCACCCGACCAGGAAACCCTGGAAAGTAATTTGCTAATTGCTAGTTACTAGTGCTACAGTATCATCCCCAAGCCGGCAATTAATCCTTCAGTCGTCTCCATTCACGCTATATTATCCCCACCCACTTACGCCAGGCTGGGCTCTGTGATAGGGGGACCATTTATTCATATTTCATGCTACCACCCAGCATCCACCGCCACCCACCCCAAAAAAGAATGGTTACTTTAACTCCAGACCCCAGACTGCAGCGTCTGTCTCACTTTCCTCCCCTGCCACCTGCATTTTTCTGCGCCCACCAACTCCGGTCACCCGTAAGCTTGAGCTGAAAGTTTGATCCCCACAGTCAAGTAGCACACCGGGGGGGATATCCTGAGGTTGCCACCATCAAGTGCTTGGTCTGTTTCCAAGGTACACATATTCTGCGTAGTGGACTAGAACATCCACTTACTACGTCGTTGGAGCCGATGCGGAGGCCAAGCTTCGTGCTTGGGAAACAAGCAACAGGCCAAGCAACGAGTGGATGGGTCTTGGAGCCACTGAGCGGTCATGCCGTCCATGGGACTGGCCTCGATAGTAGAAGGTCCTTCTGATAAGCCCGTGTGCACAGGGCCTCCCGGGTTTCCGGCTAGTCCATGCCACAGGTTTTTCTTCACTCCTTTCCCTCACCCCTGGCCACCCATCTGAGGTTCATCCAATCGGTGACCCCCGAGAATGTCTCCGCGCTACCATAGTAGTATCTAGCACTCTTAGCTACTCATAAGCGACAAGTCTTTTTGGGTTTCGTGCCGCTATGGCTGGAACCATTAATTCCGGACGTAGGAGCGTTGCAGTCAGGTAGATTGTTGTGTAAGGGAAATTGGTCCATGAAAATCGGCAAAATTGATGGGAAGCAAGACAAGGGAGCGCTAGTGCAGCGGTCGCATGGTCACGGTTCCCCCATCCACTCGGTTCTCCGTCGGCAATTTCTGTCTTTCCTTTCCCTTTTGTCGTTCCCTTCACTTTATTGGGGTTATTTATTGATTCTGGTAATAATATTCGCTCTTATCTTCCCCCAACCGTCACGAAAATGGGCCTTGGTCCGATGTGTGTGCATCCACAACCGACCACCCACACCACTACCTCGTCCTCCTCCTTCCCTATAGGCCAACATTGCCTTACGGTGTATCGGACGGTGCTCCAGATCGAAATTTGCGATCCAATAAGTCCCCTGCAGACACTAATCAAGGTCAGGTCTCATTGGGCGCGATAACGTGCTTCGGCCAGGCAATCACACTCATGACCATATTCTTGCTCATCCTCATCCTCATCCACATCATATCATCAGGATTTCAGTAAGGTCAGCAGCATCCGACTCCAGCCGCAGCAAGCCTGTGACCCTGGTCTAGTCTGCAATTCTCCGAACAAACGAGCGTGTTGACGGTGGAGTCTCCTGGTTCGTGGCAAGCCGTTCGTGCAGCCCACGGTTATCTGGTGTGTTACCCTCCTAAATCAGTTAACCAAGACGCCACCCCTCCTTCGGACCTTCGACAGATGCTCCAGAAGACCTCGATGTGCCAATCAAGTTCCTGACTAGTGGTGGTGGCCTCCTCAAAGTGGGGAGATGCAGACCGTTTAAGTTTCCACTGGACCGTCAATGGCATTCTGAATGGGTGCCCACCGTGGCTCGAACATCGCTGCTACTGGCGTTGATTAAATTGCATCGATAACCAGTGCTGGATCAGCTCATACTGACGGCGATAATGTAGATACTAGCCCACAGTAATCCATCGGATTCCGCCTGCTAATTCCGCTCCTCCCATTCCCATTTGTCCCTTTGGTTATTAGCTAGTGGACGTTATCTCCCCCGTCAGCCTCCCATTGACTGGTCTGGCACCCACTACCAGCTACTCTGTAGTCTCGCGCCCCCGTCGCGTGCTTGCTGCTTGGCCCTTCTTAAGCACCGCCGATCCCACCTCCCCCAGTTNTGGATCTTTGCACCCCTCAAGTTCGTCCTCTATTCTGTCTCCCTTCGGCGATTGTCTTCGTCATTCGCCTTGCTTTACCATGGCCACAGAAATCGAGCCGGCCGAGATCCCTCCCGTG